ATCACCAACCCAATCAGCGACTTCACCAACTCCAACGAGTGGAGATGGTAGCAATACTTCCAACAATAACACTTTGGAAGGTGTAGGTCAACAGCCCCTCAGCAACGTTATCAAAAGACGCCAGAAATACGACAAAAGTGAAGGGGTTGACTCTTCCAACATCCTGAAATCCCCGAGGCGACGGAAACCAAGTAAAGAGGCAGCAGGCTCTGAATCGAGAGGTCTCTATCAGAAGCAGTATATCGCCTACATATCCGCCAACACAAGCGCACTCCATAGCGCAACGATGGATGCGACAAGAAAGATGCACAAGAGAGATCTTCCTCCAACTCCCAGAAACTGGAGAGAGGCTCAAAAGCACCCCTTCTTCAAGGAATGGAAAGCTGCTTGTGAATCTGAGCTAAAACACCATTGGGATATCGCCACATGGAAGAGAGTTCAGATCTGCAACGTCGACAAGGAAAAACACTTTATTATCCCCTTATTATGGGTGTTCACTTATAAGTTCGACAAGCACGGCTATCTTCACAAGTTCAAAGCAAGGATTTGTGTCCAAGGCAATCTTCAACCGCCGAACGATCTCGACACTTCAGCATCAACTCTTGCTGCCAGAACCTTCAGAACCATGATGGCCCTTGGAGCCAGGTTTGGACTTCGTTTCTGGCAAAAAGATGCAGTCAATGCGTTCACAAACGCCTGGCTAGATGAGGTGGTGTATGTCAGACACCCACCTGGCTTTGAGGAATATGAGAGTTGTCTTTTGCTTCTCAGAGCTTTATATGGCCTCAGGAGGTCGCCTCTCCTCTGGCAACGTCACATTACCAAAACTATGAAGCAAATAGGCTTTCGCCAACTTGAGGAAGACGAGTGTGTCTTCATGAGAGATGGGATCATCGTCTTTATATTTGTAGACGATATAGTGATCGCTTTCCTCCCTGACCTGCAGGAAGAGGCCAAAAAGATCACTGATGATCTTCACAACCATTACCAACTCAGAGATATGGGCGATCTCCGATGGTTTCTTGGCATCAGAATTATCAGAGACATCAATGCCAAAAAGATATGGCTATCCCTCGATAACTACATTGACTCTCTTGAGACCAAGTATAAGGTCCAAAACAACAAAGGATGGCCAATGACTCCAATGGCACTTGATCAACTTGTCAAATACGATGGTCAAGCGTCAAAACAGACAATCATCGAATATCAGAGCAAGGTTGGATCTCTCAACTATGCAGCTGTTATTGCCAGACCCGATATATCACATACAACATCAAGACTCTCTGAATATCTTCAGAATCCTGGTCCATCGCACATGGAAGCGGCAGACAGATGTCTTGCCTACCTTGCCCGAACCAAGGGATTAGCAATTGAATACGATGGGTCAGCAGACGGAAGACTGTGCTGTTCTTCCGACGCAGCATTTGCTGATGACCTCAATACACGACGAAGCAGTCAGGGGTATATCACCATGCTCTTTGGTGGTCCTATTGAATGGAGAGCCACAAAGCAGACCTGTGTAGTTACCTCATCAACGGAAGCAGAACTAGTTGCTCTCACTCAAGCCACAAGAGAGTATATGGCAACCATAAGGTTAATGGAGAATCTCCAGATTCAACCAGACGGTTTCCCTACTATTTACTGCGACAACAGTCAAACTCTTCGTCTTCTGACAGATGAAAAGCCCCACAGAACCTCCAGGCTGAAACATATCGATATACAGAATTTGTGGGCTCGCCAAGTCTGTCGGAAAGGAGACATCACTTTCAAGTGGATGGATACCAATAGCACTATCGCTGATGGTCTAACCAAACCACTGAACGCACAAAAACACCGAGAATTCGTTCGTCAACTTCGTCTTGTTAACATCACACACCTGCTGGGCCAGGAAGAAGTGTGAATAGCTTCAAGCAAAGACTTGAACCTAGGGGGGTGTGTCAGGCCCATCCCAGTACACTCGTTACAACGATTGTCACACCATGCCTATGAAACAATATGGTCTTACACAAGCATGACTAAGTTTGCCAAGGATATGCCAGTATAAAGGGTCTTCCACTCACTATATAGATAGTCGGGATATTCCCATAGCCACTCGTTCTTCATACTCATCAATACATCCCATTGACCCCCTACCTGATAATCGCTGCCCAACAGTAATGAACAAGACGATATCGCCATCTACATGCGAATGTGTGGGACTTCTCTCGTCGATGGTCTGGGCTTACTCATTCCAGATCACAGCGCTGAGTCCATCCTCTTGATTCACAGTCCCTGGATTGCCAACCTTGAGAGTTGCAAGAAGCTTCTCAAGTCTACCCGTAGTGGTGTTCCTTTCCACAATCGCAACATTGGCACTCGTCTGTCCACCCATGGCAACCATAGTCCCGGCACCATTGATCGAAAATGTGCGAGGGAAGAACGAGTAAGCGCTCGTTGTCTCAAGATACGTGGCCAAACCTGTTGAAGGCTCGATTGTGTAGGACGTAATGGAGTCTTGCTGTGCCCCGAACGACTGATCATTTCTGTTTGATGTGTACACAAAGTTGTCCTTGACGTGAACTTCAGCCGCCTTCGAGCCAACCGGTGCAGCTTTCCCAGGAGGGAATGTGGACAGAGTCTGCTTCTTCGCGAGAATAAGGCATCCAGTTGCCGGGTAGGTTACCGACCAGGACGTCAGCGAGTTTGATAACTCATTTACGGTGAATAGGGATGTTGCATTGCCCTCTGTCATGAACGCTCCATGGCGAGGTCCGTCTCCGGGGCCTGTTGAGAAAGACGGGCATTGAGTCAGATTGCCAGACGATCCAATACTGAAGACACGGACGAGATCGGCTCCTAGATCCGCACAAAGAAGATATTTCCCAGTGGGGTCCGTGAAGACGGAGTGAGGGTGAGGTCTGTCCTGTCGAGATGGTACCGGCCCTGGCTGGGACATGGTGAATGTCAATTTCTGCAAGGGTTGACCTGTGCTGCCCAACGGAAGGGCGTAAGTGGAAATTTTCGATGCATCGCTACAAACTTTGTCAGTGAAGGGATTTCATCACCGGGAGTTGAGTAATCATACTACTGTGCAGTTGCAATGTAGCCGTTCTCAAGTCCATAGAGTGTACTATGAAGTTCGCCCCCAGTTGTCTGAACTTGTCCCTTCGACGTCAAACTCCCATCAGCTGTAATAGAGAAGCTTTTCAAGAGTGGCTGGCCCCATTGTACTTCGTCCGGGATGTAGACAGTCTTGGAGACAGGGTCAAAGTCGAGCCATGCTGGCATCCGATTCCCAGCGCTAACCGAACTCGCAATGGTGAGTTGGTTTGTTGACGACAAGTTCAGCGTATAGAGTTGCCCGCTATAATGCGATGCAATCAGGGTGGCCGCAAGAGCGCCTTGAAGGGACGTGAGGCAGATGAGGAAACGCGGTATGTTTCCCATTGTGCCAGAAAATCACACTGGCTTTGGAATATTTCTTGGCGTTCATCTGGTGGTTGGCTTCGGTTCTTGTCTGTTTTAGACCTCCCAGCCATCGTAGTACCGCCAATTTCGGTTCCAGTCCGAAGGCCTCGCGAGCTCGCGTTTGAGCATTTACCCGACACAACGTCCACGAAAATGCAACGGGCTTGAGCTCAAAAGCACTGGTCCTTGTTCCGTCCAGGGACAGTCTTGACTAGCGTATCCTCCGAGATGCCTAATAAGGCAATGTAACGGAGCCCGGTGCCAGGGTCGCAGGACGTCGAGGTGACTTGAACACAGCCAAAATGCGGCTAATTGCAGATCACAGTTCTTGTTCACTATATTCAGAACACAATGGCTTACGGAGCAGTAGGTTAATAGCCGTTATGGCGTCTGAGTCTTATATATCGTCGACTTTTGATAAGAAAAAAGTAAAGCTTCATTTAATATTGAACCAACCACCAGGCAACTAGATTAACCTCAGCCCTAGATTACTCTAGGTTGGAATCACTTCATATATCCAAAGAATGAGATCAACAAACACAAAATATTGCTTTGAATCCCATGAGCCACACTCTCCCCAGCCGTAATGAAGCTGGCCGGCAAGCTGGTGTGTTATTGAAGGTTTCGCTCATGTTTATATTTTGATAAGTTAGTTGCCAACTTAGTCATGTAGATCTCTGCAATGCATCTGAATTTTCCATGATAATTTGTCGTTTTGATACACGAACCATGTCACATATCAGCGGGAGTATGAGTATTCCAGGTAATGGACTGAGATCATTTGATAGTTCTAACGAAGATGGATCTTCTCTGTCCCTGGCCCGAACTTACGTAAGGCGGGGTCCTCTTGCAGCTTCCCAACCCCTGCAGCAACTTGCTAAATTGCCGCCTAGAATCGGAGATGTCTACACCTCACGCATACAAAGTGGCATGGGGAAAACCGTGAGCTATGAGTGCCGAGGAATTTCGCGACAGTGTCGAAAGCGGGGAGACATCAGTGGACAGCCATGATCGACTATTGCGAATAGCATTCATTTACTTAGATGAATCGCTATGGGATGGCAGAGGCGTGTTCGAGGTTGTTGATCGACTTCACGCACGCGGTTGGTCCTTTGGCCACGGGGACCTAAAATCCAACCGGTAAGATTACTGACTACAAAGAATGTGGATGAGAGTAGTGAGCTAACGATGAAAAGAACTCTGGACATATTCTATCTCGCCCAACTAGCAGCCGCCATGTACCGCTCCTCGGACCCGGACGAGGGCGTGTTCGCGTCAGCAGATGACTTTGACGAATTCTACGCAGAGCATCATGAGCTACTCGGCGAGAATGCGTGGCGAAAGTACTACTCATCTAGTCTCCTCACACAGTCAATCTCGGCTCGTTTCTACCGCCTTCCTGACTTGCAAGACCTGCCGGACTCAAGCGACCCGCTCGCGCAGCCACGCCACAAAGGAAACGGCCACCTATTAACTAAGCTTCCGCGCTGGGCACACAACGTCGTGCGCACTCATCGACGACAGCCGTCCCTCCCCGTCGAAATCATCACCCAGATAGCCCTGGTAACTCTCGAGCAGACCATCGCTCACTTGCGAGAGAACCATCCAAGTGTCCAGCCGTACTCGGAGACCCAAGCTCGCTTCTGGCTCAAGTACATGAAGATGGATTCTCCCGGCGAGCCGTCAAAGGAGGCATGGACCCACAACGAATTTGGTATCTCCGTCGCGCAGGGAGCTTTCGACATGTGGGCTTGGGAAGCGCACTACTCGCGGGAGCGGTGGGAGGCTGTCAATACGCTATATCTTGAACCGGACCTGGATGGGACGCGAGAAAGCGAGGTCAATTGGTGTGGGTGGCCGGACGGCGGTGTGGGTGAGCAGGCGCAAAGTAGAGGATGGGAGCCGGAGGTGGGAAGCGAGGAGGAAGTTGCGTTCCTGGCAGCTATTGCGGTGAAGGAGATGGAGGGCGTCTTTATGAGAGATCTGGATTATGGGATGCGGTCGCACATTCTTCTTGGAGTAATGCGTACGGCGTTTGATTTCGACAAGGGACAGGAGGTGGGAGACCTCAAGCAGCGGGTGGTTTCCTCTGGTAGGATTGACGAGGCTAGGGCTGAGCAGTGGATTCGAGAGGCGCTGATGGTCATGGAGCCATACTTGCGCAAGAAGGATGGATGGTCTGCTGTCGAAAAGACTCGGGGTGAATTACTGCGGCAGATTCTAGTGGAGAATGGACAGCTGTTTGCAAGATGGAAGCTCTCGGACTCTACCAAAGAGTTCAACTTTGAACTGCAACCAAGGAACTAGAGTTGGCCATATATAATCATGGTAGAGACATGACGATAACAACATGAATTTTATCTTGACTTTCTTTCATTCCTTATGTATCATATCAATGTTATCCCATATCGACATTAACAGCATGACTACTTGTACTGTACAGATACTTCAAACTATGATTCCGGACATGAGCCAAATGCCAACTGACATCCCGTCCCACAGTAAGCATTCGTGCTTCCACAGTAACCCCACTCAGAGCAACAGTCACCGAAAGCAGACCCAAGACAAGTCGCGTTCTCGGGATCGCTGTTCGAACTACACGTACCGTCCGTCGAAACCACCAGCCCCGACTCGGTACATGAGCCAAAGGCCGTCTGGCAGCCTGTGCTGCAGTGATCTGTCGTGTCGCCACAGTAGCCATACTCTGAACAACAGCCGCCAAATCCGGAGCCGGCACAGGTTGTTCCACCAAAGTCGGCACCGCAACGGCCGTCAGTTGAAGGATTTGCTGAAGCGGAGGGTGTTGCAGAGCTCGAGGATGACGTTGAGCTGCTGGACGTCAATGACACCATGGAGGAGGAGGAGGAGGAGGAGAAGGATCCCGACGAAGTTGTCCCCATGGAAGCCAGCACAATCTCCGTCGTGTACGTCGACTTAGTCACGGACTCAATGGTGGTCGTGAAAGTGACTGTGTCCCCAGGACCCCATGGCTCGGGCGAGTAAGTTGGCTCTTGCGAGTACATCGTGCTTTGCGTCGTCGATCGACTGGGCAGGCTGGGCGTGTCGCTGACGTATTGTCGCCGACGTAGCTCCGGCAGGTTGTCCACCATCTCCTCCGAAGTGGACCGTTTCTTCGCCGGGAGGAACGCAACGCCAATGTCGTAGCCCGTGAAGTCGCATGACAGCTTGGGCCCACCGGCTGACACGATGGCCCGCTCGACACAGCCGTCTTTCATGAAGAACGGCAGGTTGAAATAGGCGCCCGCGTACTTGGAAGAGGTGCGCTCGCGCCAGTCCCAGCCGGTCAGGGCGCCGCAACCCTTTTCTTCAGACTTGAGGCGGGAGCCGCCGTCAGTGCTCCAGCCGTCGATGTTATATACTTCGAAAGTGTACCAGCCAAAGGCCGTGATCCTATGAGCAAAATTATGTCAGAATTTCAACGATCAGGGTATAGAGTCAGATTGATTTGACATACCAGTAAGCACAGTCGGCCTTTGCAGTTGGCTCAACCACTACAGTTACTGTGGTGGTCGGCGTGGTCGTCTTGGTCGAGGTTGCGATAACAGTAATGGTTTCCGTAAGACCGAACTGCTTAGCGGTGAAGGTTGATCCGTCGTAGTCGGATGGGTTGGTTGGAGCGAACTCCAACGGGATCTGCTTCCCATCAATCATGGTCTGATCGGCTGCTTGTTCCGCTGACAAAGCCGCCGCAATGTCGGGATCCATGGTGCACTCAGGGCTACCGGGTGTCGTGGTTGTCGCGGTATCTTGTCCGTTGCAAGCAGTACTCGTCACACAGCTGGTCTGTTCTAAAGGTTAGCTTACTGTTCTCGTATCAAGACCTGCTCAATTGTTCGACTTGCCTCAGTTGTCCGCGTAGAAGACTCCATGTACCAAGCACTGTAGCTGGTGACGAGATAAGTGCAGGCCGACGCCGTCACCGGTTCCTCGCAGTTCTCACTGCTGTCGCCGCCGTCGATTCCCTGCGTGTTTCCGCACCCACCTGGAATCAGACAACCCACGCCACCGCATGACAACAGAGGACAGCTGGACACGCAACCGAAGACGCCGCAGCCTCCGCCGCAGCCAAAGATTCCGCATCCGCCATCGCAGCCAAACAGTCCACAGCCGCCGTCACAGCCGAAAATGTCGCAGTCCCGAGTCCCACAGCCAGATCCAGTGCAACCTGTGGAAGAAGAGGTCGGCGTGGGCGTGACAGCGACGGGCGGGATAGGGACCGTTGGGTCGGGGTAGTCTACCGAGTAGGTCGGCTGAGGCTGGATAGTTACGGGCACAGATGTCGAAAAGAATGTGACCGGGGGGATGATGATCAAGGGCACATCCGTGTCGGAGGAAGTTGCCGGTGTTGGGGAGCTAATGGGAAAGGTGGCGTGATTTGGTGGAAGGGTATACACGAAAGGTGACGGGGTAATGCTTTGTACGGGGTTGATCTGGTAGTGCGCTGTGTCTGTCGATTGCAGCGTAAGGGGTTGGAGGCTGACGTCGGTCATGGTGAAGGACGGGACAGGAAGCGTCGTTGTCACAACGTACACGCCGCCGGCTCCAGAAGACAAGAGAGTTGTAGTCAAATCTGGCCAGCTAGTGACGGTATGAGTGGCACTGAGCGGGTATGGAGGGAAGACCACGATACATGGAGGCTCGCAGCCTACCAACGGATCGTCAGAGTTCCAGATGCTAGGCGGAGGATACACGATGTTCGAAGAGGAGCCGTAATCGATGCTGTCGCCGCCGAAGCCTTGCAGATCGATTGCCCAGTCGATAATTCCCGCAAAGTTAAGACTTTCATAGAGAGCCTTTCGGTCTGCCTTCAGGTCGTCATCCATATGAGCAACCCATTGTGTTGAGTCGTACACGGCAATGTTAGACTGGCTGTCTTCGTCAAAGTACGACTCGTACGACTCGATCGACTGCAGAGCTCCAGAGGATGTCATCCAGGTTCCGGTTCCCGTCAGGATGGAATTGATCTCGGCGTTGGCGATGTACCCTGCGGTGTTGGTGCATGGTCCTGGATACGCCCCCGAGCCTCCGCCTGTATATGTGCACATGGGACCGGTGCAGCCGGGTGTTGTCATTTGAAACGATCGGCCGTAGCTCGAGACGCCGACTGCGAGCTTGTTGGATGGCACACCGGCCTTGGTGATCATTGACAGAGCGAGGAGAGTCTCGGTGATGTTGGTGTGAGAACGTAGGCAGTTGCCCTCTGGACAGCCGTCGATTGCGTACTGGTTGGAATAGTCCCACTGGCCATGAAGATCATATGTCATGTAGACGATGTAATCTGCCAGATCTGCCATTTCCTCAATATGGTAGCCCTTGAGGTACCAGAAAGAAGCGGGCGCGCAGAAGGACACGGACTTGTCGGAAGGCATCGCTGCTCTCAGCTTAGTGAAGAAGGTCAGATAGTTGGCAGCATCCTCAGCTGTGCCGGCTGGAATATTGGGGATATCGGGGGCAGCAGGATCTGGTGGCCATTAGTTAGCCATGGTTCTGTGGTGGATGGAAATTCTGCAACTTACATTCCCAGTCGATGTCAATGCCGTCCAGGTCATTATCTTGCACGAATGCAACGATGTTGGCGACAAAGGTGTCCTGGTTGGCGGGGTTAACGGCGTCGCGGAAAATGAAATACGTCGCCGGCTCGGCCGAGAAAGCCCAGCCGCCGAGAGAAAGAATCTTTTTGAAGCCAGACATTTGCTGGAACAACTCCCACTGTTCCTGGATATGGCTGACATCGATGGCGTATGTGCCGGTCGTGACGACGCCGAATGCCAAATGGATGTGCGTGTACGGGGTCACATCCATCGCGGTGATCTTCATGTTCAAGCATGGGCGGTCCAAGTTGTAGGCTTCAAAGTAGCCGATGCTGATGGCTTCGGCCGGAGCTGATCCAACGACGATCTCAGTTCCACAGTTGGAGATGCAGCCATTCTCGCCCTCAGCCGAGGTTCCTGGGGCGCCGGTCTCTGACTCAGAAATGGTACAGAAATCCTTGTTGATACCACATTGGCCGTGTTTGTTCTGAAGGAGGGAGGCTCATTAGCTACCGTGGAGCATCACAAAGGGATGCGAGGTATACTACATACACAACAAGCATTCAGGGGGCAAGGATTCAGGCTGGCAAGATCGATACCCGCTCCCGGCTGAGTGGTTCCGGGCTTCTGGGGGCCACACACGGCGTTGGCAATGGGAGCTGGCATCGGAGGTGCACCAGTACTGAGGCAGATGTACTGGTATGCTTGCACGTTCGAGCATCCCTGCCAGCCCCAAGTCTGGGTGTTGAAGCTTTCAATCTCATCATTGGTCAGACTGTTGGCTGCTCCCAAGGAAGAGCAGCTGTCGCCGGGCACGACGTAATAAGAGAAGCATGTCCCGTCTGAGTTGGGCTGCGGACGAAAGTCGGGGAGATCTCCGGCCGAGCAGCAGACGTGCTGTCCCACTTGCAGAGACGAGCACAGCGTCGAGTCCGGGTTATACGTGGTGAAGTCGCTGGCGGAAATGCCGCACTCCGCCGCCAAGCTTGCGCCTAAATAACAACATGAATTAGCCTTCTGTTCTATGCCTGTAATTTCCTCGTTGAAGACACTCACAGCTATCTCCGGACACAACCTGAATAGTTGAACATTCAGCTCGTCGATGAAGCATAGCCAACTTGCCAGACGTCGACGAGATGGTGTCAGCAGTGCTGTTGGCACGGGTACTATTACCAAAGCTAGCAGTGCTGTTGTTGGAGATACTCGGGACTGACAAGGTGATGTCTTGCCATTCTTCCATCTTGTCGAAAGAAGTGATACACTCGCCGGATGCCCAAGTAGCCACGGCATACTGTACAAACTTCAGATCACGATCTCCACTCACAGCAATTCCAAAGCTGTATCGGGAACTGCGGCCGTCTTTCGTACACAGTTGTGCAACGACGCTGTTAGAGAAACCAGCCTTCTCGATCTTGCTGATGAACTGACGCAGCACTGATGACGGAATGTCACGGACTCCCGATCCCGCGAAGAGACCGAGAGCGACCGTGTTAGAGTATGTGAAGGAGGTGATGTCGGTGCTGTTTGACTCCCGCCGAGACAAGGAGGAGGCTAGCTGTTCTGACGCGGCTACAAAGTCCTTCAACTCAGCTGGTGTGTTGGACACATTGAAAGCTAGCTGCAGCGACTCTTGAACCTTGGTCAAGCTGCATTTCGGCAGGCAAGACGGGCCTTGGGCCGTATTGTTGCCGGTGACGTTGCTTTTGCCAACTGCAAAGCTTGCGGTGCAGGCCCGGACAGTCTCGTCCTTGCGTAAAGAGTTGGAGGGGTTGAAGTCGAGAAGCATGGTCTCGTTACACATTGATAATCGTCCAAGTCGGGAATACAGAGTCCAGTTGCCTGAGTTCCAACCGGACTCATTGCATCCGGCTGGGCAACGACTGAGCACTAAGTCGACGAGCTCTGGGGCGAGCGTGTTGTTGCTGATGGATGCTGGAGGAGCCAAACTGGTTGCGAGTGGATGTGCTGCTAGGTAAGAAGCGAGCTTTTCCGAACCATTCTCAATGGCAATAGCTGGATGACACAGCACGAGGGTGATGGCCACCACCCCGGCCGTGATAGACCGCGAGGAGAATCTCATTGTTGTTGTGTATAATGAACGTGGACGACAGTAAAGGGAATGCAGCGGGAGACTAGAAAGAACGTGATGTCGAGGAAAGGGTAACAAGAGGGAGTGTTCTCGAGCTGTGATAGAATCTCATACTTATCAAGATTGTCTTCTTCGACCACAGCGGAGGCAGGCTGGCGACAACGTCCGACGCAGTTCAAGTGCCTCGTCCATCATAGTCCTTGTCGGCGAACTACCGTACTAGACAGGGGTAGACAATGGTCCCCGTCTCCGCTGCGCCTGAGTCTTGCAGCTATGCTTATGTGCTTCTTTCGCTTTTGTCCGTCTGGTCCCACCGAAAGTAACATTTTGTTTCCTTACGTCCTTGGGCTTGAGTCTGCTTCAGGCGTGGGCTATCCGACGCCAGGTCTAGAAGTCTTGGCTGTCGATCGTTTGGCACGAACGGTATTTTTTTGCCTCATCCGATCCAAACCAGAGAAATTCCTCAAGGGCGAGAAACCGCGATTGTGCTAGCGGGGTCGTCGTCAATTGTGACAGGTGATGCGATGTGAAATAGATGGAGAAGTTCGCGACCCCTGCTAATCGGTGCCTAGAGTTGAAGTTCATCGAGCCCGGGGACGGGCCGACCCCTGCTCTGCACGTTTACGGCTACTCTCCGGACAATTTTCTGCCTAAAAGCAACTTCATTTCCCAGGACTGCAGGGAGGATGCCATGGATCTGAATCCTGGCCGTGTGATGGTGCGATTGCAAATCCCCATTCTCGAATCCCTTTGCTCTGAGTGCTTTGCCATTGGCTGGCAAGCACTTGAGTGGCAGCATAGACGCGTACACCCTTGCTGGCATCTGAACCAACTTACCTTTCGTACCAATATTTCGAACCACGAGCTGATGATTACCTCTGCTACTAGTCTGCGTGCCAAGAGTCGCGCTACAGAAGAGACATCCGCCTACTTTTATTGCTGACGTTTCCACATTGATTGCTACTGCACAAGGACCGAGGCTTGTCAAGCCTTGTACGGAGTATCCTGATCGTGCTCTATTGTTTCGCCCAGCTACCTTATTACTTGGGTCGAGATATCTCACTGGTGATCTCCGTAGTCTCGCCTCTCTCCCACTCTCTTTCATCTGCCTTGGCAGTCGTCCCTCCAACTTTCATTACAATCTCACCATAGTCATTCGCTTTTCGACAACTCCAGGATGAAGTTCTGGGCTGCTCTTACTCTTGCTGCGGCCGTTGCGGCTGTCCCATTCGAAGGCATTTCTTTGCACAAACGCGCCGGGGCAAGAAGCCATATTGGATATCGGATTGTCTCTAAGGTACTTGGTTTCCTTTGTGTCTGCACTGGTCACCTATAGTTCGAAAGGGGTTGACGTTCTTTGATCTTCAAGAGCTGACAAGTTGACAACAGGCTGAAGCCGACGCCATCAACGCCAATGATGGAAAGGCGGTACAGTCACTCGGGACCTCGGGTAGGCAGTTAGGAACCGGAACCTACATATCCCCAGCGTTCCAAGACTTTCCAGAGTACGATCCTTCCAAGGGAATACCCTGGGACTGCGTCGTGACCATGGACGCCGACACCTGGAGCGGGCTGAAGAAGGCTTGGATACCGAAGTTCTATGAGTTCCCCGAAGACAAGGAAAAGAATCCGGACAAGTGCAAACCACTCAACTTGTGGACTCCGAGATGGAGTGAGTGAAATGTGCAGCCGTTAATGAAGAGTCCCATGACTAACAAATTCCCAAAAGAGGCGAACCGAAAGCGATTCTTGACAAGCTTGGACTCCTCTTTCACAGAGGAAAATACTGTCCTCTTCTCTAAGGTGTTGGGTCACGAGGAAAAGATTCAGGCCTTGATTCCTCCGGCGATCGTTGATACTGGAGTGGTCTACATGTCTCAGTGTGCCGAACGAGAGACAGAGTCCAACACTCAGATCGGAAGCCTTGGTAGTGTTGATTGGGACACTAACAAGATGGAGGGCTGGAATAAGGGGTCCGATGCTGTTTAGATGGCACAAATAGAGGTGGAAGCCAATTGCTCTGAGCTCTGGTTGATGTTTAAGGTATTGTGAGATACTAGCCTGCGTCGATATTGTGTTGAGGATTACATTGGGCTCCTGCATTTGTGGCAAGCACCAGTCATCTCTCTGTATAATACTGACCTTGGCATGGGAGAATGGCTTGAGGCGATTCCAGAGCTTTCCCCCGCCTTCAAGGGCCTAGTTTCCTTCTCCTTGACACCAACTCAAGGTTCAATTCAGGCTGCACCAAACAACGAATTGAACAAGCTCTAATGGAGACTCTTCCTTGCCCAAATGATTCAGTTAACGTGTAAAACGGTGATGCCATGACTATCAGGATGCGAAGAGCCAACATATTCTGGGCCTTGAGGGGTGCTGAAAGCACTATCGGCGTTGTCTCCAAGTTCTATTTCAAGGCTTTCGATGCCCCGAAGCAAGCGACCAACTCCCTGGCCACATTGCAGTAAGGTGCACCAAGATCTGAGGCTGGTTCCAGGAAGCTCCAGGAATGGATCGAAAAACAAGATGCCTGCTAAGGATTTGAACATGCGGTTACTCGTCACCCCGCGCTTCACTAACTTGAAAAGTGACGGTTAGTCAGGGTGGTGACAGAATCCATGCATGCTTCTACGCGAGTCATGGACATAACCCATTCGGAATGGTCTGACCATCACGAAACAGGCCAGACTGTCATTTCCACCTGGTCCTAGCTCTGCAAGACTTATTAGGATAGCATTAGGCCCACAAGCCTGTGGTGATTCCATCCACTCTTTAGTACGAATAGACGCTCTTTTCTGCTCACTCACATATGCATATTCCGCTGGCCACCCTGACTAACCGTCAAATCACCACAGGCTTGTGGGCCTAATGCTATCCTAATAAGTCTTGCAGAGCTAGGACCAGGTGGAAATGACAGTCTGGCCTGTTTCGTGATGGTCAGACCATTCCGAATGGGTTATGTCCATGACTCGCATAGGAGCATGCATGGATTCTGTCAAAAAGCATGTTCCACGGTGATAAAGCGGGTTTATGCCATCCTCGATCCACTGTTACAGACACTGGAGGGTGTCTAACAACGCCGCAAATTATCAGTTGGCTCAGAAATCTACAGCCTATTGAACACAGTCTAGCTCTCGATCAGAAAGATGCTTACAGAAAAAGTCAATTGAATAGGTCGGAAACAACAGAGAAACAGTAACATGCTCTTCTTACGGCCAAGTATCAAGAGAACTTCCACTCTTCGAGTTCATACAGAGCCAAGCTCTCGGGCGAACAAATTGGCGTCATTTGTAAACTACTGGTACACAATTGGTATTAAGTCGCTGTAGATTCACCGTCGGACGCACGGAATTAGTCTCAATCTCTTGTACCAATTCAACGATCGCATCGCTGTATCCTCGACTTACCTGAAAAGCGGATTCTGCTTCTTGCAGAGCTTCATCAGCAGCATTATCGTGGGCATGCATGGGGTGTACTTCAACTATCTGCCCCAACATACGACAGGAAGAAGCTCAAACGATGTGTTGGGACGGGTATCTGGGAAGGCTGCAAGGTATCAAAGCTGAGTTTGGCCCGGAAGAGGTTCTCTACTTTCCTCAGATTGTAAGGCCAGCTGGGGGCCTCACACTTTGACATATTTCTGTTTAATCATGGCCCGTTTAGGATAATACGTAAAGGCGGCAATGCCGAGTGAATAGAGAGAGAGGTCAACCACCTACCACTATGTGCAAAACTGAGCATAGGATACGACCAAGAAACATTACTTCGTAAACGTAAAAGTCAAATGTCCCGGGTTGCTAGCGCGGTGGTTCGTCCAGTCTTTTCTTAAATGTGTCTAGTTATTCAAACATGTTGGCGCTCCTAAAAAAGAAGACTCTGACACAGCGCCTATCAAGGCCAGACTGGCGGGGGCGGCCGTGTGGCTCGGCTCTTAATAGGCTTGCCATTAAGGTTACTTATGACCGCTCTCTTTGCAAGGGAGGGGCATGTATCTGGCAGATCCCGCCCAATATTACATCGCTCTTCTGGGCGAGCAGCGGCTATTGACCATTATTCGCATAATTATCCGCGTCTCAAGATCAAATTCGGCGTGGATGCTACCCACGTGTCGATTTGGCGGTCGCGAGGGGCACTGGACCCCGCGGGACGTTAGCGTCTCGGAGGGGATCCCTGTCAATGGTTTACTCAACTGCCACATTGGGCTGAATAGCTTCGGTACTCTTTCTCGCGATGAACATGGAAACATCAGTCAACATATATAAGAGGTGTTTGAGGGTGCTGTGGTTCAAGATTTGTGATCAGCACCGAGTCTCTTAGCTCTCATCCTAGTCATTCGTTTTCTCCTCCAAGATGCAGATCAAGACCCTTCTCGCACCCATCATCCTGGCCAGAGTAGCCCTGGCCCAGGGTCTCCCCATCCGCGTTGCCTCGTTCAATATCCGATACGACGCCGGTTCACGTGAATCTGGTGAGAAGCCGTGGTGGGACCTCCTTTGTGGAATATTCAAGGACCGCTGCCGCCAGCCCCATGTCATCGACGCGATCAAGAGCATAGGCACCAATGCACCCTCTGGCGCTGTCACCGTAATCGGCATCCAAGAAGTTCTCGATAACCAGCTCAACGACATCCAAAATGGACTCGGCTCCGGCTGGGCCCATGTCGGCGTCGCCCGCGACGACGGCAAGAAGAGCGGCGAGTACAACCCCATCTTCTACCGCACCGACGCGCTCAAGTTGCTCCACGAAGAGACGAAGTGGCTCTCGCTCACGCCCGATGCGGTCTCGTCTGGGTGGGGAGCCGGCAGCAAACGCATCGTCACGATTGCTGTGTTCGAGCATACCGCCAGCGGGAAGAAGTTCATCCACGCCAATACGCACTTGGATAACGTCAGCTCTCAGGCCCGCAGCGAGGGAATCAAGGTCGCTGTGTCGAAGATTCAAGCTGTGCAGACTACCTACGGCCCTCTGGGCGTCTCACTCACTGGCGACTTCAACTCCGACCCTAATGGCGATGGATACAAGGCGTTGACGGGAACGGGGTTCATGGATGAGTTGTACAACTTGGCTGCTCCCGAACAGCGCATCAGCCCCAACCAGTTGACGTACACCACCTTCGATACCACCAAGCAAGGCAGCCGCATCGACTTCGTCTGGCTTGGGCCCAAAGACGCGAAGAAGTATTCTGTCCAGCGATATGAGATCCAGAACAACCTTGTCAATGGCATGCTCATCAGCGACCATAGACCCGTAGTTGGAGACGTCACTTTACTGTCTTAACCTGCGAGATATTGATACAATTTGCGCAGTAATTGACTATTGATACCCATTTCTTTACGCAAGACCTTATGCATTCTCTGTTTGAATTGATCAGTGACCGTCTCCAAATTGAGTCGCATGCTTGTTGCGGTAATCATCCTCGCAGTGGTAACAAGTTGTGTTATGCTTCTTCTCCAGAGTCAACCCCGGCATGGAGACGATAATCTCCCAACCTTAGCACAAACGCAATTGCCAAATGCCTTGTTGTCTGACTTTCGCTAAACCATCTGTGCAGGTCAAGATCAAGTCAGTGCAGAGTACGTCATAGTGCCTTGATCTATGGCTCAGTCGAGAACTAGCTTCAAACAACAACTCACGCTCATAAGATCTCACTTCCCCGCTCGAGGCGTTTATGGCATTTTCTCGCTTTCTCGTCAAATACGTTCAAGACTTATTTGATTGAGACCCGAACACGATCATTCGCGAGCCAGCTGGCCCTTACGGCTCTTACTTTCATGCAACTTGAACAAAAATGGCCATTCACGACTTTAGCCAAGAGCAGAAAATTTGCTTCGAGGATCAGCATCGTGAGCTGAAAGTATGTCAAGCCACCCATTCCTGTCAAATGATACCTTGAGTGATTTCAAGTAGTGGTTAATAAACGACATGGACTTTTAGGGAATACTGCGCAATAAAGCCGGTGCCGACGCCGGAGTTGATACCGTCAAGAGGTTTGATCTCGCCATCTCTGAATTTACTTAGCGGCAGGTGCCTCTAGTGGACACCCAGGAGGCATTAGCCAAGGTCATTCAGTTTGCCGACGACAAGAAATTCAGCAATATCTACGGCGATTTCCTCAATGCTCCTCTCGGGTCCGTCAAGGAGGAAGCCGAGGCCAGGGAAATGCTGTGCAGCGCCCATGGGATCTCCACTACATCTTATAGACCAAGGAAGGACTGGGAGTTGGTAAGAGCGGCGCCTTTCATCGCATTGCAAGCAGATGTAAGTTTTCCGAAAAATCCTAGATTTAGCTGATGATGAGTATCGCGTTCAGCAACATGGCTTTTAGACTGATCCTCAACTACAGTCATACTGGAAAGATTTATTCGACAAGGTATTACTGCTCGCGTCCAGCCTCCAGGACAGGGAAGACAACTACGCGGAAAGTGGTCGCGCAAGAACAATGGATCTGGCAGCATCCGAACCCACGGGCAAACTGACCGAACTTTTGTCTCAGTACTACGAATTATACGATCAATCTGAGGCAGAGGTTCAAGCTAGAAGAGTCTGTGGTAAGACTTACCCTTGGAACTAGGTCTTTTACCAAGAGCCTGGCACGCCTGGTCTCTCCACTTTGGGCTCCTAGTCATTTATCAACTCCCCTGTGGCTGATCCTTTGTACACACTACGCATGTGATAACGTACTCAGTGGCTCGTCTAACATTACTTCTTATCATTCCACTGCAGTAACAAAATATCGTCAACCAATGCAGTCTTAAAACAAACTTAGCAGGCAAAGGGATCTTGGTTGGGAAGTTGGGCGTCGGTTTTGCCGGCTCAGAGAAGCAAAATTTGATATGGTCTCATCAACAAAGACCATCAACAGTTGTCGGGCGCAGAGGGTAAGCGCATGAGACACCGCTACTTGGACCCTGTGACCAACTACGCGCCCACTAAAGCGCATAAAGCCTAACCGAGTTACCCGCATGCCAATGCCCGCACAAAGCGCCGTCTGAACACAGTCACGCGAGATGACTCAGCGGGAGATAACGGAACAGTTTTGTTATCGTCATTGATAACTATGCGCGGTGCTGCTGTACGCGAAACTCCTCCAACTTGTTTCTACTTGGGTTGACTGTCTTGGTGAGTTTGCTCTCTAGTACGATGCATACCGATGCTTTTGCTCATCCGGCAACTTAGCTTAGTGCCTCTCAATTTTACGGGAGGATACTGTTAAGCCATTCACCATGGCTGTCGTCAATCTGGGACAACCTGCGTCGCTATCGCAGGGCCCTATCTCGCGAGATGACGCATCCGAGATACTCGGCAGCATCAGCATGGCTGCCTTTCTCTGCCTCTTGGTATACTCCGCTACTCACTGTAGTTCAAGGGATTTACGCTAATGGTTTCCAGATCCCGCAACTCGCTGCCAACTACAAGTTGAAGAGCGCAGATAGCTTATCTATGGCATTCCTGTTCATTTGGCTTTTGGGAGACGTTACCAATTTACTAGGTAAGACGCACTCTTGAGCCCCGCCAACTTGGTCTCGGGATATGATCTTCCGGGCACATGTACTCAGCCTTTAAAATGCACGCACAAATTGCTTACCTTTTGTCGATACAGGGGGTCTGGCGAACGGCATCGCGCCCGCAAGCATAGCTGTGACAACATATCTCTGCTTTTCGGACTCGACACTCATCTGCCAGTGCCTGTACTACAACTCAAAACGTCGGATTCGGAACCTCGTACAACCTAGCACGCCAAGATCGCAATCTCCCGAGCGCCGACCTCTTCTCGAGCCGGCGGACTCTTCTGAGGATGTGAACTCAGCAGGGCATTATCAAGTTGCCTCTCCTGGGTCGACTCAGGTTGTGGACAAAGATGAGGAAAATGACATCAGCACTGTACGCACCCTGCACGACTGGCGCTTCAATGCGGCATGCCTTGTCATGGTCGCTATTCTTGGGATCTCGGGATGGTTCGTGCTTCGCGAGTTTGGGGTGGTTGGCGGTGAGAAGCCTCCTGGAGCCGTGAGTGTTACAGAGTTGCCAGGCATTTCCGAGTCGGTTGGATCAGCGTTGGGAGTCATCGGCGCAATCTGCTATCTGTGGTATGTTACAATTTATGATCTGTAAAGTCATTGCTTAACTGACATCCATATGCAGTGCCAGGATTCCACAAATTATCAAGAATTACAGGGGAAAGTCATGCGAAGGTCAGTTTACCCGCCTACTGATTTCACTGTAGTTTTGACTGAAAGTTTGCAGGCCTTGCACCGCTATTTCTACTTCTGTCCATTACCGGAAATTTGACGTACGGGATGAGTGTCATTGCGTACAAGCAAGACAGAGAGTACTTGCTTACAAGCCTACCGTGGCTAATGGGCTCGCTTGGAACCATTGTGGAAGACGGCATCATCCTATTCCAGGTTCGACTTTACTCACGAGTACAAGAGCCAGTAGACTCAAATCGGTTATGAGTCTAGTCAACTTGAAATGAAGCCCACATATCATGATTTTATACAATCTTGGCAAGAACCTAAAGACATTGATTTCATGACTAGCCAAGCGATTCGGGTCATATTGTGCGCATTCCCGTTTTTCTCGGTATGGGCTTTACAAAAAGAGCAACTTTCGGCCGAGTTGGGTCTGTAGTGACTACAAGCCAGTCTACAGCAACTTATGATTGATCGGAAGTAGTACTTAAAAGCAACGTCCTGTCCCTTTGGATTGATGATCCTCTCTTCACTGTGCTCTCATCAACCTATCTAGTCATCAACTCTCTGCAACTCGTCCCTCGCTCAACAACGCGGTAACCTTCTGTTGGCCAAACCCAAGACTCGATTTCGGATCAACCGCTCAACATGCGTGTCATTGCTCTTGCTGCTGCTGCGTTGGCCTTTGGCATGCCCATTTCCGTACGTTGTCCCCGCCTTCGAGGCTCCCAGCAATTCGTGAGTTTGCCAGCTAACAATGACTAGGCCGGTGTTTGCGCGGCATTTGGTGTCTGCTCCCAGAATGGACTGATTAAAGATTGTACCTCCGGAAGTTGTATTGGCAAGGTCGGAGAGTCCTGCACTCAATCCCTTGCAGGACCCGTTCTTTGCCCTGTTTAAGGTGTTTGAGGAGGAGAGGGACAACGAAAACTATTCTCAACAAGCCTGAGGGATTTTGTGGTTTTAAGGCGGCATCATCACAACGTTAGAAGTGGCAAACAAAGGACGGTAGACCTAGTCATTCAGACATAAACTTGATTAACTCTCGATCTATCTGACCTATTACAACTTTTTGTGAGAAAATGGTGCTATTGTGTACACCTTCTATAGTTCTATTACGCATACAAGTTCGTCTGTCTTTGGAAGACCTTTGATAAAGGTAGTCAGAAGTCGCGACTACAGCCCAAACTTCTCAAAGTGGATCAGATGTCCTCTCCTCTGCCACACGAAGAGCGTGTATGCCAGACTTGCAGAGGTTACAGCCGCAACAGAAACCAGTGCGGGCCAGTTGAACTGCAAAGGTCGGAAAAAAATAATGGTTGCCATGTACGAAAGCAGCTCAAACGCATTTTGCCAGGCTGCCTCCACAGTGGAAAATCTACCACGGCTCTCAGCTTCGACTTCCTGCATACTCATGTTAGACGATCACACGTTGAAGACTATTTGCTGACAGGGAACTTCTTACCTCTTGGGCAATAATCTGAGTACAAAGATCAAAACCTCGTAGACCGAGACGGCTAATAATGACTCCAATCACGAGGCTGGTTGCCGAGATCAGGGGTTTCGGCATGAAGACCCAAAAAGCCACCAAGCCACCTATCAGTGGTAGGACCTGGCAATTGCTCATCCAGAGACCAGCCCGCACTTGTCCGATTCGACCCACAAGCCAAGGTGCAACCCAGGTAGCCAGTACCTCGAACACGACACTGATTGTTCTTGCTATACCGATGTATGTTGTGTTGTAACCCGATGCGACCAAGTACGTAACCATTTGGCCCCCAAAACTGAGCACCGTGAGATATAGTAGCGAGCATGCAAACGACGGCAAGAATGCGCGATGACCGAAGTAGAACTTGAAGTCGGATGCGGACCTTTTAACATAGCTCAGGACCTTGCTGCCAGGATTCATCGACGCTAGTGGTGTTTCGGAGACAGGCGTCCGCTTCGACTTGGGTTCCTGCAATTCGGGGTCGTCGTTGTAAATATTGGCGATGGCATAGTACTCGGCAACAACCGAAGCGATATTCATGGAGAAGTTGACGATGATCGCTGCTTTAGTGGAGAACCCGTCGATGAGCGCGATGAATAGTGGACCAAGCAGCTTGCAGAGAAGATCGATCCGGCGAATTTGCGCATTGAGGACTGCTAGAGCTTCGATGTCACCTTTGGCGATGACGACGACCTTTTTACACGTTAGAAACATGAACGTATGAATGCGCATCGAACTCACCCAATCCTTCTCGACCGATACCATGTTCACGATGGAGTACAGCTTTTCAACACAAGCCATGATCGAGAGGAATGCAAGCAGACCCGGGCGTCCATAGTCACCCAGTGGTAGCCCGATGAAGAAGATATAAAATACGACGCATGAGGCCGATACTGCAAGTCGTTGGAAAACTGAGGGAAACCTATGTTAATAAACAACACATAGCCGTTTTGCCTTAGTCGATGAGCCACACGGGCCGAAACTTACCAATCGATGCGCGAACGACCTTCAATCGGTCGTTGTTATCGATGTATTGTCCAACAGTAGGCGCAAATACCAGTGCGGATAGACCTCTTGTGAGCGCATAGAGCGACATGGGCAGAAGTGTTCCAGGGAAGATAGTCGCCAAATACAGCACGGCGCCGAACTCGAACATCCGAGAATTCCAAGTCGAGAGGAAGTGCGAGAGGTAGAGCCGGCGTGCTATTCGGGGATCCACCCGGTGCGTTTCGGAGACCGAGCCATCTCCCTGGCCTGCTCCGTTTCGGAGAAGCGGCGTCTGCTCGTCAGGCCGGATGGCCTCCTCATCGCGGAGAGGCTGACTTTGCGTCATAGTCCATAGGTAGTTTGCCCAAAGTCTCGGACGCGAGAATCAGATAAGGGTGGGAGGACTAAATAGTCAACTTGGTAGGAGACGGAATTAGCTAGGTCGGGTGAGGCCCGAGCAGGAACACATCGGATATTGTACGAATAATCTTTTTGACCTTGGCGTGGCGTGACTTCAGATGAACGGTGAGCAGGAATTATTATCTAATAGCTATGGAAGACTGGGGGAGTTAGAAACATTCCTGCATTCCTGAAGCTCTGGGTTGCAAGCAACTGGGTACGGAGATGTCGAGGCTCCGAACAGGGAGCTTTGGGCCCTTGTTGACAGGTCTGTGGGTCGAGACAACGGAGGTAAATCAGGTTCCGCGTCCGTGCCTTCAATCCATCTGGACACACAGATGTATGCCGTCGACTTCTGCTCTCTCCAACTCATAGATAGTTCCAGCTGGTAGAAGTCGCGATATGAACATATTGAAGTCAGTCATCAAGTGATCTATCTCTTATGCTCTTGACTCCTCTTTACATATGAAGTTCGTCTCCCAACTTTGAAGTGGAATCACAGACACCATCCCTTCTCTTGAATCTTGCCCATCCCCTTTTGGACTAGTGCTTAACTCCCCTCCCCATGACGGGAAGATAGCTTTATGTCATCGGATCCAATCTCTACTTACCTCCGCTTAGTCAGGAAACAGGATCTCTCAAAAGCTGGGGCATGGCCATCAACGGAGCAGAATTTGCTCCGTCCGTCCAAATAGTTGCTGTCTGGCATGAACAAACAATGCCCCAGCAGCTTTGGTAAGAGTAGCAGCTCCCATAGAGTGCTGATCAACGCCAAAATGCCGCCAAAGCGAGCGTGCGATATATGTTATCGTAGAAAGGTAAGGCCGTTAACGTTATTAATATTCCAATGGGAGAGCATTTTCAGTTGCTGACCCATGTACGAATACTCCCCTGCCACAGATTCAATGTCTTATCCCTGCAGAGGGCCCTCCATGCGACTGGTGTAGTCATCATGATTCCGAATGCACCTTTCATCGGGATGCGCCGCGAAGGAAGAAGAAAATCAAGTCAGTAACACTCAGCCATTTCGCAAAGCACAATGTCTCCTCTGAGCTTCCGAGGCTGACCCGTGACGGCTCTTCTACTAGGGTGACGCTGGGCGATGTCCAAGGCCTCAACGACCGCATTCAGCAACTTGAAGATGCGCTAGCCAAGGCAAACTTGCAGCACCCGACTCAGCGAGACACCCCTGGTCAAGGCCAGCCAACTCCAGCCATATCTGTATCTGAGGAGACGTCAAACTCTGCATCTGCCCAGAGTGCATCCTCTGCAATTATTCGGAACTCAGTTGCTCTTTCCGGGCAATCTCTCTCACCCCTAGTCTTCTCTCAGACCCCCGGCAGTGTCGATGACAGGACACCAACGGCAGATGGGTGGCCCGGCAACTATATCGGCCCCAACTGGTTCTTCAGAGGCCTCCATGCGTTTTCGGAAGACGGCCGCCAGTGGATCTCTTCCAAGACTGGTCAAACCATCGACTGGAGTAAACTTCAAATCTTCACCACGAAACCATCACCTTTCGCAAGGATACATGCGCAACTATCACCAAGTCTTTATAACCTCCCAGATCAGGCTTCTTTACGAGAGCGTCTATCTTCGTATTTCAAGTCGTCCTTTCGACTGAGATTTCCCCTCCTTGATGAGGTTCTATTCAAAGAGACAATCAACGAGGCCTATGAAGATGCAGAGATTGTTTCACCTTCACCAGCACACATAGCTGCCCGGGCCTGCGTGTTCGGAGCTCTCAGTCTCACAGCATTGTTACCAGATATCCAACCAAGTTCACTGGGATTGGACAGGAATGAAAGCGCAGCCAGAGCCAGCTATCTTCTCAGTCGTCTTGTCGGGTATACAAGTCTTACAACTTTGCAGACGACCCTGTTATTGGTGAGTTCATCCTGGGCGTTTGCTTGCCGCTAAACATTACATGCAATGATTGACACGCTAAATTCAAACCAAAGCATGTGCAATGTCTCCTATGCGGTCATTGGCAAGAGGCCGACTCGCTACTACCAGCAGCTTGCCGTACAGTCAGTGCACTCGGTGGACATCTTCATCAGCCCACGAAGTCCCTCACAGGAGACGTTTCTCTGTCTGAAAGAAGAAAATGCCATATTAGGAACCTTTTCTGGGTTTGCTATATGTCGGACAAAGACTTGTCCCTGCGAACAGGCCAGCCTCCTTTTCTCGCCGACGTCTACTGTGATCTCACCATCCCAGACAATTATCTGAGTTCCTATACCTACCTCCGTGGTCTTGATGAGTATACTCACCCTTCGGATGAATCAGAGGCCGTGGACCTCACACCACACTTTTGGGGAGATGTTCAGCTGGGATACCTCAAGGAGAAAGTGTATCGACTGCTCTACTCGGTACAGGCCCTGAGAGACAAAGACAACCAACTTTTGATATTCATCCGGCAGCTGGATGACGAAATCGAATGCTGGCGCTTGTCCGTCCCGGTGGACTTCCGCCCGGCTCTTTCAGTCTCATCAAATACTCTTCTAATCACGCCTGAAACAAAGTCACCTCACTTGCGAAGATATTTCCATCTACTCCTGGATTACTGGTACCTGATGATCTACGTCCATACCACGGTCAGACGATATGATGCACATACGATCATCGGCGACGGGGGCCAGGATCTTCACAGGGTCATCCACTCAAGCTACGACTTGTCAATGGAAGCCGGCAGATCGACGCTTCGATGCTTGCGGGTGTTTATGAATACCTTCTCCAACGAAGGCTTCTGGTCAGTCAATGTTTCCCATTCGGCTCCTTCGAATAAATGCTCTACCTACAGCACGTTCTCTTTCCACTTGAGTCTATGAACTAACTTGTTCCCTAGGCAATTGATGTTTTATTCCACCAATGCAGCCATTGCACTGTTCCTCAACATGATTATACACCCAGAAGACTCGGATGGCCAACTAGATCTCGAACTTCTGATATCGGCTACTAACGCGATCCGTACAGCGATTCCAAGGGCACCAACAAGTGATGAAAGTACACGTATCCAAAAGACGTCCGACTTCATAATGTGGCTCATGTGGCTCGGCTCATGTGCCATCACCAAGTCACAGGAAGAGGGACTGCAACACGAGTTGTAGGGTTCCAGCACACTTATACGCGCCGGCTTTGACTTAAGATGCGAGCGATGCGCCTAGCACATAAGAAGCAGCTCCCGCTGACAAAGCGGTGAGCTTGGTCTTATCAGGCGGCTGAGCAAGCCAAGGGGTTAGAGCTCCCGTCTCAACAGGGGTTGCAACCCGAATATTTAAGCGTATATTATCATAAAGCGAGGTAGCAAGTGGAAGACATGTATAGTAGAAAGTGGCTTGATTCCTCTAAGTGGAAGATCCGTATGAGGGTCATATCTATATACCGTACAAGACGGGTAATCGGCTTGTGGAAAGCGGTATCGTACGGCAGTAACCGGCAGCGCCACGTGTGGCGCTGCGACATAACCCATCGACTGCGATTGGGCGTCAGTACAATTGCCCCATTTCTATGCTCCACTTCTGCCCCTCACAAAAGGGGTACATGTGCAGTACGTCACTTGGCCGCCATTTTCATTCCCATACTTCCACAGCGATGGGGCGAGCCAGACTGGCAGCAGTTGAAGAGTCAGTATCAATGGCGAAGGGAACTATCTACCCAGCTTATTCAGCACTTCGGGCCATCAGTAAAGGCGCGCTAGCGTACCCGGCCCCAACGGGCAACAGACAAGCGGAACAATATTATTCCCTAGCAGTAGCATATTAGGAAGAAGTAAGGAAGCTGCTCGCCGTGCTCTGCTTGTAGTAGTCGCCCTAGAGTAAGGTAGGCTCTGCGCGAGATCTCTAGGAATAGTAGTAGAAGGAAGTACTCGAGGTCAGGATGCCAGGAATGCAATGTGTCTCTATGTAACTTAGATGTTTACTGGTACAACTTCTATAACCAAACTCTCTAATGAATCGAAGTACCTCCGAACGAGCTTTTTTGGTTGGCTAAGATTTTGCTTGGCAGAGCTTTGATTGGCTGTACTCCGCACTGGAGATGTACTGACGCCCACTCGCAGTCGATGGGATATATACTGTAGAACTTGCATTCCCGAAGGCTTCGCTCTTACTGGTGGAGATCGTGTTCGATGGTACACATCAAATACGTGCGGGACATCAATTAAGTTTACCTGGAATGCAGTGTCAGTCCACCCACTTTCCGGAACCCGAATTTTGCTGCCGGAGTCTCGCTCCTAAGCGATTTCCATGCGGTTACTGATCAATTCGGTAGCGAAGCTTCCGTATGAAATCCAGGAACCGAGTTGCCGCGTATGGATAATAACACTGGTATTATACAAGTGGTTGCTTTCCTTTAGGGCAGGTGGTGTTTTTATGGCCTCGGCATCCCGGCCCCACCGGGAGGGATGAGCGACCGGCTGCAGGGGTTCACCAGAATAAGCTCGGCTGTGATGGCAAGTACTTGAGTGTTTGAACGCGCCAGTAGTTCTCTTTTTTCTTAATTCGATATCACCTCAAACCAATCGTTAATATCGTTCTTCGGAGTTGCTAAGATGGTTCAAGTCTCATCCATCGGCCTCCTTCTCGGCCTAGTTGCGAGTCAGATCATCTCGGCCCAGGCACAATCTCTCCCAAAACAACTCGCCGTAGTCCGTCGCCGCTCTGGTCTCACGCACAAAGAGTACTTGTACTACCATACACTAGTTCACGGACAGAAGTCATGGAATGCGCCGCGAGACGATTCCTTCCCCGGAGCCTACATTCAAAGCCACGTCTTTGACGGAGTCTTTGGTGCGAACAATAGCGTAGCGAACCAAGTCTACGTCGGACGCGACGACATTGCAGAGCTATACAGCAGCTCCCCAACGTCTTTCACGGGCCCGCCGTCCACGAACTACACTCAGACGGTAATCGGACCAGATGGAGCCAACTTCAACGATTTCCCAGTTGCCATGTCGATGATCGCGACGGAGACTTTCCTGACCAATAACACTGCGGGTGCCCCGAAACCTCCGGCGAAGCCCGGTAGCGAGCCCCCGGTCGCCTTCTTCTGGGCCATGGCTACGAAGAATGCTACATCCAACGAGACGTTTGCGAGAAACCTGGCGGATGCGCTCATCAAACCCTTGCCCGCTGGAACGATTTACAACGCCAGTATCCACGTGCCCATTCCAGGCGCCGATGTCAGGCCTTACTTTGGTGGGGAGAACATGCCGATCATCAATACTGTCATCAAATTGTGGCTCAATGACAGCGGGTCGGCCATCACGCAGCTTCGGGCTTCGCAAACGAAATTGGACAATGCGGCACTCAATTTGGACGAGAATCTGTCATATATGCTGTTTTCCAAAGAGGTGACGATTTGGGACACCAGGGCTGGCATCAATGTAAGTTCCGATGGTTGATTAATACTAGGAGATCGCTGAGCTAACATCGAAACAGTTTGATATTCCGCGCCTTGAGGCTGTATTGAAGGCTGAGAATTATTGATCACAGACTACTCGAGGGGTCAGTTATGGGACACGGAACAGAACCCGATGAAAAGCCTGTTGGGTTTCAATTAGGCATGCGTCCATATATGTAAATATCAATGAAATGGACTTTCGATCTGTCCAAAGTCTTCCTCCGGCTAGATCACGTTGAGCGGCCGCCGTGATGGGGCATTCGGAAGTATTGCTTCAAGGGCCCAACGACGGTTGAAACACGTTGACTATTGTCTAAAGCATCTGACATTATGTTTCAGGGTTCTTTAATATAGTAACCTCTAAAAAGCCCCGTTGAGAGACTGGAGTAGTCGACAAAAGATCAATTCCTCCTCAAAGTCTTGCCAATCTTTTCCCCAACCCGGCTAGTCCCTTGCAGGCTGCAGTCATCATCACCATTGCCAAGACTGCAGGCGCCGGGAGGCCAGGGCGCAGTCTCAAGACCACCCCACTGGAAGTTACACCGCCCCTGTGAAGAGTTCACGACTTCGGCCTCCCCTACGTCATATGGTGTGGCGCAACTTGCAGTCTGCCTAGTTATTGAAAGTTTCCTGCTCGTTTTCGTTGCATAGCAGTGAACTTGCGGAGATCATACCGCGAGAACTGTGGCGTGGGTGCAGCTTGCAGGGCCAAGACGGAAATCCCAACCGTTCCGCACCACATATTTCAAGCTTATAATTTCCCGACCTCAAGGGCCCCATCGCCCTCAGGGATCTCCATCTTGCATTGTCGGATAGTTTCCTCAAGCCTTACGGATATAAAACCTGTGAATAACTTCAAGAGAAGAGCACTGACATCAGCAACCACCTTATCCAATCTTTTATCGACGCCTAAGACTACAGGGACCGCCTTGCATTTCACGGCATTTTCACTTACCTACGACGCTCATTCCCTTGCAACAACATGTTCGGTGACAAAAGTGAGAAAGCAACGCCTCCGTTCTCAGGTGGTGATCCTGTAGCCGACGTCCCTCCCTCCTACTCCGAAAGAGCCACAACTACAAGCGATGGCCTGATCCCCGCCGGAACCCTCCTTCTCGCCGGAACAACCATCTTTAACACCGCCTCAGCGTCATCGCCGCCATTGTACGAGCTCACCTACCCCATCGGACATTTACGGGAGTCCAACACATCAGTCTCGTTCTACCGCTATGAAAGCAGCGTACGGGACTCTTCCTCCGGCACATCCGGTCCGCAGGTATCATCGCGAAAGAAGCACATCTTCGACTTGAAGCGTGACCCAACAGTCACTGAGCCACCGTTTCCATACCATTTGAACTCAGTCTCTCGCGGAAACGTGGGGCATGTGGGCATCAAGACACATCGGCGCCTGGGTGGTTCGGGGTATCGGGCCTGGCGGGCGACAAGACCAAGAGAAGGGGCTGATCTCGAAGCCAAGGGATTGCTCTTTAACATCAAGACACGGGGTAGCGGACGGCAGGAATGGCGCGATGGGGACGAAAAGACAGTTCTTGCGCATGAGACGAGCGAGGACGGTATTCACAAGCTGCAGATTGTTGTGCCGTTGAGCCAGGATATTAGAGATGGATTGGTGGCAACTTGGTGTTTGCGACTTTGGTGGGAGATCGCCGTGTCCAAGGTCGAGCCTTTCAGCTGGTGCGAAGGTAAGACAAATGATCTCACCCTTGCAACGATTTCACATTTGCTAACCCGGGTTCTTCACGCGCAGTCAAGAATGTGTTGCAGTATAACTCAAAGAATCTCCCTTCCGGCGCGCGCTTGAGTCTTCTCCCTTGAGTTTAATCATGTTCAAGTACCTTTACAATCTATGGGAAGCTCAAACATCTTCACATTTTCTATAGTAAAGTAATCTCAACCGCGACAATACCCACATAAAATCAGCGTACCTCTCTTTAAACCATCAACCTAATTGTTGGATCTCTTAGCAGTCGGCAGAAAAGATGGATCCGGAAGGCGGTATGGGCACTTACAAACGGCCCTTTCACTTATATACCACTTCTGGGAGATCGTGGGCTCTGCCCACAATCTCCTCCTTCCACCTCAAGACGCAGCAATAATAGACCATTATTGACACTTCGTTCCAACCGTACGGTTGCCCTGCTGACGTGTATACCAACACTAATGCTTTGAGCCCATGCTTCCACTGAGCACTACAACCATCCGCCTATATGGTGCTATAAGGTCTGGTCTCCTGGCAGAACGACTTGCGTAGAAGATACATGGCGAGTAATCAATGCGTATCGAGTGAGATACACGGCAACTTATGCCCTATTGCAGAGTTAGAATACAAAGTCATCCGCATGGGAAGTAAGACAAACTCACGGTCTAGTGTAGCAGTACTCGGTGTCGACTGGCAAATTGTATCCTCCAGTATCCCGAGCACCTTCTCTGATGAAGCTGACGACGGTTCCTACTCCAAAATCATAGACAAATCTGGCGGCAGTGTCGCCCCATCTCCCTGCCGCATCAACTTCAAAGGCGACTTGGTTGCCAGAGAGTCGAGCAACATTGTCGACAGTGACGCCCATGCCTGTCATCGCCGTGAACAGGGTAATTTGGTCGTTGACCAAGTTGACAAGTGCGCGAATGATGATGTCTTTTGAAGCCGAAAGAGTAATAGTCCACATTACTTGGAGGGTTCCATGCATTGCCCGCTTCTCAAGGACATTGGATTCGATCGAGGATTGCGGAATGGCAATGTCGTATCCCTTTACTTGGAGACCCCTAAGAAAGAAACTCCTGTAGCAAGATGTCTCGTTAATACAACGATAGAGAGTATACATACGATCCATCCGGGTTTGAAACCTGTTGAAAGACATTGCTGGTTCCCACGCTACACTGATCCTGTGGAGTTGCAGGCGCGGCAAACGCAATGCTGAAGAGTGGGAAAAGGAAAACAGCGGAAGCCTTCATGTTGGAATTTAGTATTTCACAAGCTTGAAGATACAAAAGAATAACGGATCAACAACATACTAGTAATAAATTCTCAACCACATGCTCGCCACACTACCCAGCGCACATACCCATTCAAATCAATCAAACAAATAAGTCAAACAAACAGTCAAATATAGGAATTTCAGCGAGTCAAACAATCAAATATCGTGAGGCCCTATATTTGATATATTTGATCAAATATGAGGTCGCCCGGAAAAAGGAATATCCGGGGCCGGGCCAATCAAAAATCGACGCTGCTAATCACGCCCCATAGAAGCTCGTCATTGGCATCATGAATACCCATAGCGGGATTCCAACCCACGACTCCTCACTTACGATTGTAAGTTCGGTATTATACCACTTAACTATATGGATTAGTAGCAGTTATTTTAAAAATAAAAATGCCTGAGTAGTACAGAGCGCTGGATTTGGCATCCTACAATGTGGGACTGTGGATACCTGAGACAGTGGCTGGTGCCCCAGGCACCAGCTGCCCGATCCACTTCCTGGTTGATCCAGCCCACCGCAGCCACCTTTCACCTTCACCACAACATCACCAACCAACCAACAATACCAGTCGCATTGCCTCATTGCTTGCCTCGTTGATCCAGATGAGCAGTGTGTACTGCCCACATAAGATGCCCTCGGGGAGATGGAAATGACTGGACCAAGCTGACTGCCTCAGCTTCAAAATATGATCAAGAAATGGAAGATCGATGGAGATCAATTCCACTCACGGTGCCGCGACGCGGGCGCGAAGGACAGCACGTGTTTCTCGTGCTCGGACCTTCAAGTGAATGGCGATGGAAAAGTGCAGTGCAACAGAGGTTAGACAAATGGTTGCATTTGCTCAGGAAGGACTGGGATCAGATATCAGTTTGAGACTCTACTCTAAGAGTCTTTTTTTTTTTTTTTTTTGATTTTGTCGGATTGGAAGTCCAATTCGACCGCGAGTAGGGGCAGAGCATGGGCCACCTCGAGGGGGTACACTTAGACCTCGACTACCCACCCAACCTCCGGTTGGAATCTCCCTTCTACTCCTTACGCAGAATCAATCAATACAGAGATATTGATACTTCGTCACCCCCAGGACCCTACGGTTCGAACCAAATTCCCTGTGAAAGGAATACCAACAGATTTCATGTTTTCCCATTTGAGCAGATGACTTGAATCCATGCTAGGTACTCTATGCAGTTTGCTATGGTTTGAGAATTAGAATCGAACCTCAACTGATCGTCAAGGTGGAATTTAGTTACGCTTCTTGTTAAAGTAAAGTTTTCTGCGGAAAATATACTTGTAAAGTAGATTGGTGGCTCAGGTTTACTCTTGATCTAGAATACCATCGACGAGGATACCAATTAATCTTCTATTAGTTCCTTTGCACCTTGGCTTTAGTGTGACAACAGTAAGATCGGCGGATATTCGTAGAACTGTCCAAAACGAGCTGTTGGAAACTATACCCAAGTTGGATGAAGTATTTGTGTCATGGTCAAGTCGAGGTTACTGAGATGGCTGCAACTGCGGTCAAGTGTTGCATCCCGAGTTCACACTTCGGGCGATCCCGATAACTCGGGACTTCCGCCTCTGCGGATCTCCCCCACATTCCCGCCGGCTGCCCGCCCTCTTTTCTTCCCACACCGTCCCCACGTCATGAGATACCGCGCATCAAGGCGACATAGGAATAGGTTCGTACGAATTCTCTGATACCCGATCACTTACGTACAGCATGCAGCGAATCACCGGATAATTGGCATCTGCCTTCAAACCCTGAGCTCGTTGCGCCTTACTGCTGCATCTACTAGCTAACAACCACACAAAGTTGTAAGGCCGCTCCTCGGCGACATCCGACTGTTTTATGGCCATAATCCGTCCCCTTCTTGGAAGCATCCTATCGTAATATTGAGCGAGAGAGATAGGCTCGCGTGCTCTCTTGCCCTGAAAGGGTAGCTCATCCCCGGGGGAGAAGCAGCCACAATATCGAGGGCCTTCTTATCGCTGGGAATCTTGGCTGTCAAAAGTGATTCCGAGTTCAGGAACCAATAACCCACAGCATTGCGCAAGCTCGGAGCAGTAGTTGGCCCAGCCTCATCCGCCGGGATCGCAGCTGAACACGCGCACGCAGGTTCTCGACACGCGGAGCGGAGGTCAGCGCAATAACAATGACCTTCCGTCTTCGGCCTAGGTGTCTCCCCAACGTTATCAGAGAAACTTCCTAAGCGCGGCGCGGGATTGGACAGTGGCTGGATTAACGTTATTTGTTGCTCCTCCGAACCCCACAGCCCAGCCCAGAGGACCTTGTCCGGGCGGGGGTGAAGCGATGGTGGGAGAATTTTGGGAATCGTCGAGTTTCTTTTCTAGGTGGCCATCCACGCGACGAGACGCACGCTGCTTGAAGCTTAGATGGAAGCAGAAGGACGGACGAACTGTCAGAGTCAAGGGAGACGGGGCCAAGCCGGCCTGGCACAGCATGACGGTGTCTTTGCCATGGGGTGAATTGCCACCCTAGACCTGGATCATGGTCACGTCGTGTTACCGAGGGAGTGTCTCGCTCTGCAGGCACTCTGGAGTGCATCAATTGGTCTCCATGATGAGCGTCTAGTTGCTCCGCAGATGTTCATCAGGGTGTTTCTTTCACATCGAACTGGTTGAGGCTCCTTACCATGCGGTACCCATGCAACCAAGTGATGGCACGGGGCCGGATACAGAAGCAACACTCGATGAACCGTGCCTGACATCCCATTTGCCAGTTTTGGATGCATCCGTCCACAGGTTAGACAAGCCCTCCCTCGGTCACCCTTTGAGGACAGCCCGACAAGCTGAAGAGAGACCGTGAGGCGTCACTGACCGTACATTGGCCGCGAGTCGCATAGTATCGTCCTGGAGGCTGGAGGAACGACACCACCACTTCATGAACCCTGGCTCAGGTCCCCCAGACCCGTCCGTCCCTCCATGACAGAAGTCGAAGGGCCTCCGCCGGGCCAACGCGTGCTCCAGAAGAGGCAAAGGGACCGCTGATAAGCCAATCATCCAAACCACCATCAGAACGTGTATCTCACCCCTCATCTGTCCGCGTCTCTTGGCAAATACTACTTCATCACCGAAGAAGCTGTCTTTCCCGGCATCAACCACTTTGCCAATGTCTTGGCATGCGGCCAGAAGAACCTCCAACGGGGGGTCTTTGGTGTCTTGTCGTGTCTATCCAGCCACTCAGCATTCAGAGAGAGATGCTTTCCGAGATGCAGGCCCCGTTCGAAGCTGTCGCGCTGCGTCGCCCGTGCCACCGCCGTCACAATTAATCGTATGTGGTTTTTGTTTGTTCCACTCTCCAATTGCTGCCCGCAAGCTCTGGGCAGAAGCAAAATTTGTATATATTCGCGAGGGTAGCTCCAGGAGCTTGGGACGGTAGGAATTGCGATCGTCAGTAGAAGAAAGCCCTTCCTCCTCTTCCCGTCTACTCTACGTGGCTTAAGACCAACCGCGGCATCGTGAAGGCTTAATTGACTTCCCGCGCAACCTTGACATCAGACCGAGCTTATTTGCGGCCTCTTGAGCGTTCTTTCTTGCCTCCCACCTCCCGAACTTCGCAATCCCCTCACTCACGATGCGCCAGTCTCTCCCAACTTTGGCCCTGGCCTTGGCCGGCGCCGCCTTCGCGGTTCCCGAGAAGGAGGACGGTGACCACCTCTACTCATCCCGTCTCTCCAAGCGTGGCATTGACGCCGAGGGCAACTACAACATCTCATTCTTCCACGTCAACGATGTGCACGCCCATCTCGACGAGTTCTCCTCCTCGGGCACCGACTGCACCCGCCCCGAGCGCGGCTGCTACGGAGGCTACGCCCGCATCAAGCACACCGTCGACGAGCTGCGCCCTCAGTACAACGACTCCCTCTGGCTCAATGTTGGCGATGAATTCCAGGGCACGCTCTTCTACTCATTCTACAAGGGCGAGAAGATCGCCGAGACCATCAACCAGCTCGGCTTCGATGCCATGACCCTCGGCAACCACGAGTTCGACGGCGGCGACGACCAGCTCGGTGACTTCTTGCTGAACCTGACGTTCCCCGTAATTTCGGCCAACATCGTCTCCGACAACGAGAAGCTCAATAAGACTATTAAGCCCTATCATATCTTCGAAGACCAAGGCCTCGCCGTCATTGGTGTCACTACTACCACCACTCCGGGCATTTCCTCCCCTGGCGAGGGGACCAAGTTCCTCGAGGTCGTAAGCACCGTGCAGTCCACCATTGACCACATCAAGTCTACCACCAACATCACCCGCATCGCCGCCATCACCCACATCGGCTACGAGGAGGACCAGAAGCTCGCCGAGCAGACCTCCGGCCTCTACCTCATCATGGGCGGCCATTCCCACACCCTTCTCGGCTCCATGGAGGACGCCGAGGGTCCCTACCCGACCGTTAAGCAGAATAAGGACGGCGACGACGTCTTCATCGTCACCGCCTACCGCTGGGGCGAGTACGTCGGCTACATCGACGTCACCTACGATGCCGAGGGCAAGATCCTCGCCTACCATGGCGGCCCCATCCACCTCACCAACACCACCGAGCAGGACACCGCCCTCCAGGCCCAGATTGAGTCATGGCGCGGACCCTTTGAGGCCTTCGCCGCAGAAGTCGTCGGCGTCTCCAACGTCGAGCTTGACCAATCCCTCTGCCAGAAGCAGGAGTGTATCCTCGGCAACGTCATGACCGACGCCATGTACGAGTATCGCCTCAACTCCTCCGCCGATAGCCCGCCCGACTTCGCGCTCATCAACGCCGGTGGTATCCGCGCTACTATTGACGAGGGCAACATCACCCGCGGCGAGGTCCTCACCTCCTTCCCCTTTGGTAACTCCATTGTTGAGATCACCTACAAGGGCTCCGACCTGCGCAAGATCCTCGAGGGTGCCGTTTCAAAGGTCAACCAGTTCAACCAGGAGCCCATCACGTCCTTCTTCCAGGTCTCCAAGAATATCATCATCGAGTACAGCCCGGCCGGCAACAACGGCTCCAAGCTCGTCTCCGTCGAGGTCGCCGGCGAGGCCCTCGACGATGCCAAGGACTACAAGGTCGTCACCCTCGACTTCTTGGCTGGCGGCGGTGACAACATCTTTGTTGCTACCACTGACTTTGTGACCCTCGATACTCAGGACGAGGTCCTCGTTCAGTATGTTGAGGCCAAGAGCCCCGTGGAGGCCAAGATTGAGGGCCGTATTGTCGCAACCAACGGCACCGCCTCTACTCCTTCTGGCACTGCCACCGGTACTGGTGCTGCCCCGACCTCCACTTCTGGCGAGAGCGGTGCTAGCATGATGTCCTTCAGCATGGGTGCCATGGGTCTCTGCTTGCTGGTCCTGTTGGTGATGTGAAGATGGGATTGGGCGAATGTGTAATGTTGTAATGATGCGGATGACGTAGATGTATGAGTAAAAATAACAAAAGTACTCCGCCTGCTGATGTTTGAAATAGACTTTGGTATGATTTGACAATTCTGCGCATCTTTTTGAGAAGTCCAGGTGCTATTTGTGTTTTTCCTACAAAGTTGTTGAGGGCGAAGAGGCCCAAAGGGAGGGAATTGGGGGCTGTTGTCGAAGCTCTTGTCTTCTGGACAATGAAATATTCCCAAAGCCTACCTAGTAGTCTCAAAAAGTGTAGGTGTTCATGTATCTTGAAAAAGGGTCATGAGATTCTTTCTTGTTAAGATGCGAAATTGACTGCCACGCTGGAATAGAGCTTTGCGGACTGAATGCTCATGACACTGGCTCTAGCGACCTAAGCGCACACAACTACGCTATCAGTCTGGCATCTGTCCGGAGTACTTATATTCTCAAGTACCTTTCGTGGATGAAGGTTGCTTAGATATACAGCCCAGTCGTCAGAATCCCTGGTTACCACATCATATTTGACCCATCTTACTATTCGCCAAGGTTGATGGGTCCGTCCCGCGCTCGTGGACGATGCTAAAGATAGAAAGTACGATGCTCAAAATGCGATTGGAACAAGAGACACAGGGCATCCTCAACTACCATGGTGTTTATTTTGTATTATCCTAGCAGAGTCCATTTAACTCTTTAAGCCTATTTCCTCAAATGAGCACATGGTTCAATAGGTACAGAAAGAGAGCAGCAGCCACTGCTACTGCAACGCTGACTTCCCAAGATATATGCCTCGTCTCGTTCCAGTGAGTGGTTCTCCACCCCATATCTGCCTCCGTGGCTAGTCCTCGTTACATCCAGTCATTCCCAGGAGGCGAATACTGATTGTGGTTGTGTGCGTGAAGAACGATGACCGCGTCCTTAGAGTGGGCTTTTCTGCCCCCTCGCCTCAGCAGCTCGAGCAATTCCTCATTCGGCTGCCACTGATCCGTATTAAGAAGCCATCTTGGGCTTTCCGGATAGTCATCCTTCCTTGCCTTTATTGCGGACCGTATAATTCCAGCTTTCTCACGATTGCCCGCCTTGAACGCTGTCTTCGCCGCCAGTTCGTCCCGGTCCCTACATTCGCAACGCGGAAACTCCAGTCCGTCGTACATGTAAGATCCAGAGTCTGGTTTCACTCCAGAGGCAAGATAATCGACATGAAAGCGGTGGATTCCTTCGACAGTACGGTTTCTAGTACCGCATATAGGCATGATGATTTTGAATCGGAGTTCCCTGAGGGAGATCATCTGGCCCGCCGCATTGGCAATGGATGCGAGCATCGGTACCATCACCTTCTCATTGACGGTGTAGATAGATATTCAGTCTCCGCCACTGACGCTGCATGCCACTCTTGGGTCGGTCACCTCCATGAATCCTCGCTCCGTGAATCTGTCCCGTGTGAGTTTGTCGGCATCGGCTTCCCACACTGGCTCTTCAGCATCTCCTCGGGCAAAGAAGACGTCATCCACGCCTGCGTTGCGTAAATACGCGGAGCCGAACGTTACAAAGTGTTGCAGGCACCATTCCCCGCTAGGGGCAACGATGTCGCAATCGACCGTCAGCTTGGTCATGTTTTGCCAATACGGTAATGGAACTGCGTCACCCAGGCTGGCGGGTGGTGACCAGAAGAAAGAAGAGCTAAGGTGGCCTTCGTAGCTAAAATCCGAGAGACCGTCGATCGCTCGGCGCAGGGCAATGAAGAGAGGGTCGCTTTCTCCATCTTTGGTCATATGCGGCAGCCTCTGATTGGGGCCTTACATATTGGGTGTGATGGCGAGCTTTCCGTGCTTATTGACGCCGGGAGCCGGTTTGAGGACAAAACGTCGATCGAGGATTGTCGCATTTCCCGTCGCGGTCTGATAAAGAAGGGAAACTCGGGAGTTTTCAAGTTGAAGGACTCTAAGTTGGGAAACTTTTGCATGAGGTGGAAGTCGCCCTCGATATTACGTCTAAAGTTACGTGGAGAATTCATATGGAATTCGTAGTCGAAGTGTGCAATCTGAAAGCTCTTGAGGCATGCAACGACGGGAAAGAGTTGAGGATTTAGCACATTCAGATGGGGAAGGTTTGCGTATTTTGCGGTGGTCCTTTCACGGCAACCGATTATCAGTGAAATTCGGGCGCCGTCTTGCCATTCCAAGAGCATGAGCATCAAGTTTCTCAGGGCCTCAGTGTAGGCCTTGTCGCCGCGTGCCATGTTCTCGACGATGTCCAAGGAACTCGAGCATTTCTGATATTGGGGCCTCAGGATCTCCACATCTAGGCTACGAAGGGAGTTCTGGCGATTACGGCACCGTCGGAAGGCAGTTCGTGCGAACTCGATATCGTCGCTTGTGATGAAGATTCAGCGAAAGGTTGACCGTTCGATGCCCAGCTGGAACTTGCTGCATACGGACGCGAGATCGGGTCGAAAACGCGGTGAGGGCGGTACGCAATCGTAGGTTCCATCTTCATTGGGAAATGACGAATAGTCAAAGTTAGAGTTGAAATTGTCGTCGAAGAAATCACTGTTATGTATGTCGCTTTCTCGCGCAGGTATGCGGCCGAGGATGTTATCCAGGATTTCTTGTGGTAGAGAGTCCATTTCGTCAGAATCGTTCCTAGCTTGGTGGATCTGGGTCCGAGAAGTGTTGTAGTGAGAAGGAACTCAAATGCCTATCGCCCGACAAGCTGATGTGTAGGTATTTGGAAAAGTGTCCTGAGTCAGTTCTCCTCTGTTCGACTGCAGGGAAATTGATATGCAAGGGAGTGAGAAATGTAGTCGGAGAGGAAAAAGTTTGACTCCTACCTACCTCAAAGTGAGCCACGTACTAGAGTCGAAGTGTGATGTCGAGATCTTGAATTCCATAATCCCAAATGCCATTGTTCTGTTGATGCTGACTTTTTCGTACCAGCGGCTTCCTCAATCCGAAATAGCTAGGCGTGCCAATTTGACAACATCTTCTTCGGCTTGGGCTTTCGCTTTGGAGCCCTTTGATTAAGGTAGTCATACATGTAGGCTCTCGGGGCTTCGCGGCGCAGGGAGGTGAGATCCGAATTCTTCACCAAGTTGTCCATATCTACCTACTGTGCTGCGAGACATCATCGACTAATAGATGGAGCCAGTGAGTTAAAATCGCGAACTGACTGATAGCGAGTTGTGTGTTGCCGCAAATTTCCAAACATCCGCCTATTTCGTTTAGAGAAAGACATGAGATGCATCATGCATGTACTTCATACTAATGTGGCAGTGCATGGGACGTGGTAATGATCGTGTTTCTCTCCGGGTTTACGAGCCCTGCGAGCAACCTTCACCCGGCCTTCGAAAAATTGGATGGAAACGTGAATCCTTTCTGCAAGAAAACGCCCGGAGCTTGAAGGTGGAAAGAATAAAACAACCCGAACGGTTAAACACTTTGGCGAAAGCGTCTGAACTGCGCCGTATGAGACCCTTGCGAAATGTGACCAATTAAAAAGACGCATCGGCAGTCGGGAGGCAATGTTATTGATTCGGAAGACAGAAATCAGCCGCTAGCGATGACGGCTGTCAAAGGATCAACGCCAAGCCGGCTGGCTTACTGCTGAGCAGCGGCGATTGACGACGCCCTCGGAGCTCGCTGCCGAGAGCGAGGGCTACCCGTGTCGTGTTCCAGCCGCGTACGTACCGAGGAACCACGACCACGGCCGCGGCATCTAGCTAGCAAAGTGTCAAACAAGTGACGGGGGCAGAGACGGCGTGCAAGATTACCGACTGTCCGGCTGACCGAGCGGCTGGCTTGATCACGGTTATATCTTGATCGTGGTTCGAAGCCTAGCGCTTGAGACTTTGCTGTTGCGGGGTATGGGGCCGTGGTTGTGGTTGTGGAGAGAGTTGTGAATAGCATCAACGGGCCAACGGCGACTACGTCTGATTCGCACGCGTAGGGTTAGACACACCGTTTTCTGGAGATCCCAGAGATTATGGGTAGCGGTGGGCCAGCTAGCAAAAGTTCGGCTAAAGATTTAAATCATCAAGTCACATGTTATGAGGTGAGTCGAAAGTTCTCTGGAGTGGATATGGGCCCCCTCGTGATACTGATGCCATGCCAAAGAATCAAGGTTTGAATCCCCGCGGCACCCGTGGAGACCAGATAATCGTCATTTTTCCCATTTGTCCAACAGATTCTGGAGTCTGGAGTTCAGCGGGCCTCTCTGGGGGAGAAAGCAAACCCAAGCTTAAAGCAGTCTACTCGCCCGGTCTCCATTGTTCTCAACTTGACATACCAATCGACATGGCATGCCCAAGACGGGGTGATTAGCTTCGTCTGAATCTTCGAAGATATCACTGGCCGAACCCTAGCCAAAAGCAATTCGTTGTCTCCACCCGACCCCTTGAATACGGGCCGACCAGGACGAACTTTTCCAAGCCCAGTTTAGGAAAGAAAACCAACCACGTCGACAGTCGTCATAGGCTAAGTTGAGTGGGAACCAAACGGGGTTGAGCGGGTGAGTACGGAGTACGAATATTCGTACTCGCGTCAAAGTTTCTGGGGAAATCGGGGCCGCTTTCTTACACGACCTTTGGCTGTATTCCAATGCTATGCAGCTACATAACCGGATACCGGATGGACGGATGGTTGTCATTGTCAGGCCACGCGAGTGTACAGATATGTAAACGCTGGATGCTGAAGCGAGCGCATCAGCGCATGAAACGGCATCGGGCCTTTGACTAGTGCCCGAAGCCATCCGAAGCCATATGAAATCATCCAGTTGCAATTTGCATAATGCGGCTTCCAAGGGGGGCGAACCGGGATAATACAGCTAGGCAAGGTTTGGCTTAGTCTTGGACAAGGAGAAGACAGGGTCTCTCCAACTTTTCTCCAAACTTCTCTTCTCGATCCATTCTTACCTCCTCCTCATCCACATCATCTTGCTCATCCACTTCATCCACTTCCTCCAGTTCAACACCATCCCCATCCTGTCCAACACCTCCGTCCCTCGGTTGGCCTTTGGAGAACTGGACCTCGACACTCCCCGCTCCCCGCACGATCCCCCCGCACGAAGAGACACTAGAGTTCTCCCACCTATCAACAGTCTCGCTGTCCCCCAGAGACCCCAGACGCCCTCTGGGACATGGTCAGGACACGATGCTTACTCCAAAGCTCCGCAGAGCCCCGTTCTACCCGTATTCTTACGCGCACCAATGGCACCATCAGGTTTCGCATTTCTAGTGTCTTGACAAGCCCATCTCGTCAGCGAAAGCAAGCCTTCGCAGGCCGCTTCCGTCCCCGGCGTTGGGGGAGGTGGATGGTATAAGACCGGATGCTCCCGATTTCCCTTTTGCTATCCGTAAAAGGTCTTGCCCAGGGCGACTCCAAATTTCTCTTGGCTTTTGCTTGTTCTCTCTTGGCTTTGCCTTATTCCCTTTGAGCCAAGGAAAATCATTAAACGCCATCAACCACCCTCAGACCTCCCCTTCCAAACTCAGCTCAAGATGTCGACAGGTCTCGCCCACGACAGGCATGACGCCTCCAGCAGAGACGAGCACGTCTTTGCAGACGAAAAGGTCGGCGATGCCACCCATATTGATGCCGCAGGCAACAAGGTGCTGGCCGATTCGGACCTCATGAATGATGCCTTTGACGGCGAGAACGAAGAACACAACCAGGGTCTGTGGCAGGCTGTCAAGACGCACCCCAAGGCTTGCTTCTGGGCTTTCATCATGTGCTTCACCATTGTAAGTTCCCATCTATTGGTTCTGTGTTTGTTTTTACCCCTGCATGTGTTGGCGGCTCTTCGGGCCGTCAACCCGTCAACCCGTTATCCCGTCTTGGAGCCCGAGTCAGATGCTAACTTGGGGTTCGTCCACTAGGTTATGGAATCTTTCGACATGTTCTTGAACGGCAACTTTGTTGCTCAAGCAGCCTTCCAGGATAGATACGGTGTTGAGGTTGCTGGTGGCGGCAAGGCCATTGAGACAAAGTGGCAGTCTGCTCTTTTCCAGGCCGGCCAGTGCGGTGCCTTTGTTGGTGTCTTCCTCGCCGGCCCGGTCGTCAACAAGCTTGGATATCGCCTGGCCACCATGGTTGCCTTGGTCATGATGAACGCCACTATCTTCATCTCATTCTTTGTAAGCCACTATCGGTCGTTGAATATCGCATGAGAGCATTTACTGACCGCCGAATCAGGCCAACTCTCTTGAAGTCCTCACCATCGGACAGGCGTTCGAGGGTATCCCCTGGGGTTTCTTCATCGCCATCGGCCCTGCTTACGCCTCTGAGATCGTTCCCCTCGCCCTCCGTGGTGCCTGCACGGCCACTCTGCAGATGTCTTGGTCCATCGGTTCCATCATCGTCGCCGGCGCAACTCTGGGCTTCAACAGCCGTACCGATGAGTGGGCGTGGCGTGCGCCCCTTGCTCTGCAGTGGATCTTCCCCGTAAGTCTACTCACCATATTCATACTCCAGATGGCCATGAAACTAATCCATCATTCCAGCTCCCTCTCATGGTCATCCTCTGGTTCGCCCCCGAGTCCCCCTGGTGGCTCATCCGCCGCGGCCGCAAGGAGGAAGCCCTCCGCTCCATCCAGCGTCTCGGCCCCTCCAACGGCACCGCCGGGCAGTCCCAGCGCAAGCTCGCCATGATCGAGCGTACTGTCCAGATCGAGGCCAACATCGGCGGCACCCCCACCCTCCTCGACCTCTTTAAGGGCGTCGATCTCCGCCGTACCACCATCACCTGCCTGATTTACGCCTCGCAGAACTTCGCCGGTAACCTGATCGCCAACCAGGCCACCTTCTTCTTCGAGCAGGCCGGCATGAAACACGACATGGCCTTCAACCTCAACCTCATCAACTCATGCCTCCAGTTCGTCGCCAACGCCCTCTCCTGGCCCCTGACCGCCTGGTTCGGCCGCCGCACGATCTACCTTTGGGGCACGGCCGTCAACATCACCTTCCTCATGCTCCTGGGCGTCTGCGCCTCGATCCCCCAGAACAACTCCACCAACTACGCCCAAGCCGTCCTCGGAATATTGATCTCCTTCGTCTTCGCCGGTACTCTCGGCCCCATCTCCTACACCATCATCGCCGAGACCTCTGCCGTCCGCCTCCGCGCCCTCAGCACCGCCGTCGGTCGCGCCGCCTACTACGTCGCCGAGATCCCGATGATCTACCTCGCCTCGCAGCTTCTCAACCCCACGGGCTGGAACGTTGCTGGAAAGTGCGGTTTCGTTTGGGGCGGTACCGCTTGTGTCTGCTGGGTTATGGCCTTCTTCTTCCTGCCTGAGCTCAAGCACCGCTCGTACCGTGAGGCTGATATCCTCTTCAATCGCAAGGTCCCTGCACGCCAGTTCAAGTATACTGTCATCAAGGTTACGGATAACGAGTAAGGAGTGCTGTTGGGTTAGATGAAAGATGTAGACTCTACACTCAAGCCCTCTGGATCATGATGAGATAAAGTTCACGGACTTGCTCACAGAAGGCACCCGGCCTTTGGAAGTTCCTAGCCCGCCTTTAATCCAAGCTTTGACAGTACGATAGCATGATAGAATCACTTTTCACATAGATGGCGTTTAATGATACGCAACGATTAATGTTCAATTCCAGATGATGTTGGAGACTGAGTGATTGGATTAGCGTTGGAACATAATTTGAGTGACTCATTCCCGGTGCCGAGGTGGAGCGATGGACTCTTCAACCTGATTTTAATTCATGAATGATGATTCTCTATTGAACCACATCTGCATCGGGATGTCTCGCAAACCAGCAAATGTTGGTAGTTTGTCCCCTTCAGCTTGTTCGAACCCCAGATTAATCCCAGCTTGTCCTCCCAGGCTATAAGGAACCTAACTATAAAAATAACGGATTAAGAACGGAGCTAATTTATTATTACTACGGCTCCTCTACGGCTAGCTACTTAGGGCGGAATAGTACTATAGCGATTTTAGCTAAGTAATTTTACTAGCTAGGGTAGTTAGCCGTTATTAAATAGTTTTTATATAATTACGACGTTTATAATGGAAATACGATATGGCGGTAGGCTAAGCGCGGACTCCTTTATGTTACGGCCAGCTAGTCGTAGGGGTAGTTTGCAGAAGTTGAGGCTGCGGAACTGGTAACAGTAATCGTAGTCGGGGATAGCTTCAGGGAAGCTATGTCTGTCAATCGTAAGGGTGGGTAAGGCTTCGGTGATCAATCGTAGTCTTGTCAAGGTAGTAGCTGAAAGCGGATGTTAATCCTGATACGAAGTTAATTGCTGAAGAAGCTATGGAAAGTCTGTCCTAGAGCCCAGCTCGAGTCCATCCTTATATACAAGTCCGATCCTAACTGAACAGTGCTGAACAGTCCACTTTGTCTGGATATGTTGGATATGCCGAATATGCCGAATATCCAACATATCCTTGACTCGGTTGGATATGTCGCATATCCAACATATCCTTATCCCTTATCATATCTCTTATCATCACGTGACTTGTACCATAGTTCTTCCGTTCCTGGGGTTTCCCCAATGTTCCGTCCCGTCCTGCATATATGATGCGCCGTAGCCGCTAGGCGTCAGCGGGGCACGCCCTGGTCTTCATGTTGGGTCGTAACACTTTAACCCCTAGCGATATTGGAATATATTATTACGGCTAACTTAGCTAACTAGCTAGTTAACCGTAATAAAATTATTATTATATATAAAATAAGATCGTTTTATATAAAGAAATTAATTAAAGAAAACTAAATGTTTATAGTTAACTAACTGTCACGGTAGCAGGCAGGTTGTTTGGCAGGTGGATGCTGGGCAGGCGGATCAGACAATCTATTGCTACGGGCAGGCTCTTGTCGTGGATTATTGTGATCATATTGTTGTCTATGTTGTGTTCTCTCCTTTCCATATGCAGCCAGGAATATCCCTCATCTGAGGCACCTGGATTCCTGCATTTTCATTGGTTGGTCTCACCCAGATTATTGTGGGTTCAGATTGCTCGTTCTGGTCCGAGCATACCCGCCCAATTCCACTTCTGCACTTCAACAGCTCTATCCTAAGCAGGTACAGGCTCTGTTGACAAGACGTAGCTCAAGGAGCTACGTTTCTGGACATGCGCGACAGAATACAGGATGCAGAGTTTTATCCAGCCTCAGGCTTACGTAACCCGGCCACCGGGTTACTCAACACCAACCTCAAGGTTGGGGTCTAGGACAGCGGGTCTGTGACACTAACCTACTTTATAATAATAAAGATTTTTATTAACGTGGTTTACCAGTCAGCCGCGCATATCAGTCAGCCGCGCATTTCCTTATTGTATACTAAGTCGCCTACATTATATAATTAATATCTTTTTCATTGTTGGTTATATAACGTTCAAATTTTTTCATTAGTCTTTGATAAGAGTCACCAAACTAAATAAAAAGTTTTAAAAATTAATTTCTATTTAGAGATAGAGTAAATATATTATATCCTTATCAAAGACCCATATTTCTATTCCACTACTTATTTCAATATAAAAAGATTAAAGTGTCTTTTTCTATTAAATTTAACTAGTTATATTTTAAATATATTATAAAGATAGTTATAACATTGAGTTAGATTAGAATTAAAATGAAGTAAACATAGGGCCAGGTAAGTACTGTTACGACCCAACTGTTACGAGCTGGACAAGGCAACCAACTGTGGCACAAAGCAAAAGCTTCGATAATGATGACTCCGGTCATCATTGTCCCTTGTTCTGCATATATAGCTACGCGCCCACAGTGACAAGTTGCGGCGGGCGTAACACCAACATGCATGACCAAGAACAGGGCCTGCCCTGGAGGCTCGCGGCGGTTACAACACACCACATATGCAGGAGACAAGGGACACTAGGCACCCTCTCACGGAACGGAAGAACTATGGTACAAGTCACGTGATGATAAGATAAGACATGAGCGACCATGGTGGGGCCATGAGCGCTCACCCGATCAGAGGGACTGATCATTGACAAGGGATATGTTCAGGACCAGGACTTGTATATAGGATGGACTCGAGCCGGACTCTAGGACAGACTTTCCGTAGCTCTTCAGCAATTAACTTCGTATCAGGATTAACATCCGCTTTCAGCTATCACCTTGACAGGACTACGATTGATCACCGAAGCCTTACCTACCCTTACGATTGACAGACATAGCTTCCCTGAAGCTATCCCCGACTACGATTACTGTTACCAGTTCCGCAGCCTCAACTTCTGCAAACTACCCCTACGACTAGCTGGCCGTAACAAGTACCTAGTTAAATAAGTTCATTACCTAGAATCGAGCTTGAAAAGAACATGGAGTCTTTGGTAGTGCTCCGCGCAATGTCTATGAGCTAAGGCAGCCTGCTTTCAATAGCTTGCTGACGCCTTGGACTTCTGGAACCTAAAGAGATGGAGAAAAATGGTAAGCCCTCATGTCCTCATACTCAGGCTCCTGGCTTCGGTGTGCAATACTCTGCCATATGAGTCCCAGGATACGGAAGGTCCTTTCGACGTTATGCGAACAAGCCACATGTATTTCGGGCAAAAGCTGTAACGTCATATTTGCATCTTGCAGGTTCTATACCTGGTCAGAATATCAGAAGTTGAAACCTCAATGTCGGTGTATTACCTCAAATGGGGCACAATACTCGAGTCTACGGTCGTGGCGAGTGGTAAAACGTGGGAGACGACTAATCATCCCGATCACGTGAGCTAACGACTTACAAGGCTTTCAAACATCTATCAGGCTGTCTTCCAAGCGATGACTTGTTGAGGGACATCAAATTACATAATGCCTGCTCGTGAGATCCAAAAGCGTTGGGCAACCATCACAAGATGTCATGAAAGAGGTATAGCAGTGGATATCTCAGGGGTAGAGATAAGGGGTAGACAGGGGTATGGGGATACAAAACGGGCTCCCTCGAGGGCTTCCCTTTTCCCCTTTCCATAGTTGATTAGACCACAGTTGAGATCCCGATTTCCATGAGCTACTCTATATGCTGATTCGTGACACAAGACATGCAGGCAGGGGACGGAGTTGGCTCAGCTGGGCCCAGCCCACATGGCTACGTTGCACCCATGCGGTATGCTTGCTTGGCCCTTGTCAAGGTCTCCAACCTCGCTCAATGCCGTCTCTACAGACTTTGTGAGCGGAACCCGGGGCCGAAACAGGGCATCCACACATGCTGCTGCAGCCTCTGCCGGATTGTCTGGCCCGGTAGAGGTGCATGTTCCGGCTGGCATGATGCCCTTGGCTGTAGGTATTGATCAACGCCCCATGTAACATCTCATCGGCTACATGGCAGGAATTCTGGTTTCAGTATGATCGATGGCCGCAGAAAGGCCTTAGTGGAGTACAATACAGTCGTTTCATTGGTTCCTGCGCGTGAGATGCGCTTGGAGTTGTATGCCGACTACTTCTGTTTAAGGTACATGACGTTGATCTCCACACGGCCGTAGTTTCCATTGCTGGACATCATGCTCTACGACTGTAGCATTGGTCACTTGAGACATCTAAGCATCGCGCATTGTTCTCTAGTGAATCTTCTTACAACCCAGAATAGACATAAATTTCCTCCTTACGGCCTTCTTCCATGTCTCTAGAGATTGTACTACTCAATGTTAGGATATCTCCTTCATACTTCCCCTATACGAGTCATTTACTTACCAAAACGCAGTTCTCACATCAGGTACGGTATACCCAGACCCAAGAAGGGCAGTTGACGGTGTACTTGTATCTATTGACACATGGATAGCGATCCGTGTTGTACGTGGAAGACTGTTGCGTGGTAAAGATGGGAGAACTTGGATGTCTGAGCTTCGGGAGGGGGCTCAAAAGATGATCAGTAACGACGTTGAAATGACTTCGTTCTCATTGGCGAGAGTACTCAAAGCCGCTATGGTTATATCCTGCATGCTTTCCGTGTCATCCTACGCTTATCTGCGACCTCCACGGGAAACAACATATAGTAGTTCTCGATGCGTAAGGCCCATGATCAAACAAAGTGGCCCCCGGGCATCTTCTCGGTTGCTTTCTCCTCAACCTTGCTAGGCTTATATGCGTGAAGCCGTAGTAGGAAAGTGGCGAATTGCGTATTCTGACGAAAAAGTTGTAGAGGGACAGATGTTTCAGACACAGTTTCTTCTATGACGACAAGAATATGAGGCGTTGGGCAAAAGATCAAGGGTTGTTGGGCTGTAATTGAGAGGTACAATTGACCGAGATGATGCCCAGATGGACTAGTGTAAAGAGATTGTCCCTGACAAATCCCGTTGTCTCTAATTACAAAAGGATGTAGAGATAAGGCTACATGAAGGCTGGGCCAGGGAGCTAGTACGCATAACCCCATTTTCTAAATTTCGCTACTTTACACATAAATGGGAGAATGCTCGGACTTTGACTCCGGTCTGTTGGTGTAAAGAAATCCCCTAGGACGCGGACGGGTAAGAGATATCTTGTTGTAACAGTGCAAGTACGGGTAACGGGTGTACCAGGTGCTTCATGGATTGCAGGAATACGGAGTACATGAACCGCCATAAGAGTGTAAATATTTCAAGGTCATTCTCATGCCCATGCCCACTGGCGGATTATTCTGAAATAAGTTGCCGATCTAGGAAATTCGACTTTTCGACCAGAGCTTGAGGGCGCCATCTCCAATCCTAGCCCATGGCCCGCCTGTGAGTGGAGAAGTGAAGGCCAAGCTGCCCCTCATGTCCCACGCGCCATGGACCTATTGCGGAATTAGGTCCGAATTTGACTTTAAGCCAGCCAATGGAAAAGGGAGTTGTGACAGTCTAAGCATTGTTAGAGTGGTGGAGGGAGATTGCTCTACATTACTTGCCCTTGAAAGTTGCCCAACAACCCATTATCCGTTGAATCCGACTACATATCCGTCCATCGTCGATGGATCGCTACCCGACTCATGCCGAAATTTGACGGTCAAATACTACAGCTACTTCCGCCGTGATGTGTATCACCTTATAGCCTAAGGTACCTCCAGTCGGCTAACTCGGGATCTATCGGACGTGGACGACGCGGTGAACTTGAGCTTGGCTGAGGTGAGGTATGCTACTTGCTCCTTCTAGACGTAAGGTATCACCTAACCCTCTGTCAAGTAGCGGGATATGGTTTTTTGCGATGTTGCACCTATCTTTCTTATGTCCTGTTCCTGTCGATGTGGTCATCCTTCCGACCCTTCAAAATCGCTTCGGCGCTTGAGTCTGGCAAGCAAGGGGCTAATCAGTGGGTGACCTGAGATGGCCAGGTAGTAGGCAAGACTATGGGCCACCATTCCCTAGACCATGATGTGTTGTGACGGTGTGGCTAGCACTATTTTCGATCGTTGCAATTATCTAGGGATTTGTTAGCCAGTCACATCGTGCCGTGTTGTGTTGTTTTCCCTTTTTCCAAGAGCCCGAACGTTGAAGTCGGCGTTCAGGCATATGTAGGGCTAATAAGGACTTTACCTACTGTGCTGACTTGAAACCAACCTTTCCCACATGAGAGAAATCAGGCCATTTTCGCCCGCACACCCCTTGACCTTCTAGACCGAAATACACAAATTTCTGCTCGAGGGCTAAAATCAAGGTTCGAAGGCCCAAAGCTAGGCAGATCGGCCGTGGATCCTCGGACCAGGCGGTTGGGACTCGGAGACGCCTTCCAATCTGATGTCTAGGATAGATGGTTCTGCTTCACAGATCCAACGCCACTAGATGTACCCATGCATGTGGTAGTAAGGAGAGTTCAGCCCGTTATGGCTTTTGCTCTGACAGGTGACAGAAATGGGGTGGTTACCACTTAATGTCCCTGCATGTTTCTCTGCCGTTCTGCCGCTGTCTCAACTTGGATAGACCCGAAGAAATAACGGTTCGCCATTTGCTACTTTTGCCTGAGCGCAAGACTGGGGGTCTGATCAACCCTGGCCACGCTGCCCAATGGCATGTAAAACTGCGTGTCTGTTCTACGACTGGTAACATTGGGCCCTCCTTTGACTTGGAGTCGAAGTCCGACCCGTTCGGACGAGGTGACTAGTATCGTACCCACCGTCTAGAGTCAAGGGCCCTAGGCACGCTCAATACCAAGCAAATCTCCGCAGACCAATCGTATCACCGAATAAACGAATGTGCATGAAGCGCAACATGATATGTGATTGTATTCACGATCAAGAGGCTGTTGGTTGGGGACAGGCTGCAAGTCATCTCCTACCGGTGAAGTTATCAGGACGGCTTAGAGTGATGATTCGTCCACATCTCTGTAAGAATGGCCCTCTTAAAGACTGATTCTCCAACTTCTTTTCTTTTTCTTTGGTTTGATCTAGATGTAAGCTTCAGCTCGGGCGGCAAATCATGATCCAAAATTTCAATATTCCTTAGCCAACTACCGAGCCGTGTTGACGAAGACGCTCGTAATCCCTTCGCAAGACAGACTCAGCTCGCCATAGGGCTGCAATCACACGACTCAAGCTTTAGCTAACATGGCTATCGCGATGGGATAAAAGATCAACAAATTTGCGAGGAGATGTAACATTATCGCTGCAACGTATGCGTTGAAGATGTCTGTAATACGTGGTATAACGCCATATACCAGTCGCGAGTGCGATGATATCGTTCTTCATCCCCTACATTCGACTGAGTATGATCACTTTCTCGGTTACATAGAACGCATCAACAGCAATGGTTGAAGATCACAATCGTGCGGCAGCCATGGAGTTTGTAAGTTGACTCAACACTTCGTTACACCATCACAATCACAGCCTTTGGGATATCATGGAACTTACTATTTACAACAACAAGCATCTATTTCCTAGGCTCCCAATCGGACTTCGAGTAAAGATATGGCGGTTTAGTCTTCCACCCACTCGAACCGTTTCCATTCGATGCGATACAGCCCATTCAACCTGGGGAACCTCCCCGGCAAAGGTCCCGGCCAGCTTACACGCTTGCCGCGAATCGAGACAAGAGGCCATACGATACTACGGCAACTTGAAGTTCGGTATAGCTGGAGTACCCAAGATCTACTTCAACCCTGAAGTCGACGTTTTACACTTTGGTCCGCTCAAAGGATTCATGGCCGCATCTTCACAGTATTTTTCTGCCATGTCATTGTGCGACCCATCAGACTTGAGGGATGTCCGCTACTTGGCCATCGACGACTCTGTGCTGGGGCACGGGCTCGACAGGGGGGGAGCCGGCTCCGAACTGGCTACTCGGACCATTCGTCAACTTCCGCTGCGCATGCCGGGGCTGAAAGGGATCGTGTTCGTGCGCAGCAATGCTGCGTCTGTGTTTCGAGAGACGGACAACTATTGCAGAGACCTTCAGACATTGATTCGAGTTGCAATACGGGAAGTTACTGGCGAATTTCCGGAATGGAAGGTTCCTTCGTGGTGTACGGCAACAACTTGTACAGATGAAAGTTTGTATTAGGGAAGATTGGGCAGGATCCGTGTAGATACATGAACGGGAATTCACTAGAACCTTCTGGGCCAGGAAAATCTGCCGATCAGAGGACATACTAAACCTATTCTGAAGTTCAAAATAATTAGCTGAATATTATTACATGCCTAAAGCTCGGGATAGAGCCAAAGCTAGCCCAGGCTCCCAGCAATAACACGAGAGAAGTCAAAACGTTCAGTCAATTTTGCCCCCGACCTAGCGAAACCAGGTAAATTTATGTCCTGTATAATTGAGCATTGGCAGTGGATCACAAGCAACACATGGATAAAGATGTACTGCTAGGTAAAGGAGCTAGCTCACCGAGACGAAGATCATATTTCACCTAATACACCACCGGTCGCCAATCGAAGCACTTGAACGCCTCGAATCTGACCTTGCAAGGGTCTCTTGGGCACCCTGTTGGACGGATAATGATTCTGCCCAACTGGCCGTGCCCGAAAACGCCTCAAGAGCGTGGGACGGCTGGCCGTCCTTGCACGCCACTTGCAGGGTTCTCACACGCGTCCACCAGCATCTTGACCGTAAGTTCAGACGCTTGTTCACCGGTTTGCCCGACTTTTGTTCCCCTTCCTGGCATTCGCTCTAGGAGGAATGTTGTTTTCTTCTTTTCGCAATCTTCAACATTGTTGGAGAAGCTGAAAAGTGCCCGTTCGCGAAGTTGTCTCGCTGAAACCGAACCGCGCAATGTGCTGCCGTCTATCATGAGGCATGTACGCAGTTCATCATCACCAAGAAGTAGATAAATAATTAAGACCTAAAGCACATGGCTCAGCATTCAGTAACACGAAAGCCATGTCCTACGAAAAGCTTACCTACCACGACCTGGAGTCCTAGACTTTAGGACGGCCTTCCTTACCTTGATTACAGGGAAAATGAGCCACAATCAACGCCAGTATCGAAGACTGACCGACGACGAGGAGCGAGCATTTAGCCGCTTGTACCCAGCAGTCAGACAGGAGCTCCAAGAACGCACAGGGGTGTACATGTTTCAAGACGGACCAAACATTGTCATTGAGTTGGAAGAGGACATTACGATGCCGCAGCAAACCTTTTTCAGAATTGTTGCGGAGTACAAAAGGGCTAGGACGGCCCATCGCAGTGGGAACCGTCGTCCAGCGCGGTCGACTTCCGGGTCCTCTCCGCTCAGACAAAACGATACAACATGAAAGATCAATGGGTGCACGGAATGACGCAATACCATTCTACGAGAGACAGGCTGCATCAGGGGTCTCGAATGCGGCAGCTATCCCAAAAAGACCAGCGCATATTCTACCCTGGCCCTTTCTGTCCATCTTTGGAAAGGAACACACGAGGCTGAAAGACGGACAGACGCTCAACGGGAGGAATTATTGCAACAGGTTCCTCGAGAGGGAATGCATGGTTTCCCAGTGGAAACACCCAGCTCTTCACCCTCTCACTCCAGCTTCTGCCTCAACAGCTACGGAGACACGCAGAGGCATCATACGCGAGCCTATCGATTCTTTGATCAGAGGATGATCAGTCTACGCGTTTGATTGAGGTCCAATTTTACAGAAGGAGTAACTGCTAGCTGCTACACTGTTCTCAAGGAATTTGTGCGAGAACGGAAAATCTCAATAATTCAGATCACGATCAAGGCTTTAGAATTGTAATTCAAAAAAACTTTAATGATACTATCAATGATCCACCTCACAATCACCGCCTAAGTCCGCATGCCTCCATCGATATCCGCATGGTCCATAACGGGCCATATTCCGCTTCTCCACCAGCCCATCAACCTGGTATTCTGATTCAGACCTAGAACCCCTCCAAGAGACTGCCCCATCTGTCAAACCCACAGTCTTTCGTAGAAATATTACCCAGATCGGCAAGATCTCACCGAGATGGGCGAGTCATGCTAGCCCTTCATCACCGGCCACGATACACAGACCGACATTGACGGCACAGGAATGCCATGTGTGTGAAGGGCTGACACATGAAGCCTGCAACAGTAGCAGCAAGCACACTTCTCAACTAGGCTAGAGAGTTCAAACTTGGTCAAAAACTAAGCAGAGTCAAGGTCACGTCGTGGAGATCAGATACTTGGGGGACCATGGAAGTAGATTGGTACTGAGTCACAAGTTCTGGGCAGGGTATCCACCTCTCGGGTCCGGATGTTTGAGGCCATCCAAGGCGCGTACATTTCAGGGACTTATTCTAGTCACGGAGTGACACCTCCTGTAAAGAGCTTGAGGTCGACGAAGAAGTCAGTTGCGTCGGGCTGATGGCTGTCATTGTTGCGGCTTGCCCACACACCTACCTGCCGGGACAGTGGGGGTGCAAGAGGCCGGCAGTGAGCTCTCCCTTGATCCCTCCCCAGCAGGTGGACCAAAATCATTGGCAGCATGTCAAAGCGGTATGGGTACGGCCGTAGTTGATTGACAGGCTTGTCCCTCAACGACCCCAACTAGGTGGCATCGAGATCCTTGACTTTTGTCGGGCCATTGGCTGACTGTAACCATCATCTGTGATGATCCAAGTCTAGCCAACGAGACCCTGTCCGAAACAGCTTAGCAAGACACAAAGCGTAAGTCATCCCTGGCCAGGACTTCTGCAAAATTCCCTCTAAGTGAATCTCTACTAGTGACCACTGGCAGCGCAAACCAGGAGGCTCTCGTGCCTTCAGTGCGAGATGGGCTGGCCGAATCAGGCCCCAGTCGCAGCTCTGACTGCACACCGCAACTTCCACTGAGCTAAGTCACTGCTGAGCTCCCGATCTTTCGGATGCTAAAAGCATGGATATGTACTCCGTAAGGTATTGCTAGATATGGCTTGCTTCCAGTTGCTAAACCGTTCATCAAACACGAGAAACACGCGAGAGAAGAAGGAGCGCAGTTGAAGCGGTGAGGAATCGTCGACTGAAAACGTTTCTCGGTGAATTTCCGCATACCGCAAATTCTAGAGCATATCTTCCCTCCCTCAAGTCTCCTTCTCAAAGTAATCTTCAACCCCGGCCGTCTAGGTAGATTTTAGTGAAAAAAAGCAACAATCCAATGCCAAAATATCCATTCCGAGATACATATTAACCCCCAAGCGCGTCATCCTCGCGAGCAACCCGTACCACACCCACAAGAAGATCGTTACCATCCGCCACATGTTTTCTTTCGGGAGGTAGGGAATTTTTCAGGAACCTGCTGCACCGATCTCAAAGGGGAGCCTCTGGGTATCTATGAATGCGTGAAGCCTTGCAGACCTCTCAAAGCGCTCAAATCAGCCGACAAATGCCACCCACATCCTTCGTCAAGCTACTAATCTGCCTCATCAACTACTATGTACCCCCGGTGGAAACATACCAGTCCGGAACAGTCCACCAGATTTTGTTGGAAAACTTGGATGAAAGCGAAAGATGGTCATCGCGTTCAGAACAAGTGGGAAAGATTGACCAAGGATATCGAGCCCTCATGACAAATTCTGATATAGATGGTGCGCTGTAGTCTGTACCTAGTATCAAAGAGAGAATACCCCAACGCCTGATACACCAACGACTCCATCAAAAGCCGAAGCTCGGTGTAACCCAAAATCACTCGCTACCGTAACTCAGAGTCTTCCTGGAAATGACTTCGCCGCAACATATGTACCTGTAACCAATCGCCGATGCACCGAGGTTACCCCAAACATGGCATCTTTCTCTGAGTCTTTCTTAGAGTGACAATGCCCCTAGGCTCTAGAGAACCGAAGCGAATCTAGTGATGGAGTTGACGACCATGCGGAAGATGAGGCCGGCGATGCCGACCACAACGAAGATCTGCCCGAGCTCGATCCAACTCTTCAGGCGGACTTCGGTCTCGAGGAAGCCGCCTTTGATATCTTGGCTTGCGGGGAACCGTCCGGTCGACAGATACTCCTCCATTATAGCATCCTTCTCGTACCACCGCTCGCGGAGCCAAGTGTCAAAATCTTTGGCGTCGTCCAGAGGAATATCGGCAAGGCGGAAGCGGCGCCAGTGAAGATTGACCGACTTTGGAGGACGGCCTTGGAAGTAGGTGCTAGTGAGAGTGAAGAACTGGTCGCCAAACTTGCCACGGCTGGAATGCTGTTAACGCGAGTCGCAAACAAGTTTACCAGCGAAGGCGCCTGGTGCAAGGGGAAAGGTTTACTTACGGGACTCCTTCATACGCAACTGTACAGTCGTAGATGTAGTCGAGTGAACCCTTCAGCTCGTTCAGGCAGAAAAAGGTACCTGTGCTTCGTGGGAGAAGCACGTGTTCAGGGTCCTTGAGATCGTTCTTCTTGGCCCATGCTGCCGATTTCCTGCGGCCGTTGGTAGACAGATTCGTTCCCTCGGGGAACAGCAGGAGCCACATGGGATCGAGGTACTTGTTCCCGTTGGTTCCGACGTGTTGCTTCTTCAGCTTCTGAAGCCGGTGCGCAAGTCGCGGCTGGTCGGTCGACATCTTGCGCGACATGAAGATGAAGCCGTAGAACATCATGCCGGCGCCGACCCCGGGGATGTACCTGAGCGATTCCTTGAGAATGATGTAGATATGTCCGTGCATGCTCGGCGAGTTTGCGTAGGCTACCCACCAGAGGTAGAGCCAGTCGGTGTAGATCTGCCCCAGCGCCGTCAGTATCCCCATTGTTCATGTCGCAAATGTCGCCAAGATCAGGTGTCTCATACCTGGTGGTTTGCGACAAGCACCACTCGCTCCGGGAAGTTGAACTGAACCCTGCCGTCTGCCGTCTTTTGGATCTGACCGTTCATCGACGCATCGCCGCTAATCCTGATCGTAGTACTGCTCCAAATGTGCGTCATGGCGGTAATAGTGAGGCCAAAGGACTGCTTCGTTAGCGCCATGTAGGAGTAGAACATGTCGCGATTCGCCCAATAAAGCGGAACGCCTAGAATCTGCGTGGTGATGATGCTGCATGCGACACATGTTAGCATCAAGCTGTCGCAAAGCCAGACTGATCAGCCCCGGGGTAGAACGTACGCAAGACAGCAAGCAGCAAAGTAGACGCCGAATGAGAAGCCTCGCAGTACCTGCATCAACAGGCTGTGCTTGACGCGACCGGCCGGATGAGGATCGCTTGGTTTCCTGACCAGGCCCGCGTTAGGAGCTGGCGCAGGAACCTTGGTGTCACCTTTCGCATCGGTCTTGTGTACGTCGGTCGCCATGATGGCGGTTATTGGATTATTTGTTCGGTCGTAGCCTTGAAGGGGAGATTCGAGAGGCATAAGGATGGTGTCGGGAGGATGAAGACCACCCGAAACGTAGAGGATATCGCTTTAGGACTTTCAGTGGACGAGGGCTTCGTTGCGCAGCGTTGAAAAAGTTGGCCGTGACGTCGCGTGCGACCTGGCATGTGAGACGAGCAGCTGGACAGTCGACAGCCAGGGTGATGCCTAGCGCGGCGGGGTCGGAGGGTCGGTGGAGGAGACGGTCGATCAGGGCCACCGAGGGCGGAGCGACGGAGGAACGTTCGAGGTCGCTAGAGTATAGGAAAAATAACTCGAGAGTAGGAGTGTCGATGTTCGTCAGTCGAGTTAGGTGAGTGTCGGCGCCTTGTAGGAGTGGCTGTGAAGCTATGCATGCGGCGTCATTGCAGTTGAAGGTTTGATGGAAGAAGGGTGTTAAGCTGTGATTCGGTATTCAGAGTTAGGGCAAGGTAAGGATGGTCAGATAATTAGGTCAGGCAAGGTAGAGTAGCGTACGAGGGTATGAGGCGGTAGAGTGGTGCCTTTGAAGCTATCCGAACACGCTCGCTGATCGTCAAAGGAGTATGTACCCTGTCCAAAGTGGAGGAGGGCATGAGGTAACACAACGAACAGCAAGGAAAGCAAGACTCAGAGTTGCGGTACAGACATGGTCCGGTGTCTTGTCTGGTCTGGTGTGGTTTGAGTCTGTAGCATCGGCCGAGCGCAGCCACGGCCTTGATTTTGGGCCGAATCTGGAGGATGGAGGGGTTCACGGCAAGGTACGTACTGGAAAGTACGAAAGCTGGGAGCTGCCTGACCAGTGACCACTTGCCTGCAGCTGCAACATGCGGAATGGCTCCATGGCGGGGCAAGTACGCACGGCTCATCCTCCGCAATTGGCTGCATCTTATCTCCGCACGTGCCATATACAGCTGACATGGATCATCTCCCACCCCGAAGTCCGTCCCTCCGTTCCGTCTCCACTTATTCTCATTGCTTGTCTCCAAGATCGGCGTCTCCCGAGCCAATCCCGCCGCTGCTATTGCCATGTGACACACCTCCTCACCTGATGCTCACCGAGGGCGGCTATCCAGGTGAGAACCACGAGTCACCAAGCTCTGCTCTCGAGCTACAACATGAACCCACACAGATTCAATCACCAAGTTTTCTTTTCTAGGCGCAGCTTACTCACATGTGAGACCAGAAAATCAAACGGGAAAATGTTTCTTCTGAACCACTTCATGCCCATGCACTAGTGCGAACCTTCACGTTTCACGGGAAAAAGATGAGATCAACTCAATTGCATAAGGCTGCCCTACCCGGTGCTGCTCAACCTCTTCATGCAGGCCAAGACAATGGGACAAGAGAAAATGGTCTGCATGTGAGTGGCGCTCAGAGCTGAATTACGAGCTTTTTCGCAGACACGCCCTGTTTCAATACATCAAGTCCAGCTTGGATCGACTCCAGCCCATTGCCAACGACCTCCGCGTCCGGCTTGGGCTTCAGCTGGCCATTCCTTAGAGCACCCGGTACGAAATCTCTCCAGACAGGATTCTGCACCTCCTCCGGGTCTTCTGTTATCTGGTAGGCAGTCACTGCATGAAGATCAGTATTCACAATCATGTCTGGGTATCGCTCATCTCGACGCGAGCAGACTTACTCATGCTAATCTTCGCGTTCTTCCCATAATCGCCCTCTGTCGGTAACACAACCGAAACCTTTCGCGGCCCAATTTGATCCAATATGGCACCAATAGGCTTCAAAGACTCGGGACCAGAGATCGCGTCGTATACTCCAACAAGATCCGCCCCAGTCAACGCCTTCAGCGCGTCATGGACCAGAGTATCCGAGTGGTAATCCACAACTACCTCTGCGCCCAACTCGAAGACCTTGTCGAAGTTGCGCTGCGAAGCCGTGGTAACGACTCCGAGCCCCGAGGCGACCGCCAACTGTACCGCGGTGCCTCCTACAGATGACGCGCCGCCCCATATGAGGATCGTCTTGCCCGCTCGACGCGGAGTAAGGGATGGTAGAGGTAGGCCGAGATGTTGCTTCTTGTAGAGCCCTACCGCAGCAGTTGCGATCGCCAGCGGTAGTACCGATGCGCTTTCGAAGCTCATGTCGTCTGGGATGGGGGAAACGAGGTTCGCGTCTGCTTTGCTGTAGAGCTGAAACGTTCCAAACTCGTGGTTTTGCTTGCCTAGCCCGGTGCAGTATCTGCGCGTGGTGTTAGTCAAGACCGACTGGCAATAGGGCATGTGGTCTAGACAGGTATGTCTAGCAGGTTGCACCGAGTTCTCGGGCAGACTAGTAGCTACGGCATGGGTACGCACCCTATGACCCGCTGGCCTTTTGTGAGATGGGTTACTCCGTCGCCGACCTCTTCGACAAAGCCCGCAGCATCTGCGCCGAGTATGGTAGGATACTTCTGCACAATGATGCCCATATCCCTGGGTCATGTCAGTGGTGCCTTGTCGTCATGAGCACGGACCGTACCTACTGGATCTTCCATTCTGCTGGATTCTTCTCAAGTGTAAAAAGGTAAGTTTGGTTCTTGGATCATCTAGCTGAAAATGTCACTCACCAGAGCCGTCGCTATATTCCTGATGACCACCTCTCCTGGTCCGGCCATTGGGAATGGAGCATCGTCGACCTTCATCGGGTAGGCCTTTGCATGTGTAAGCCAAGCAGCCTTGTTTCTCGACATCTTGGCTTGGGCAATGAAGGAAGCCTCCCTTTTTCTGCGGAGATTGTCTTGTCTTTTCTGCGACCTTAAAGAACTGAGAGGTCCTTGGTTCCAATTAGTGGTCACGAAGATTGTTGATGTTTCCGTGAAACTTTCCATTACCTAACCGCTGAGGATAAACACAAACTGCATTATAAATCCAGCCCCGGCTCTATCGGATCTACCAGTTGAATGTAAACCGACATGGCGGGGCCGAAGCCGGATAGTGGAGGGCCGGGCGCTACGTTGGCGGAAACTCTCCCTGGAAGACAGGTTGTGAAAGAAGGCGAGTATTTCCAAGTTGGGATTGAAGCTTTCAAATGGGAGCTTTAGCACTCGTGTATCCAATTGTTTCCACAAATCTCCTCGATATAACTATGGAAATACCAGAGATAGTACCGTGCGGATGAAGTCCTTGTCTTCTCGCACTTACACTACGGACTCTACCCAAACTCCTCAATATCAAATACGCACTCTCGGTCCTAAATAGAGACAAGAATCCCTCCGGAAAACCCATGACGATCACAACCAAAGATCTAATTCTTGGCCACCTTGATCAACAAAGATCCAACGCCACTCCCACCACCCCACTGGCGATGCGCAGTCTGAATATCCTCCATGTCCCAAACACACTTAATCGGCACTGTAATCGTCCCCGTCCTCAACATATCCAACAACGCCGTGACATTAGGTACATACGTCGCAGAGTCCCTGTTCAACGCATAGAAAGTCGTGCTCCTCTTCGTCAACAAGTTCAAGTTCCTCGCAAACAGCTTCAACAGCGCACCCGTCGGGTTCCGTGGGGGCGCGCCCTCATTCAATGAAGCCTTATTATTCCCGAACCCGACGAGCGTGCCATCCTCGGCGAGGATGGAGTAGCTCTCGTCAAAGCTCTCGAAGCCGAGAGGATCAAAGACGGCATGCGCGCCCCCGAGGGCGTTCATCTCCTTCATCCAGTTCTTGTCGCTGTAGACAAAGGGGATCCCGCCCTCGCGGCGGACGTCAATGTGGTTTCGCTGGCTCGCGGTGCCGTAGACTGTCGCGCCCTGCAGCTGCGCGAGCTTCATGAGGGCGTACCCCACGGCGCCGCTCATCCCGTGGACAAACACCCGCTGGCCCTTGGATACCCGCGCCGAGTGCATCACCATGCCGTACGCGGTGTTCCAGTCGCAGATCAAGGCGGTCGCCTGGCGGTGATCCACGCCATCAGGGACGCGGATGCAGTACTTCTCCGGCTGGTTGACCAGCTCCGCCTCGGAGTCGTATTTCGTCAGGACGGCGACGACGTCTCCGATTTGAAAGTTCTTGGAGCCTTCGCCTAGGGCGCGGACGGTGCCAACAAGGCAGTAGCCCGGGGTTAGGGGCGCTTTCTTCATGAAGGGGTAGATGCCCTTGCGCATGTTGACGTCGGCACCGGAGAAGCCTGAGTATTCTGTGGCGATTTGGATTTCGCCTGGCGGTGGTGGTGGGCAGACATCGGTGACTACTTTTATCACGTCGACGTCGCCATATTGGGAGATGATGACTTTGCGGATGCTCGTCATTGTGGCGGTAGGAAAGGAGAGGTGGTGAGGATTTGGCGAGGTTGGAATCTGGGGAGTTGAAGAGATACACGTCAAAGGAAAAAGAACACCAGAGAACCTTTTTAAATCATGCTTTCAACAAATTCAACTTCTTAATTATGGAAATTATGTAACTAAAATCTCATGTCCTAAACCAGATGCCGTGGTACAGACTCTCGTGTTCTGCGATGCTCAACGGAGACGACGGCATGCCGTCAGGCTTCAGTACCAACCGAACAGCGGGTGTCCGTCGGCACACGGAGCGGTCCGCATGATTTGTCTTACACCCGCCTGCGCACTGCCGGTGTAGATCTCAATCCTTCGCCGAGACTTCAAGGAGATAGTCAGCTCATATCGCATTTATCCTTCATCTCTTGGATCTGCAGCATTTCAATAACTCGCATGTAAGATAGGACCTCGGGTCTGAAGTCCCAACTGCCCCCCGCCCACTTACATGCAGCTCTGTCGAGAGTTCCAGCGACTCGAGGGGTCCAAGCTCACACAAACTTTGGGGTACATGAGCCCAAGTTTTGATTATAATTCCATCCACCAGGCCTGCTGGCGAAATGGCATCGCGTCACATTTCGGCTCCCTAGCTACTCTGTGAAGATTGTAGGTTCGATCCCTACGTAGGTCGGTTTCTTTTTTTGCGCTTTTGAAAGCCTCATTCCCAACGCAAAACAAAATGGCGGCAGTGGAATGAAAGTAGTTTGGACTCGTTTGGTTAAGTTTCAATTGACGCAGCAAGTCTCCTTCTTTCCCCTCGCAATTGAAACGCTGTTTGAAGTTGAACTCAAACCTCTAAGATTGGTCAAATGCGCGTGTTAAGTGAAGCTCACGTAGCTCAACACCACTCGTATCTCGCACAAATCTTAGCAGATAAGGTTCCTGATTTTTTCAGGATTCAACTACGAATACAATAAACTAATTGCTCACTTCCACGGTCGACTCAACTCAACTAGCACGCCTCCCAGTCTCGAAGAACTAGCGGAGCATGGGTTGAGCTTTGAAGCAGTATCCTTGACTGCCCCTCATCAAGCTACCCCGACTTTAGACTCTTGTAATTGCAAGGCTTTCAGCGAGAGCTCCTCCTCCACAAGTTTCGGATTGATCGGGAATATTGGTGCGGGGAGAGTTCGGCAGATGCGATTCAGATGGAGTTTATGCTTCGGCACGCGGGGCCGGAAGTGCATCATAAATTGCTCTCACCCACCTCGGTCTCTTTTCATTGTCATTGCAAATCATAAGACCGCTATTGGGCACATTGAAACTACAATGAGATCCTCAATTCTTGATCCAGACTACGTTCAGGTCACATTTCCGGGCTTCCTTCTGGGTCTCGCGATCGTCAGCGCGTTAGCCTACGTTGTCTATCAGAGATTCCTCCACCCCTTGGCTGCTTATCCGGGCCCATTTTGGGCATCTATCACGGACTTGTGGCAGGTCAATCAGTTCTTGTCTTTGAAGCAGCCTTACAATCTAACCGATCTCCACCGAAAGTACGGCGAGTTCGTGCGATATGGACCGGACAAGTTGAGCATCACTGCCGAAGAGGTCGTTCCATTGGTGTATCAAAAGGGTGGCCAGCGGATGCCAAAGACGGAGTACTACGATGCATTCGGTTCCAAGACCCAAAATGTCTTTGGCATGAGATCCACAGAGGTACGAAAGATGCTGCCTCCACAAAACTGACGACTCTTATGCTGACGAAACGTAGCTGCACTCCATCAGGCGACGTCACATGTCACACAGCTTCTCCATCACCAGCGTGAAAGGCATGGAAGAGTACCTGGATCAGAACATCAAGATTCTGCGTGACAAGATTGCTCGGTTCGCAAAGACCGGAGAGGCTTTTGACCTCAAGAAACTTCTACACTTCTACACCATTGACGTTCTCGGCGAGCTAGCCTTCAGTCGCTCCTTCGGGGTTCAGGCCTCTGGCGATGAGTCTCGTGTTCCGCCGGTCATCCCTCATAATTTTCTAGGTGCGACTTTGGGCGCATGGCCGGCCATGACACAGACTCTCAAGCAATGGCTACCGAGAGTACCAAACGCGGGCCTACAGGCTTTGTTTGCAGGACGGGCCAAGTGTGCTGGGCTGGCGGCTGAGTGTGTTCAGAGACGACTGACAGAAGTGGAGGATGATGAAAACAAGGGTAAAGTGCAGAGGAAAGATATCTTGACCAGTCTTATTTTGGCTAGACATCCCTACACTGGAGAGAAGATTGCGAGGGTTGATCTGGAGGCCGAAGCATTTGGAATGATGTAGGTCCAAAGCACGCGCAAGGCTAGACAAAAAACGGTGTGACTGACCCCGTCTCATAGCATCGCCGGAACACATACGACTAGCGCAACCACGACGCTTCTCTTCTGGAACTTGCTACACAACCCAGACGCCCTCAGCAAATGCGTAAAAGAAGTGGATGAGAACCTAACGTCTCTAGATAATGGGAAAGACGCCTACTCGATCACGGAAGTAGAAAGCTCCCTGCCTTTCCTCAGGACATGTGTCAAGGAGAACTACCGCATCACTCCGGTCTTCACTATGCCGCTGGCGAGACGGGTGACAGCTCCCGAAGGCATTATGGTTTCAGGTCGTCATATCACGCAAGGGGTAGGTCAAGAACCCAAACGTTCCCGCGAGTTCACACGAGCAAACTTAATCTGATGTGAGTAATAGGCATCCGTGGCAGTATGCAACCACGCGTTCCATCACAATCCGCAAGTATGGGGCGGCGACCATGATATCTTCGACCCGTCAAGATGGAATCGACCAGAGACGGCTACCCGGGCCCGCTATCTGATGCACTTCGGCCTTGGTGGTCGTCAGTGTCTTGGCAAAACGTTGGCGCAGTCCAACATATACAAGCTTACTAGCACCTTGCTGCGGGAGTTTGATTTCCAACTGGCCGATCCGCTGGAGAGAGGACTTGCTGTCAATGGGAGCTTTCGCGGGGTCTCGCCAGATCTCATCAGCGTTGGTGTGAGTGATCTGGCGGGACCCTTGATGGTCACTGCCAGTGCCCGGACACAGATGTGATTGAAGGAATCAAATAAGGCATCTTCCATGCTAAGGTAACTTGAGGTTCAATATCGAAGCAACGACATGTGAGAAAGAATACATGTGGGTAGTGATGTCGTCAAGTCAATTCCTTTGATTCAACCGCCTCTGGGAGTATGGGTGGTAGCACGAAGCTGTCGCTGTGACTAATTCCACTACGAGCTCCCCTACAATGCCTGGGACATGACTTTGCCTTGCCGAATTCTCTCACTGGCCATTGAAAGCACCAGACCGTGTGACATTGAATCCGACGTTGACGCCCCAAGAGATCGTATCAAACTCTAGTCGCAGCCGGGTGACCTGCATCTCTTTATTCATGGCAAACAAATTGAACCCCTTCACGGGTCCTTTGGGGCCAATCTCGGTGAACTTCCAATGCCACAAGATGTTGTTGCACCCAGCTACTAGTATCTCGATGGTCTGGACACCACGGTAGGGGTTGGACGCGAGTGTGCCGTTGATGTAAGCTTGTTTACTTGGGAAGCTAATCTCACTCGGCTACAGGACGTATCAGCATTGAAAGTAATGTGCCACAGAGTCTGTGGTTGTGTAAGATAGACTTGCCGGCAGTCCAAGAAGAGACCGGACCGAGTTTGAATGTTCCTGGAAATCCTCGGCCAGGATGACGTCCAAGGTGGCTGTTTGGGTGCCGAGGTCGGTGTTTTGACGAGTTACAACCCCAATCCAACGCTCTACGGACTTATCGGCTTGAGATTGGGTGATACAATTGTCACCTGGGTGAGCAGTAGGGTGTGTCCTGGAAACGCTGGCGAAGAGAGCGAGAGCCGCTGGAAGAGTTGAGAGCTTCATATTGGAAGAGTACTTGGGCGGGAAGATAATTGAGAATGAGAAAGCTAGCTGTAAAGACTAACGAGAGTTGCAACTTGTTGCAGATGGAAGTAATTAGGTGAACTCACCAGCGGCCTTTATACAATTGGGTTCACGAAATCACCAGAGGTTTCCGAAGCACCGCCTGTGAAGCTAATTCCGTGAGGACGGATAATACGTCGGTAGTGCGGCAAATTAGTGTCTAGCAGACAAGTCTATTAGCACCTTCAGCGATTCAGAAGCCATAATCCCTGATCCTCTCGGAAGCAAAGGCTTGTCTTGTAAAGTAGGCCTGGAGATAATTGTCCTGGGGAGATTGCATAGTAGATCAACTGCAACCGATGTCCGGAATTTGGGTGCCTCTGGGTCAAATCTTCCTTCTGTTAACCTGAATGCCATTTGGATCCTAGGCTTCATGTCTGGATGAAGCCTCAAATCGTATTTGTACGGACTTCACGGCCAATGTAGTTTGATCTCGGCGCCGAAATCCTTAGCGGGGCTCAGTAAAACCGGCGTGAAGGCATAGCACAAGGGTTGGCTTTCGCCTCTTCATCAATTAAGGTTAGAGAGAACTTCAAGGCAAAGCAACAAAGCAATTGATGTTGTTCATGCAGCTCCCGGCGTTCGTCACATTGGGCACGGGTCCATGATAAGGGAGTCTTCGTCGGAATCAGTTTCCCGAACAGAATGTATGGCTGCCTGCTCCGGTCCGGGGTAGCGCTACTACCTCATAACTCCGTGAGCCTGGGACATTGAGGGAGAATAGTCCGAATGGATTTTGGTGGTAATACCAATATAACTTATAGCTAATACCAATACAAGCTACTCACTTGGGTTGTTTACGAATGCGAATTGAGTTAATCGTGTTGTTAATATTTTCAAGATGTCAAATCTTGCAGTCTACGGCATAATTCTCCCAATTACCTATCCAGTAGCATAGATCCTCCTCATGTACCTTGATCGAACGCCGCCCTGGGCCAAGTCCAGGCCAATCCCATTATTCGTTAATACGTCATAGACATTATAGACATGAACATCACTCTTGATCCATTACACAGTCAAATCTGTGCGGGCCTCATCTTCTCCAGCTCGGTTGGCAAAGTCGGCAAACTCGAGTGCTTCACGGTATTCTCCGCATTCCAACCCCGGAACATGGGATGTGAAAGCAACGGCGGCGTCTTCAACCGGATCGTAGGCGGCCGTATCGGACCGCCGGACTCTTCTTCTACCGGTAGCGTCACTCGCCTCGTGGGGTACTTCTTGTGAAGAAGCTGCCACGTCCTCTCGACGCGCGCTTCGTGCTCAGTCCAGTCGCCGCTAAGGGACTTAAGCAAACCCTCCCCTTCCTCCGCGTCGATGCTCGTCTTGGATCTGCTGCGGCCATGCCACGTCCTAGATCGTGTCCTGGCGGGTGGTGAGACGGGCTCGGTGGGAAGGTCTGGAGTGGCGGCGCCGGCGACGGGTGTAACTGTGACGGATGACCTGTTCTGTAGCGACTTGCGGATAATCGTGTCTCTCAACTCCTCCTCGGCCAGGATGATGCGTGACTGCGTGAGTTTTGATCGTCGGGTGTACTCCTCCCATGTGAGATCTGGGTCGCGGAGACAGGCATTTTTGTATTCTTCTGCGAATTGCCTCTTGCGACGACGGCGAGTTATTGTGAAGTAGATGACGATGGCGATAATTAGGAGGAACGCGGAGCCGAGGATTGTGGAGACGATGATGAGCGTTTGTTGGCTGGGTCCGCCCCCGGTGGTCGATCCGGCGGTGAAGTCGGCAGCTACGGGATCGGAGTCGGTCTTTGCGCCGGATCTCGTATTGAGAAGAGGGATAATCATGTTATGTAGAGTTGGTTACGACGTTATGCCGTTGTGATATAATAGCGAGCGACAGAATTAATATTCTAGTAATTAGAGCGAGCGTGGTGCGTCCATGAAAACGACTGAGTGGACGAGCGGGAATAAGTGGGAGCGCGCAAATTCTTGACCGCTTCAAAATCTGTGTGCGACGATCGCCCGCGGGGGAACCGGAAGGCTTTGTATATACACGTAGCAACTAGACCTTTCTCTCCCCTCACAATAGCAACCCCGGACAGCAGGCCGGTCGAAAAAAGCGGTATTCTATTTAAAACATGCAGCTTCCCAAGAAGACAATAACCCACGTCGGCAGCCCAGGAGCATACCAGTCCCCATGATTGCATTGCGCAGGAACGCCAGGAACGCGGCATTCGCTCACCGTATTCCGCAGAAAAAGCCTGCAGGTGATTCTTCTGCACGCCATTTCTGCCACCATGGGCATGAGAAGCGAGGAAAGAAAGTTCGGATACGGGACTCGTCAAGGATTCTCCGACTCAAAGGAGCAAACCTGGGCAGAGAGCAAGGTGGTAAGCATGCCTATCGGAGTGGGATCTCTTCGCAGGGCGAGGGTTGCGAAAGTTCGATAAGGATGGCTGGACAACTGTCTCTCTGGTGATTCGGCCGTTGGGGCTGTCCACGAACGCCTCGCCAAAGTGTCAGGCAGCATCCGCAACAGACAACAGAAACAGGGGACCGGAGAGCGCGTGTTTTCCCCTCTGGAAAGCCATACAAACCAACAAACCAGCCCAAGCGAGGAGGGACCTTAGGGCTGCCAGGGGTTTTGACTGGCTACATGTGCGCTATAATTGGCCCCGGGCCTGGCCTTGTCGGGTCGCCAACACGAGGTCAGGCACAGTAGCGCGGCATTGGCGGAACGGGGCTCAAAAAGCAAATCCCGGACGAGTGCCGGGGGTTGCCCGTGTGGCTGATAGAAAAAGAGAGGAGAGTTGGGAGGCACAGGAGGGAGCGGGATGGGAAACCCACGACCCGCGACCTATCAGAGTCTCAGGAACACCCGGTGGCTGGCCAGCAAACCGAGCCGCGCAAGACAAGGATCGGATGGTTTTCTTCTCTTCTCCTCTGCCGCCTTCTGGAGTGAATTGTTCCCAAGCCGGGGGTACTCCGTACGGCAACCTGCACTGCCCACTGCAGTCGAAGTTGAGGGGAATGGGATTTCTAGCTCGAAACTTGGAAGCCCATCAGTCGTGGAACATGGCCATTGGGCCATGCTTTCATGCTCGCCTCGCCTGTGCCAATGGATCCCGTTCATGTGCGTCTCTTCAAGCACGACATGCGGGTGGATTGTTGGTGAGTCCGACGCTCAATCCTGGGGCAAGCAACCCATTACATTGCCACCACATACCTCCCGGCTGCCTCCCGGCGTAGACTCTCTGCAACTTGTAAGTTGATAGGGAAGGAATTCGATTCAATGTTGTTGACAATTCTGACAGAGATGAAGAGAGATCTCGGACATGACGATCTCCTTCAATGTCTCACTCGCGCAGGTATTATCGGGCGTTAACCCACCATGTTTGCTTTCTTCAGTCCAATAAAGTACACCGCCTCGCCCGTTTGCGCTTTCGGGGCAAACGGCGCCCAACTATTTTGGTGTTTCCTTCTTTCGCTTGTGCAACCAACGTCATGTTGCATCTTGAGTATCTGTTTCGAAGACACAATCAGGCGGCACAAATTTCCTGCGGTTTCCCGCTTCTCGAATCGGCCCCCGTTGGCGATTGTTTTAATTAACTATTGAGGAGGGCAGAACCTGATAGGTTGGAAACATGAAGGGGAATCAAAAGTCCTTCTCCAAAGCAAAGTCCAACAAAATCACTTTTCTTTCCTTTTCCTCAGTTCGTGTGTAAATCGAGACCACCTGCTGCGACCCAGACTCAAACGTCTCAACCTGCGGCTCGCCGGAGAACCCTTCCGCCTGCCAAAGCATGCGATACTCCAACGCGACCTCGTCGTCCGCAGATATCGTGGTAGGCAACCTGGTACCGATAACGGTGAGCTTATCATCTCGATTACCCGGCAGGGCAAAGACGACAGTCCTCTTGCCCGGCAAAGCAATAACGTCCCCACGCGCTCCCGTCCGCGTAGGCTGCAGGTCCGCGGGCAACGCGTGTCGGCTCCATCGCCCCTCCGGGCTGCGGTAGTAGTGTATCCAGACTTCGTTCTCTCGGTTCAGAACGTGGAACCCGCCTTCTTCGTCTGCCGCTTGCGCCTCCTGGTTCAGGATGCCGCTATTCATTGGGATGTCGAAGACGATGAGCCCTTCGCTGTCGGGATATACGGTCTCGCCCACTTCGAGATTCGCTAGCCTTTCGTCTTTTGTGTTGTTGAATGTTTTTCCGCCGTCGTCGCTGTTTACGTAGAAAAGCTGGATCCAAAGTCAGCTCTACGAGCTTCGTCCTCGGTAAGACTGGGTTTAGGCACATTGTGGTTGTTCTCTGGCCCATTGGGCCCGGCCTGAACAGTGTGCGTTCGCGCTTCTGGGTCATCCACGCCTTCGTACCATACGAACCCACGATACGTGCCAGACACGTGAATGCGCCCGTTGGCGTATGAGATGCCGTTAATGTACGGGTTGTTGTTGACGCCGGTAAGAAATTGCCCGACGTAGGAGTACGACTGGTCTTTACTGCTGTATTTGAAGAGGTGATCGGAGCCTGCTCCCGCACTGCATCTCGGTCAGTCCCATACCCATCCCCGCGCACAGCTTTCAGTCACATACATGCCAATGCGATAGCTTAGAAGAAGGTCGTCATCGATGCGGATGAAGCGCGGGTATGTTGTCTCAAGAAAGAGCTTCTCGATTCCTAGCTGGCCGGTGCGAGTGTATCCAGGAAGCTGATTGTGGGTTGGACTGAAGAGTGAAGTTTTCCACTCATGAGCTTCCGGCTTCGTCGCCACGCCTGGGATTGACATGCGGTATCGCAGACTGCACAGAGTAAATTTACCTATTAGCAACATTCCATAGGGTGAAGATGGTGCCTGGGGAGTTGCTCACGGGTCACAGTGGTGATCGAACGACACATGTATCGTACCGTCTCCGGCACAGACTCCTATAGAGATGGTGTTGTGCCCATCGTCCGCGGTCTGCTCGTAGTCCTCGAAGGTCAACGTCTCCCAGCTACCCAGTGAGTCACGAATGGGCCGCCGAGCAAGGCTGACATAGAGGACGTTGCTTGTCGCATCCTTATGAGTATAGAAGCAGGTGTATTGCCATCCGTTGAAGGTCGTCAAGGCATCCTGCTGGAAAGAATTGGCGTTGATTCGATGCTCTCGCCGCGCATCCAACGCCAGCTCTGACTTGGCGAGCAACTTTAACTGAGAACCCATGTCGCTTCTAAGAACCTTGCCCGGTGTATCTCAATGCAATGTCTTGGAAGCTGCTCAGCATATACAATACACAGATTGAAGCCTAGCATAAGAAGTCCCTCCATCGCTTTCATAATCTATCACGGTGACGTACCCGGGGTCCCTTAAGTTAGGGTCGGGGGAAAATCAGCCGAGCGGAGGAAGATGGACGGTTCCCCGCGCGACGATTCGCCCGATGCGCCGATACGACTGTGATCCCCGGATCTTCCCCCGACGACCGATGCGCCGATACAACGCCCCGCACTTCAGTAAGCTATTGTGGGTGACTATTTTCGACGAAAAAAAGGCTATTCAGCCATGGTATCTCCGCAGTCGCGTCCATTCTACTCCCTGTTTCCCCGCGTTGGCGAACTCCAAGTCGATGTTGCCAACCAACCGACACCCGCGAACCAAGATATTGCCAAGAAAGGAAGGGAAAGATTGGCAGCCAAGCCATCAATCCAAGACCTCAAGGTCGTAGCAATCAGCCTGTAGCAATACCAAGTAATTGACTGCTTGAAGAAATAAAAACAGTTTCGTTCTGCCATAGTCTTTCGAGCCACGAACTCGTTTCGAGCGTCTGGATCGTGCATGAAGACCGACCTAGAATTACTTGAGAATCGCAAAGATGGGCTGGAATGCCAAATTGAAGAATAGCGACAATCGTCAGGCTCTAGAGTCAACCACGCCTCTCAACACTAAGACAACATCATGGCTAAAGGATCCTGGACTCCGTCCACTCAACTTTGGTCTCTTCTTCCTTCTATTCGGTGATGTTGCTCATGGTTTCGACGGATCCTTGATCAACAACCTTCAACAGATTAGCAAATGGCAAGATGGTTAGTCACAAACAACTCCTCTCGATACCATCATAGATTCGACAAGCTGATGCTATCGAGATCAGACTTTGACCACCCACAAGCAAGTCTCCTAGGTGCCATGAGCGCATCCTACTGGATCGGAAATATCCTAGGGGTCATTCTCATTCCCCTTGTTGCAGATCGTCTGGGCCGCCGTATCGCAATCGCAACAGGCTCATCCCTTTGCATCGTTGGTGCAGCAATCTGCGCGGCGACAGTCAACCATGGAGCCTTCATCGCTGGCCGTATTCTTCTTGGCATGGGCGGAGTCATGTGCTCTTCCGTTTCGACGGTCTTGATGACGGAGCTGGCATACCCAGCCCATAGAGCCACGGCAACAGCTTTGAGCAGTACGACATACAGCGTCGGGGCCATCTTGGCCGCTTGGGTAGCTTTTGGGAGTTTCCGAATTTCGGATTCTTGGTATGTTTTTACTCAGGGGGGAAATTCTCCACGCGAGGACCGAGAAATACGTGCACTGACTGACAGTTCCTTACCCTGAGTAGGGCGTGGAGAACACCGACGCTGATTCAGGCGTTTCCATCGGCGATGGTGCTCTGCGGACTCTTTTTCTTGCCGGAGTAAGTTTGCCAAGGACCCGTACTTGAGTCGGCCCTCTAGCTGAGCCACAATTTCTAGATCGCCTCGATGGCTTTGCAGCAAGGGCAGGGAACAGACGGCGCTTGACATCCTCACAAAGTACCATGGAGCCGGTGATGCCGCTGACGCAGTCGTCCAGCACGAATACGCCGAAATCAAAGAAACCATTGAGGCGGAGATTACGCAAAACAGGAACCCCTTCCACCTCAAGGCTCTCTTCGCAACCCCGGGCAATCGTTGGCGATCGTTCATTATCATCTGGTGCGGGATATGCAAACAGTGGTCTGGGAACGGGCTGGTATCATACTATCTGGGCAGGTCAGTCTCGCAAAACAGCTGAACAAAATATTCGAGAACGAAACTAACGCGGCATGATACACGTCAGCATGCTCAAAAGCGCAGGAATTACAAAGCAGATCGAGACAACGCTGATCACTGCAACATCTCAGATGTTCAGCTTCGCATGTTCCTTTGCCTTTGCCTTCCTCCCCGCGCGGGTTGGTCGCCGGCCCCTCATGCTGACAAGTATGGCCGGAATGTGGGTGGTATTCGCAATTATCACGGCCACGTCTGGCGCCTACGTCGAGATAGGGAACCGCCACGCAAGCTACACAACAGTGGCGTTCATCTATCTCTACAGCGGTGTGCATAACCTAGGCTGGACGGGCGCACAAATGCTCTACAGTACGTCAAGGCTCAGAACTCCAGAGAGACGGTTAGGCTTTGAAACGCTGACAAGCTTTGTACTCTTAGTTGTCGAGATCCTTCCCTACACTATCCGCGCCAAGGGCATGGCCATGTTTTCGCTCGTCGCGGGTATTTGTGGAGCCTTTAATACCTACGTTAATCCTCTCGGGATTGCGGCGATGTCCTGGAAGTTCTACTTCTTCTACGTTGGCTGGATTATTGTTCAGTTTATTGTTGTGTACTTATTTTTCCCCGAGGTAGGCTCTAGTCTGGTTACAAGAAGTGAACGCCTGTTGACACTTTCCAGACCAAAGGTCCTAGTTTGGAGCAAATCGCGCTGCTATTCGATGGTAAGGATGCTCAAATGGGCCGGGTCAATGCTGTGGCCGACGAGATGCTCGATGAGAAGGGCGGAATTGCGTTCCGGACAAAGGAACAACAGTAGAGATGCTAGAGTTGCTTCTAGGCTTTCACTACAAAACCAGTCCACATACGCAACTGTAACAGTTCTGAAAGTGTAAAGATGGAAGCCGCTTACAGATATCGGTATGAAACTTGAATATGACTACGCACTACAGTCAGGTCGTTAAACTCTTCCTGTAAGCTTTGTGGCGGAGCTATTCGCCAAGGAGGTTTATTGATCATCCGCTCTTGGCGAGAGGTTGCAGTCCAAGCTTCGGCGGTCAAACTTCACTTCACAGACTCTGTAAAGACCTGTAACCTATCGATACATATGTACAATAGGAGATGCTGGAGGTATGATTGCCTCTAGCCAAGACCCAGCGGGCGTGTGATCCACGTGGAGAATCCGGCTCCCACATAAGTTCAACCAGTCTGAATTCGGGACTAATCGCGTGATGATTCAGATGCGGCCTGAACGTCTAACATCCTTCGCCCAGTCTCCAATCGCAACCAGGCGCCGCGACCCCTGAAAACGGGCGACAGCCACACAGATCTCCGTCACATAGATCTGCTGTACCATGTGTTTGGGTTGTCTATTCTAAATCTAGAGCAAGCTGATCTTAAAGTACTGAAAGTATGCAGGCCGGTCGGGAATAGTGTAGGCCATGGCGGCCTGAAAAATACTCCCGTGATACGGCAATTCCTGGACTGGACTGACAGTCCTGTTGGGGGAAGGTAGTTATGGCTTTCATAGAGATAGAAACTGTCACGAGTATGGCACGCAGCAATGGGCATATGAAGTGTGGTAAAAGTGGCTTGTATTAACCCAAATAGGATCGAGCAAGGAGAGGTGCTATACGTACCGCTAACCGATTATGAGACCCTTTGCTCATGGCTAAGGTCGAGTTTTAATATCGAGGCCAGGATGCCTAAACAATAGCAATTCCGAGCAGTTAACGTATCATATTAATAATATTAGGTTGACCATATATATAACGGTAAGGGAAAGGAAGCTAGATATGGTAACCGATCTAATGATTAAGAGATACGAGGAGGATTAATAGTAGCTATAAGATTTAAGCTATACGGAAATTAGTATTGCGGAAAGTGTTAGGTTTATAAAAAAGACGGTTATTGGTCAATAAGCTATACCTAAGAGGAAAGGGATAAGTTGTATAAGAAATATAAGTAGATGAAGGGCACCGAGGGCAAGACTAGCCCAGGCCAATTCCAACAATTCATTATCGATTACAAAGGAAAGGACCCTTCTATAGAAGAGGACCATGACTACGAATCCGATATTGATGAGGATATTACTCCTTTCCTCACCAGGATCGACGATACTGTTAATAACAATCTCGATGACGTCGACGAGGTCTAACACGTCTTCTTTGCTCCCTTATCGTTAGGAGGATATTCCACTCTGAATGACAGGTAAGCGGTCAATACCCTTAACGAGGAGGCATTCTTCCATGGTTATCAAGGCAGATTCGTACGAAGTAAGGGATCGTTGGCCCTATACGAAGGAAGCCAAGGATCAAGCGAAGCCTTAAGTCACCATAACCTAGCTAAAGAAGTATTAGGTAATTATACCTATACCGACGGAAAAAAGAAGATAAGCTTAGGGGCCTCGCTACTCCCCTTTTTATATCCACTAAATGAGCTAGACGAGGGGACGGCCCAGGTATACTATACTTAAGAAAGGTACGGGCCAGACGTCTTTTAAGGGATTATCCCTAATACCGGAGCATCATATTGGTCTACCGGAGGACAGGGCTAGTTAGAAGCGCTACAGAAGATCTACCTAGTAGCGCTCGATAGGTCGAAGGTAGGCAATGCCGTTATTAGCTTCGGCCCGGGGGACCAACTAGTTGGCATTAGTACGGTGAGCATCATCACCACCTTCGGAACTATGACCTTTTATATCCTTCTAGTTAATATGCCCTTTCTACTATGCCTTAGAGATATGGACCGGTTAGGTATTATATTTGAGAACCTCAAGAACCAGATCTCTAATAGTACGTATTTCGAAAAAGTAGAAAGACGATGGGGCCACGCATTTATAAAGCTCGAGACCGTAAGTAGGTTAGTGTACTACTTAACTAAGACCGAACTTAGGAGATTATATAAGCGGTTTAGCTATCCATCTATTTAGCGACTATATAACTTACTTAAGAATTTAGGTAATAACGTAGGGCGGAGGCCTTAGAGCATATTTGTTACGGCCTAAACGATTGGTCCCGTCATGGCGTAGCTATAATGCAGAACAAGGGAAAATGATGCGGAGTCATCATTATCGAAGCTTTTGCTTTGTGCCACAGTTGGTTGCCTTGACCTGCTCGTAACAATATTATGAGAATCTACTATTAATATTAAATAAATGCCCAAAGACCGTACAGATTCCGCTTTAAGTTATAAGATGAGATTAACTTTAACTGGGAGATCGTTATTAATATCTTCTGCCTTAACGGCAAGCCAGCCCTTTATATCATCGATGCAGCCACATCCTTCCAAGGTGGCCAATTCCTCGATGACCTCTAGGCAAAGACGGTATAGGCAGTAGTCAAAAAGACGTAGATAGATACGTACCTCGGCCCACCCGACGGCATCAGAACCGATGCTAGCACTAGCTTCAAATCCACGGAATTAAGGGATAATACAAGATCATACGGCATCCAATTGAAAGTAGTACTAGTCAAAGCGCATCACAGTATTAGCAAGGTGGAGAGGGCATATCAGTAGCTAAAAAGGGCATTCAGGATAATCAAAAAAGAATGTCCCGATACCGCTAACGAAGACTACCTCCAATCAGCACTCAAATGCTGCAACGATACTATAGGGCCAGGAGGCCTAATCCCAACGCTCCTCATCTTCGGTACTTATCCAAGAACGACCATAGCCTCGCCACCGTCGCTAGACGTGGTCCAACGTGCGAAGGGCATCGAGAAGGCGATGAAGGTACTACGCAAGGTCAATTTGAGAAGACAAGTCAACGAGGCAGTAGTAGTAGTAGTAGTAGTAGTAGTAGTAGTGGTGTTTTACATCATCAGGGACAGGTGCCCAGCTATCTATGTAACTAAGCTCCGATCAACCAGAGCGCCCTTTGGGCATATGATGTGCCGTGCCGCCATTATAGCGTACGACAAGTCAGGCAGTCTATAATGTACACTTTTCTTCTCGTGCCTAGAGCAGTGGAGTTTAGTATCTAATCCCCAGGGTCCGTTCAGTTCCAAAAAGCACGCCAGCAGGGGGTCCCTGACTCGGCAGAAGCGAATGGGTCTCTAGCAGCCCTACGCCGTCCACAGACGGCGTTGCCGCAACAAGTAACCGGCCCTCGGAGGCATATTTGCCTACGCGAGCATTTTTCTGTTTTCTTATACTACCTTGACAAGACTACGATTGATCACCGAAGCCTTACCTACCCTTACGATTGACAGACATAGCTTCCCTGAAGCTATCCCCGACTACGATTACTGTTACCAGTTCCGCAGCCTCAACTTCTGCAAACTACCCCTACGACTAGCTGGCCGTAACACTTATATCGGAAGTCTATGGTATGGTCAATGGTGTCGACCTTACTTATGCGATCTCAACGACGTTAAAGAGGATCACTGATCGACTAGGCTTACCCACGATCCTTATGGTAGTTTGTATAGACTTATATTCGCTATATAAACACCTCGTCAAGTTAGGTACCACAAAGGAGAAGAGGCTTATGATCGATATTATAGCCTTACGGTAATCGTGTAAACGACGTAAGATAATAAAGATCTGTTAGATCTATAGCGACGATAACCTCGCCGATGCCTTCACTAAAGCGAACCCTAACCAAGGGTTAAAAAGCTTTATCGATAAGGGGAAGGCTACGGTACGAATAGAGGGATAGGTCACACGGAAGGGACCTCGGAAGGAAGGGAAAGGGGCGTATTAGATAATATTACTTTTCTATATATATATATAGTTAACGTTACGACTTCGTAACGTCCAAATTATCCTTCTAACCGTACTAGTTAGATATTAAAAAAGAGAGATAGTCAGTGTCGGATTGGAAGTCTAATTCGACCGCGAGTAAGGGCAGAGCATGGGCCACCTCGAGGGAGACCAATTAGACCTCGAATATCCACCTAACCTCCGGTTGGAATCTCCCTTCTACTCCTTACGCAGAATCAATCAATACAGAGATATTGATACTTCGTCACCCCCAGGACCCTACGGTTCGAACCATATTCCCTGTGAAAGGAATACCAACAGTACTGTACAGTTTTAAGTCATATCTGGGTATATCATAATAGCCCTGTGAGCTGTAGTGAGGCCAGCTGGCTAAGGCCTGAACACGTGTACCTCATGTAGTCGTCTAATAAGCGTCATCATCTCCCAGCGAAAACGCTGGATGTAGTCAAACTCCATCGATTCATGGATCTCAGTCCTTCCCTAAAGTTGCAGAAGAGCCAGCACTGTAGCTGCTTGCATCACTCAACTTCCTAGCCGCAGGGCTCGGCCGAGACGACGTCGCCAGCGTGTTGACCTCGACGGAAACTGTTGTGGTAGTCTCGCACTGGATCGCCATGCCCATGATAGAACCTTCTCCCATCCCGAAGCCTTTCATGCTTTCTGTGCTTTCGGCACCGTCAACTTTGAGTGCCTTCAGACCGCCTGACTTTGGGCCCTTGCGGGCAACCTTCTTGCACCACTTATTATATCGATTCAGACGATTCTGTTCGGGAGTCGGGCCTCCCATGACAATCGTTGTGTTGCCAAACTTGGGAAGGGTGCCGCACATAAATGAGAATGTCTCCAAGCCAACCTCTTGTGATGGCGGCCTTTCATAAGAGAAGACGATGGATCGTCTGGTTGAAGAGTAAAGGACAACATCCATCCAGCCGTTACAAGCAATCATAGCTCCAGCAAAGCAAAAGTATCCTAGGGACACATCATGGCCTGTCATGGAGGCGAGGCGACCAGCGGCCAAAGGGATGGTGCAGACCACATAAACTAGAGGGTATAAGAGGAAGGTGTGTTGTCGAGCGTAATCTGGAATGCCAGGAAGTCGTCTAAGAATTGTCGTCAAACACATCGGACGCCAGAAGACGCTCGATACTGTGCTGCGATTATCACAGCTTGACGTGGTGCCTGAGCTTGCTCCGCTGCAAGTTGATGGGCTTGATGCTGCCCCTGAGTGTCCGCAGCAAGGAATGACCCCTCCACTTTGCCGAGCTAGCTTCTGTAGATGAAGAAATATTATGAAGTAAATTAAAGTCGTAAGAACCAGTGAAATGAAGATCCAAAGATAGTGGAGCGTCAACCGAACGTCCTGGTATTTGGAGTTGATCCAACACTGGTGCGTGTTAATTATGGTGCTTCACTGACCATGAACAAGACAAACTCACCCAAGCGCCGGCTCTCACATAGAGGCCGCCCTCGCTCTTCCCGTTTTCTGTAATGATCACGCCGAGAATCCCTGTGCCGTAAACGAAGCCCCACATCATGACAATTGCTGTGTGAAAGGCCCAAGTCGGGATTTTCTTAGTCGAGACGATCGACATGTAGGTGTGGATCGCAATACCCGTGATGAAGACGGAAGAAGCCAAGTCGCCGGTCGACACAAACCATCCTTGGGTCCAGCAAGTGCCTGTGCCAACTTCAATAGCGTTTCTCGTCAGCCACTCCACATTGAGTAGGAAGGCCAGCGCCTGCTGGATGTCGGCGAGAAGCAGGTTGAATATCAGAACGAGAAACTGATTCGGCGGCTCATTGATAGCTCTTTGCCACCATGTTTCCTTCTTCTTCTTTGCGGATTCTTCTTCAGTTGCCGCCGTCCAGTTACCTGGAATGATGAACGCCGCGTCTGTCGGTTTCGGCGACTCCACCTTGATAATGAGATCCTCCTTCTTCGGAGTCGGTGGGCCGTTTTGCCATGGGATCAGTTTGTATGTGAGAAACGTCAACAACCCTAGGCTGGTGAAGAAGGAGAGAAACCCCATCGTTGCCACCGCGGCGAGGCCATGGCGAAGAACTGGTGGCAACGGACGGACCGAGTAAGGCGAGCTATCCGAATCGTAGTGGTCTACTATATCTTCCGACTCGTTCATCTCCGCAATGTTGATGGGTTCGGCGACGTTTCGCAGCTACGTGTGGATGTCATCAAGATAACAATGACGGGGTGTCTTTCGGTATTATACCATCCCACAGAGCCTCAAGAATTCAATGTCGGGGGGGGATGGTCTAAAAGGTCCAGACCAGGGACTGTCTCTAGCTTAAAAGAGAACCCACCCTAGCCTCAACATCAGCCATCAAACGGCAAATCTAAAAGACCATCTGACAATGCTTTGCCAGTGCCAAGAACTATTATCCCAGCCGGATGGAGAAAATAATCCGAGTCATAGAAACGACTCAGCCCGTTTGCCATGAGGGGGTGGGAAGCGAACGTTTCTTTCCATTTCGGATTTACTCGGGAAACAATCAACTGTTCTCCGAGGCAAGTTGAATGAACACGCGCGCGCGCCGCGCTATGGTAAACACCTGATCTTTCATAAGATTTCGCGATTAGAGTTCGCCATGTGTGTACCGCCATCAAGCTCTTGTAGTCGCTCTGGGAGCGAAAGAGAAGTGTGCATGTTCCATCCCCGTTCCAAATCGTTCCAGGCTAAAGTATGTCCTCGACTGGACGGACTCTCGTGGGCTTCGGCGTCCCGCGGACCGGGATGACTCAAGCCTCTCTTTCTCTCCTGCCTGTCTGAGTGCGTCTCTGAAGCACAACCATCCTCATGGGTCAGGGGTTGATAACTCGGAGAATTCTGATTGGCTCATCGACATGCCTTTTTCAACCTACAATTGTCCGAGCACGACGTGATGCCACGAGTTGAGCCTTAGTGTGGACGTGCGTCTCCCGCAAGCCGTAGTCGTTTCCGCCCCCAATTCCACCTTTTCGAGTGAGACACCGTGAACGGTTGGACTCTGCCAAGGTGACCCTGACTGAGGTTGAGCGGATGATGAATCGACAGAAAGAAAAACTGCCCCTTGCAGTGGGACCTTGATATGTGCGAGCCGCGGCAGTGGTCAGTAAACACACCGTCCCTCCGGAATTGTGGTTAGGTGTTCGCCCCGGAACTCATAATCCTCCCCGGAGTGGAGTTTTAGGCTAAAATCCACCTACTCGGGCTTTTTCACAGCCGCCAAGACGGTTCCGCGCCCATCAATCCGGGGAAATCCACTGATTGTCATCGCCGATATGTCTAGTGCAACGAGGCCGGTGGGGGCTGAATCTATCATGTATGCTGAGAACCACAGGATCTTGTGAAACTCCAGATCGTACCAAAGGCCATGATGTCGCAGAAACGACGCCGTTAATTACGGGCAGCAATTAACGCCATATATACCCTACGACACATGACAAGTCAAACTCAACACTGCTTTCAAATCGGCGTCAGCATCGTGTGCTCACGTGGTGGTATTGAACTTTGGCAAAGATTCGGAAAGCTTCCGACGATGGTGAAGTTCTTGCAACGTGGTAATCAAGATGTCCGGATTTTCATTGGATCACAAAGAAGGATTCAGCACAAGTCAAGTTCGAGCAACTGACCGAACGTTCTGGCCTATCTATCGGTCGGTTTTCTCATCTCAGCTATTTGCCAAACTTCAAACAGCATGCTGAATGCAAGATGCAAACTTTACTATTATTGCACGCTGTGCTGTGATATGAGGAGCCAACGTCTCGCTTTCGGATGGTGCCTTACCGATGGGTCTTACGTTGCGTGTGATTAGCCACGGAGTGTTCTCCGCTTATGTTCCCGTTCATCCCAGAATCTTACCGTTACTCGTGCCGTCTGTGAAGAAAGGCAACGTCGTAGCGACTACATCCCAAGCCAACGCGCACGATCACGGATCATTCCACGATACTAGCACAGCCGCACGAATGGGAGACATTCCTGGCCCCGTTTTACATGACTCTTTTCAGCCTTGAATTTACTCCTCTTGGACCGTAGATCTGATCAGTGACTGTCATCGAGCTTTGGACGAGAGGAATCAGGCCATGTTGAGTTGTTACGAGAAACGTGAGGCACAACTTGCCGACTTGACTAAGGGGGACTTGCTAGATAGGGGGGCTTAGAGAGCGTATCTTTTGTCACGTGGCACAGCATTGGGTTGGCAACGCCTTGATTCCAAAAACTCTGATGATTATGACGTTGAAACATCGGCGCAGGGTGGTTCTGCTAAAGTTCCGAATCTGAGAATAGAAGTCCGACTGATGGTCGCCCTATTTTGGCGTCCGAAAGTCCCGCGCGCCCCGGGCAATGCAAGGGCGGGTACAGCTTGACATGGCGCGGTCGTCAGCATCGTGCTGCGGTTCAGCCACTCGCTAGGAGTTTAGCCTCTTGGCAATGTTCCTTCTGCAGGCCAAATACCATCAAGTATAACGTAACACAAAACAACAAGAACTCCCCTAGGAGGAAATTCGATAATTCATATATGATTCTCCATGCATTTGAGAGTTTCTCCCGACCGAGCCTTCTCAGCAGAAGTGCAGGCGTAGGTAGGCTTAAGTGACGAAAACCACATGATAACTAGGAAAATATCCCCTGCTTCGGCTTTTGGAGTAGTTATGCCAATTACTTTTTCCACTACAGAGCTTGGTACCTGCAGTCTTCGGGCTATAGCAACATGTCGCAGCGCCACACGTGGCGCTGCCGGTTACTGCCGTACGATACCGCTTTCCACAAGCCGATTACCCGTCTTGTACGGTATATAGATAGGACCCTCATACGGGTCTTCCACTTAGAGGAATCAAGCCACTTTCTACCATACAAGTCTTCCACTTGCTACCTCGCTTTGTGATACAACACCAGTGCTTCGAATGTGTTCATTCTGATAGATTGAAATCTTCGAAACATTTGCTAGTACTCCCTTCTGACTTTAAGCTGAGTCTGCAGCTCACGCCACCAGACGGCTTCCCAATTTCATATGATCGACCAAGGCATAGCCCGCAGGTAGTTACGTGGGCAATAATGTGGCTCAATGCATATTTGCCAATCAGAATGTGCGGACAGATGTGACTAGCACCAACGCAGCTAAGAGAATACGAGAGTAGTAGTAGTATACACACTGCCAGGGCGAAATGTGCCTGCCTGGCAGGCTGACTAGCATCATGATCCTACATGAGCCAAACATCGGTGACAGCTGCTATTTGGCTGCGGCCACAAGTGATGGAAGTACTTTGGCTAAGTTGAATGTCTCAATTGGATAATGGGTCACTCAGATTGAGGATCTCAAGATTTATTGAAATACCATCCATTGCCTCGACTTCTCAGACGACTTGTTACTGTAAATCCACGCTCCAGCGGCTGTTTAGCTTGTCATATCCTCCAGATTCCTTGGCATCGATTTTAGAGAATAAGATCTGATTGAAAGTCAATCATATTCGTCACGATGCTCTCTTCTCTTCTCCTAGCTGGGTCTGTCTTCGGCCTTAGCCAAGCAGTCTCTCTACCCTTGACGACAAGAAGTACAAACTCAACCAACGCCTTCAGCTGGATCGACACGAAACCAACTAAAGACCTGCACTACTATGACTGTGGCGACGGCTTCCAGTGTGCCCGACTCCAAGTCCCCCTCGATTGGTCGAACCCAACTAAGAACAGCACTGCATCCATCGGCATCGTCAAACTCCCAGCTACCGTCCCGAATAACGACCCATCCTTTGCCGGCAGTATTCTCATCAACCCCGGCGGCCCGAGCGGTTCCGGGACTGGGTTTGCTTACTCCTTTGCTCCCATATTGCAAAAGGTTCTCGGCCAGGACCGCAACTATGAGATCATTGGGTTCGATCCCCGTGGTGTCAACACCAGTACGCCTCGCGCCGACTGCTTCAAGGGAGATCAATCCGCCCGCAGACTTTCCCAGGAGCGTGACTCCATTTTACCCCCTATTGATGACGCCCTTGGCTATCATTGGGCCGATGCTACTGCTCAGAGTGCTCTCTGCGAGGAGAATGGTGTTGATAGCATCTGGGGTCATATGAACACCGCGTCCGTCGCTCGTGACATGGTGGAGATTATTGACCGCATTGACGACCTGCGCTGGAAGGAGTCAGGCAAGAACAAGCCCAAGGATGCTGAGGTAGCTCGCCTCCAGTACATTGGTATTTCATACGGAACCTACCTGGGCAATACCTTTGCCTCAATGTTCCCTGAGCGTATTGGTAGGATTTGGATTGACGCTGTCGTTGACGGCGATGACTGGGCTGCTGGTGTAAGTCTCATTCACGTCTTGAGGATTTATCCCGATGCTAATCATTCCCACAGACCTTTCAAAACAACATCAATGACGTGGAGAAGATCGTGGACCAATTCTACGCGGTTTGCTATGAATCGGGGGAAGATTGCCCCCTTTTTGAGCCATCCGACAAGTCCGGCTCAGATATCAAAGCCCGAGTCGCCGACTTCCTCGATGAGATGGATAGCAACCCCGTCTCTTTCGCCTACAACGACCGCCCGGCTGTCCTCGGATCGCCAGTCATTCGCCAAGCGATTTTCTCCGCGATGTATACTCCGTTGGTCTCATTCGAACCACTTGCTCTGGGTCTCAGCGCGCTTTTGAAAGGCAACTCCTCCATTCTCGCAAACTTCCTAACCCCCGAGTCCATCAAACTTGTCTGTGACTTGGAGGATAATGACCTTCCCCAGTATAACTGGGATTCTGATGTCTTGTCTGGTGTTCTCTGCACCGACATTGTGAATGACTTAGTCAATCGCAACATCTCCTTCTACGAAAACTTGGTTAAGGAATTGAAGAACCAATCCGAAACCACCGGAACTGCTGGGACTGGGGCAGTCCCAATCTCCTGTGCCGGCCGCAAGATTCGCCCTCCTTACGCGTTCACGGGACCTTTCACAAGCCCTGCCGCAAATGCCAACGACTCCAAGGCCCCTGCTGCACCACTTTTGATCACTTCCAGCCGTTATGATCCCATCACTCCTCTCAGGAACGCCCTGCATGTTCAAAAGGGCCATCCGGGATCGGCTGTGGTAATTCAGGAGACATCGGGACATGGCGCGACATCCAACCCAAGCCTTTGTCTCGTCAAGATTTTTCGGGAGTACTTTTACGAGGGCAAACTGCCCGAGAGTGGTACTGTCTGCGAGTCGGAATGCAAGCCGACAATTCCCGCCGACAAGGAGAACTGCACCTCTATCCTCAACTCTAGAGATGTGGAGTATATGTTGCCCCCTTTGGGAGACTTCCATTGGTTCTAATTGCAAAACACCTTGTAATTTACCTAATGATAATTAGTTAAATATAACCCCAATTTCGATGTCCATCTCCGACAAGCATTGTTTACAGACATGCAGACGACTACTGTGCTATCTATGGTCTCATCACATGCCGGACTACGGAGGGCAGGGTTCGCGTGAAGCTACCTTTGCTCACGAGGAACAGGTATTATGAGAAGAGAACCTTGACGAATTAGAATACAAATGTCATTAAGGCTGGGTGGGAATATAGACTCAAGCCAACCACAGCCACAACACCCTCTAGGTCAGCCACTGTCGAGTCCATCGCCTACCAGCCTTCATGATCAACGTATCCTCCCTATTGCATTAAGCAAACGGGGTTTCAATACCTCAGGCGCTATAGCCCAGCGGTTGATATGGATCACTCAGCTGGGGACGGGGGATTTCCACATGCCTCTGTTGAAACGGACCTCACCCCTTGAGTTCGACTCCACGCTTGGGAGCTATCTATTTTGCGCTTAGAAAGTTTTGCTGACTGGGCGGATATTGGAACTGAACACTTGGGACAGCGCCGGACCCTGGACCTTGGCAACAAAAGTGAGATCAGTATGGATGCCAGATATAAGTATTAGCTTCGACAGACTGCTACTCCCTGGCCAGGACGCATATTCCCAGTGGTCACACTTCAGGCAACCACAAAACTTTCTCAAATGCACGAAACCACTCTCAACTCCTTTTCTGCTCAACAGTTGAGGTCGCAGGGGAAGGATCCTACAAGTCTATAAACGGGGTATCGCCCATTCTTGGTGATGCTGCTCTGGCGAAGGTGCTGCCTTCCCAAAACATGTACTAACCTGACATCTTGAGAATATCGCGGTGATCTTAGGGACCACTGGTATGGACAAGCCTCCCTTTAATTTTCTTCAAGATAAGCTATATGTCCATGTCGGCTTAATCCCAATGGTCTCTTGGATCTAGACCACCATTCCACATCTCATTCAGTGCCAAGTGTTTAAAATCGGGAATGCTCTCCTTGTCCCAAAAGACATAGCCCCAATCCTTCAAGGTAGTATCCGGTGTGCGTCCACCGAGACTATTGCTATAAGTGCCGCCCCATAGCAAGACCCATCCAAACGGCGGACCGTTCTCTTTGTCCCCATCAAAGGGGAGTTCCCTACGATCCTTTCGGCGATGTGACGATCCGTGTCAACATCCTCATCCCATCGAGTGATCTCCATAAATACCTCGTCGAGGCGATTGCCACCTCCACCAGAAAGCTGAAGGTTCATTATGGCAATTTCGTCGTCCGACTCTTCTTGCATGATAGTTCCTTGGAACTTGAGATTTCGGAGAGCGATGGATAGCTCACGCTGCATAGGTGGAAGGATTTCATCGTACTTATTCATTGTGTGGAAGCGTCCCAGGCCACGCGATGCCAGAGTCTCGACGAAGTACCAAAATGTGTCTAGATGAAGAATAGGCTCCGATAAGTAGTGAAAGGGACAACGGGAAAATCGCGGTAAGCTTACCTGTATTGGAGAGATCAAAGAATTCTGGCGTTGACAATTTTTGGAACTTGAGCTCTGCCGACCGGTCGAGACGATGAGGTCCATTATCGGCACTGTATGTGAGAAGCCGGGACATCCTGTCCCGGGTTTGAACATAAATGCACGCCAGTTCTTCGATCTCCCAAGGTTCGAAGTGCTTGTTCATGAAGCGCAGCATCTCGATATTCGTCGTCATCGGTAGCAGTTGGACGGCGCTACTCCCAAGGCCGTAGCAACTACACCAGATCTCGAAATGGTAAAGCGCACGGAGCATGCGGACGTTCTCTGTGGTGCTCAATTTGTTACTGTCCTCCCTCTCCACCCATATTGATCTCTTGTGACAACGGAATTCTTCGTAAAAGCTTGTCTTCAGAGGCTCCACAGTCGATGAGTAGAACCGCGCAATTTCAGCAAGGTCATCAACGGTACATGCAGCTCTAAAGCTCCCTGGATCGGACTGCAACCTGGAATATGTGTCCATGAATTCCTCGAGCAGTTCAGTCGTCTCTTCACTGCCCGACTCGCGTAGAAGGGCCAGCCGATGAACCGCAAACGCATCAACAAAGACGCGATGAGTGTGAAAAGTCTTTGCTATTGGTGCAGCAGGGTTCCGCGCCTTGCTGCAAAATAACACCTATGCAACGAGGGCGAGGCATGGATGACTGCACTAAGGTCATGCAGGTTCGAGAGATTGCGGAGGACCTGTAGCTGCAGTTCCGCAGGAAGACCTTCGAGGGTCAAGTGCCTAGCTATTCGTGATTGGCTGGTAGCGGACGCGCCTCGAACAGCCGCACTCGGTCTGGTGTTTAGCTCCATCGGAATCTGGGCCGTGAGCTTGTCGCTTGCTTTTCCTTGTTGAAGTGACTGATCTTCGTCAGAACTTGTTGGAGCTTTGCCATCTGTATTTGATAGCTCTCCCTTGGCTGCTTGACTGTGGTGAAGATGGCAATGACTGGGGATCCGATGGCATTGTATGGCCTGTAGTTGAATGAGAGAAAAGTCCAGGGCCCGTTCGAAATTGCGCTCAGACCAGTAAACCAAGGCCTTGAGCTAGGTCACCACAGGCCATTAGGCCCGCAAGTCTCCAGCATTCGTACTTTGACAACCCATCTATGTGATATCTACCTTCGCTTACCTAGGCTTTCGACTATGTGCTTTCTGAGTAACGATAAGGACTTCTGACATTATCGAATGAGACAAAAACGTTGCAAAGTATTCCGAAGTGCTGACCTGGACCTGTACCTCTTCCGTTTTCCCGGCTTTTAATACCTTGGGCTTTGAATGGAGATTCCCGCGCTCCCCACAGAACTCAACCCGACAGTCTGGATGATGCAGAAATGAGACGCTAATGGCATCCTCTCTCTCTGTATCTTCGAGCGGCTACGTTTCACTGACTCCAGCGACCATTGTGAATGATACTGCGCTAATTGAGTCTTTCTCACACTCCGTCGCCGCAAGGAGGCGGCGCAGAATCAGTGCCAAGAATCATGTCAACAGACACGCCATAACAGGCATCAACAGTGCCGAGAACCACCTGAGCCGCTGGACGCGAACCCAGCGTCGCGTCAATATCTTCCGAGATCAGCGGTCAAATTTTGCATTTCTTATCTTTCTCAAATCAGGTTGCCGTTTCGGCCGCATGCTCAGGCGAGACGTATCCAAAGCTTCGGGCTGCCTTGACGCGCGCTTACGTTGGCCCACATCCAGCGGCATTGCGACTATTGACCGGTCTTAGAAATGCTTCAAGTCCGGCTAGCAAGATTCCTACCCGACAATACTTCATTTTCCCCGCATCTTAACTATTCTTTCCATGCTTGGGATCAAATTACGGTTCTCAGACTAAATGTTTTTACCAAATATCTCACAAGTGTTATATCGAAGAAAAGTTGAGTCTGGTTACTAGTAGTTTAACTAATATGTGCCACGGACGTCTTTTCGTTCACGATCATTGCGGTTTTGTCTGGGGCAAGTACAACAGTTTCTGTGGTGACCATAATGTGCCTAGGTAGTCACCTCGTCCAGGACCGATCTGTCCCTGTCGACAAAACATGCGATATACACCATGGAAGTACCCCGCTCGATTATAATGAATCCAAATGAATGCTTGTTGTACTACCTGCCTCTGAGATACCGCAGGCATCAAATGTCATAGAATCACCTTGTTCTTGGTGAATCCATTACGGCGACAGCTCAATAATCACGCTTGGCGCGTCTTGGAGGTTTGCGGAGATACTGTAGCATTGGTCCGCCAGATGCACTAAGCATTACCGCTGTATTTAGGGGCCATCTTACCATGTCAAGCACTGACATGATGCCTGTCAGGTTTTCCACGAATCAGTAGGGAACACCGTGTCAGTGCACGGACATGATGTCGAAAAATCGACATCATGTCATTTTCATCACATCGTAGTACTTCACTATTGACGCGCCTAACAGTCTGGATGATACAGAAATGAGACTAAATGACATATTGCGGTTTGCCAGTCCAAGTAAACCTGTTCAGGTCTTCTAACTTCAATGACAGATAAGTGGCAGCGCTTGGTATCCGTGTTGGTTCCAACGAGCTTATCATGCAGGAGAGTGGCACTGAGGGTCTTCATCAGGCGGCCCCATTCCCATGTCGATTCTGCTACCAACAGCGTTGGACGCGCCGTAAAGGCTAAGGCATCAAGAACCTAGGACCAATTGGAGTCTCATATCCGCGACGCTGAGTCCCCTTGTAAACGCTGGGCTGGTTTCGATGCATCGCCGACCACCACCCTCAACGCTTCGCCTAGCCGCGCGTTTCAACTTGCCATAAAATACTTGCCAATTGTTAGGAGTTAAATCACCGACAATAGAAGAGCTGGTGTTTTCATAAATTGACTTCTCGCATTCGCTTTAAGTCATGTGGTTTCCAACACTAATGAATCTTTCGAGACATACCTCTCACCCAAAGCAAAGCTGCGAGCAGCTCTACACAATCGTTGCCCTGTTCATCGTCTACCTTAACATCAAGCGCTCGCTCTACAAGTTCTCTTCTTCATTCTGTTCAAACATCATGATCAGTCTTCTGCAGCCATTAGACTTGTTGAAAGAGGATGCGGCAACACACGACAATGGTCCGGCGCCGGTTTCGTCCATATCTCCAGCATCGAAGCCTCCGTCTAGCCCTGCCACGAATCTTCACGCCATTGTGCTCGCTCTTCGGGCCATTACGGTTCTCAAGACGGCTAGTACTTCAGCAACTACTCGAGTCGCAAAGACAACCCCTATCGGAAAAGCCAGCTCCCCGGCTGTATCTCACTCAACAGTACATCCAGGTACGTGAGCTCCGCATTGACTTCTCACCTATGCCCGACATGAAGACTAACACGTACTCGAAACGAAGTGTATCAACCTGTACCTCTTCGCTGTAACGAGTTCCGCATCCTTCACGTAGAGCCAGCTACCTCTTTCTCGTCGCAGATCGTTGCCAGGCTCTCTGTAGTTGACTACGATCCCAAATCCAAGGAAGTCTCGGCTCCTTACGACGCTCTCTCTTATAGATGGGGAGACCCCAACGACACTGTTAAGATTGTTGTCAATGACGCCGAGTTGAAGGTGACAAGGAATTTGTCCATCGCTCTCCAAAATCTTCGTCACCAGGACCGCGAACTCGTCATTTGGACTGACGCTATCTGCATCAATCAGATGGACATAGAGGAGCGACAGGTCCAAGTGACTCTGATGGGCGTCATCTACTCAAAGGCAGACTGTGTACAGATATGGCTCGGCGAGGCTAGCCTCAACACTGAAGCGGGTATGGACCTCGCTAATAGCTGTGGCAACAAAGAGACCGCAGAAGTCGTAAAAAAGATCTGCGCCGATGATCGTGGGTCGTCTGGATTGACTGAGCTACTTGAACGGCCATACTGGAGCAGGATCTGGATGTTCCAAGAAATCCTCCTATCAGGAAAGGCGCGGGTTCAGTGTGGTCGATTCAGCACACCTTTCGGTCACCTCAAGTACCTGGATATGGTGACCTCCCAGTCATCCCTGTGGAGAGACCGGAAGAACCCTCCAGGCTGGACCATCCGACTTCGTAAAGCGTTCTTCAACACGGCTCAGTTCACCATCAGTCCGAAAGCTCTCAACAACTTGGAGCGCATTCTCGTTCTTACGAGGCCATTACAAGCAACCGAGGCGCGCGATAAGCTCTTCGCCCTCATGGGTACGTGCGATATGGCTCCGTATCTGTCCGTCGACTACAGCAAGTCGCTACGCGATATCTACGTCGAGTTCGCCAGACACTACGCTCAGAAAACGGGAAGTCTGGCCTTGTTTCTTCTGGCCGGCTCTCAAAACCCAGATGACCAACCTGATATCGGTCTCCCTTCATGGACTCCAGACTTTCGCTCTTCAACAGGTGTGGATATCTACACAGGGTACGGGATTGAGAATGCAGGTACCTTCAATGCCACCAAAGGGAAGCGCTACATGGAAGGGTACTTAAAGGGGCACACAACGGGAGATGCCGATGGGGTCTTCGTAGCCGAAGGACTTCTTTTGGATACGATTCAGACTACGGTTCCGGTCTTGAAAGATGCGCAGACTCCGAAGCAATTGCTAACGGTGCTGCAATTCGGACAGCTTAATCATCACCTTGGTGTTTTAGGCAAACCTCAGATCGAAGCGCTGTTCGAGAGTCTCGTATTCGACACTAATGGGTACACTGGAGAGGACTCTGAAGCTCGAATCGCCACAAAGCAACATCATCGATTGAATTATATGCTTGGGTTCATGCGAGACTTGGAGACATACATGGGCAACGAACTTCCTAGGAAGCAAGACGGAAATGTTGATTTCAACACACTTTTCGGTTCCAAAGGAGGCAGCGATCTACCATATGTCACTTTCTACGAATCGATCAAGAGGACTGATCCGTCTCAGCTCGACGTTCATTACAAAACGTTCATGAAGGAGTTCTTGTTGAAGTCAGGACGAGCCTCAAGCATGTTTGTCTCTGACGACAACAAGATTGGGCGGTGCAACGTCGTTGCACGACCTGGCGATGCCATTGCCTTATTGTTTGGTTGCCCCTTTCCAGTGGTTTTGAGAAGACAAGAGCTGGGATTTGAGCTTGTTGGTGCTTGTTACATCAGCGGCATGATGTATGGGGAGTTGATGAATGGAAACAGTAGTTACTTGACGGTTCAAGAAATCCCATTGGTTTAGGCAGGGAGAGATATTTGGCAGTCTGAACTTAGCTTGTTTATCATTCCGCATCTCCTCGCCAAATTGGAGTTGCGAATTCTTGCGAGATGGATTTTCCAAACACAGTTGGTTACCTAATTCCTTTTCCTTCCTGTGGTCTCTTTGTGTCGCTTTCCTGATCCTGGTCCTGAGAACTTTATTTCTTCCGTGACTGTTCATTCCAAAAGCTTTTCTTACACAAGACGCTGTATGACCGTAGCTTCACTTCGGTCCATCAAACATTACTGCCATGCCGGCAAATAAACCCAAATTGGAACATGTCCAATTTTAGCTCCAAACACACTCAGGACACTGCGCCTTCCAATCCAAATAATCTTTGCCATTATGATTTGGCGCCCTGTATCATCTAAGTCTCCATTTTTGAGCATCATGTGGCCAATTTTGCGGTCCGGAGCGTTGGGAGCGCCCAACACAGCCCCTCGCTTAGCGTGGAGTTTCATGCGCGCGCTTGCGATAGCATGTCCCGGAGTAAGCGGCCATCAAGTTCCATTTCCTAGGGTCGCAATGATCTTCTTTTTAGTGTCTATCTGTCAATGTAAGGTAACCAAGGGCTCAGGTTGCATAAGAGACCATGCATGTCCAGTCTCCACCTCGAAATGCTTATCACATATCATTCCGCAGCTCTTCCAACTCACGGGACTACAATACGACCTTGGAGACAAAAGAAACTTCACGAAGAGCGCGTCATTCAGCAGAAGAACAATTTGGAAACAAACGTAAGTCATTCAGGAATCTGGAACGACCTCGGCACATAGTCTTAACACTCGGGTCTTTTCAAATGGGAAGCAGACTAACAGGAAATTTGTACTCGGGAAGCCAATGACATCAATTCGACGTTACGAGCCTACTGAAGTCGTTGTCGATGTATGTGGCGATGTACGTCAGACAATTCAATCAGGTTAGATCACCTCTAGTTGATAAGGGAAGTCAACTCAGCAGATTCGGTGCCACTGACTTGCACCAGTATATCATCTGCTTCCTCTAAGTAAAGACGAGATCCGTGTGATTAAATTGCAGCCTGCTACGTCTCTATTGGCTCCAATTTTTGCTGACCTCGCCGTCCTGCACCTCGGAGATGGGAACTCCCAATACGACGCTTTGTCGTATCGCTGGGGAGACGGAATTGATCCTGTTGGAATATTGACGGCAGAAAAGGGTGGATTTGGAAGGTGGTCTGGGCTGTTGCAAACGGCCCTTCCACCTACTTACACCCAACGGAGGAATCGTGGGCTACGCTCACCAACTCCTCCTTACACAGATATACGCAATTTAATACCAAGATTATTGAGCTTCGTACCGGCCCACAGGCCCCTGCTGACGTGTATACCAACAGATCCAGTCACCATCACCATCAACGAGAGGTGCATGAGCGTCACGCAGAGCCTTGAAACTGCACTACGTTACTTGCGCCATGACGAAGAAGAGAGAGTGATAAGGGCGGACAGCCTTTGCATTAACCAGGAGGACTTGGAGGAGAAGTCAATCCAGATTCAAAAAATGGACGAAATCTACAGCGGAGCAAGCTGCGTGAGAATCTGGCTGGGTGAAGCAGGGGACTCCACAGAATCGGCCATGGCTTTGCTGAACGGCTGCGAGGCTCTGCAAGATGAGACTACGACCACACAGAGAATCATACAGGACGAGGAAGGAGTTCGTGGACTGACCGAACTGCTGCTGCGGCCTTACTGGTCCCGTATATGGATGTTCCAAGAGATCCTTCTGGCAAAGCGGGCTGCAGTTCATTGCGGCATCTTCGTTGCAGACTGGTGGACGATCAAGACATTGGACACTCTAACAAGCAATCCCTCTATTTGGAACCCACCAGACCCTCGCAAAAGATCCATCGCCGAATTACGGAAGTCATTTTTCAACATTGCGCACTTGAACGTTCCTTTAAGCCAAATTGGAAACATCGAGAACCTTCTGTTTCCAACCAGCCGCCTGCAGGCCTCAAATGACCATGACAAGCTCTATGCGCTCATAGGTCTGTGTAACATTGGGGATTACTTAACTGTCGACTACCGCAGTTCCACAAGAGACACGTATGCGGACTTTACGCGGTGCTATACTCAGCGCACCGGCGACCTAAGCCTGCTCTACGGCGCGGGACTTTGCCAGTCCTCCAAAGATCAAGCTATCAGTCTTCCCTCTTGGGTTCCCGACTTCCGTGGGAAAGACGGCAGACACTCGTTGTTCCTCGCTGCTGGATTCTCTAGAGCTTTCGACGCATCTGCTGGCAAGAGTCACCCACGAGCAAAACAAAGCGGCTGTTGGGGTCCAGTTGAAGGTCTCCAACTTGAAGGTCTACCAGCTGAGGGTCCATCTGACGAGGAAAAGCCTGCGGAAGAACTTTCGGCTGGACATGGTTCAGCTGTAGGACTATTGGTCGAAAACCTCTCGGTCGACGGACTCCCCATTGAACGACTTCATGTCGAGCAACTTCCTGTCGAACTACTCTCGGTCAAGGAGCCCCCTGTCAGAGGTCTCTTAGTTGAAAGTCTTCTAGCGGGAGAAATTTTGTTGACGCGGCCACTCGACGTCAGCGAATCTGGGCGCAAGGAATTGTATCATACATTCGGCCTAGGCCGCGCGAACAACAGCACTTCCGACAAGTCTCTGATACAAGCACTCGCTGAAGTCCTCATCATGGACAGCGATGCCAAAAGCTGTCACCGCTTTTCAAGACAACAGGAGCGCCATGTCAATGTATCACTGTTCCGAACTCTTGGCCTTATCCGAGACGCAGAAAAGTTGTGCAAGGGAAACTTTATGGAAGCAGGACGCGATTATGATGTTGTGGCCTTTGTGGAGTGGGCTGGACTTGCCCAAGTCGATCGAGTAAACGACATCTACTCCCGACTTTGGACATCGGAGCCAAAAAGGCTCGATCACTATCGCAATATGTTCATACGCGAGCTCAAGCGCAGGCGAAGTACGTCTTCAAGATTGTTCTCGACCAATTCTGGATACATTGGTAGAGCTTCTGCCGAGGTAGCGGAAGGGGACATGGTCGCTATTCTCTCTGGCAGTAGACTTCCTTTTGTCCTCCGCAAGACGCAAGATCATTCATCGTTTCAGATTGTGAGTCCTTGCTACGTTAGTGGCATGATGTTTGGCGAACTAGCAGGCGGCTCTGGCGCGGGTTTAGGTCACGTTCATGGTTTCGAGAACATCATACTGGTATGAGTCATGATTAGGTCACGAAAGCAACCGAGGCTTGGAGAGTTGAAAGATTTCGTAGGATCAAAGAGCTGATGGACTAAGAGATATTTGGTTGAGATAGAATGAGCCACCTGCGATTGAGTCAAGTATTTGCTTTCAGACTCCCTCTTAGTGCGTCTAAGTACGTGTTGTTAGGATGTTGTAGGACAACCTGGACTTAGACTATTGGACAATCTCCGAGGGTTCATTTTAAACCTTGATGGACTCTCAGTGGTAATACGTCATTTCATAAATAACGTTACACTTTCCCTTACATTTGTCTCGCTGCTTCATGAGTCCCATCTCACTGGTGCTCTCCCATGCGGTAATCAAGAATGTAAACCGCCGCGAATTGTGGAACAAGCGCCGAGGAAAACAAAGCCACACAAAGAAATTCTCTTTACCAGAGATACCCGCATGAGATGTGTCAAACTTCTTATTCACTAAGTCAACTCACCCACATTTGGCCACCCCAAAAATCCCTCCCAGCCACCGCATTATTATCCATACCCCAATGTACAAACCACCACAACAATTGTAAAAATCGTCCAAATGCAATTCTTTTTTGCACACTTATTAATCGATATGTCATGGTCTTATATACCGAAAATGAAGTTGCTCAGGCTCTTGAGACTATCGGAAACGGTCTCTCTATCAAGAGGGCCTCGATTGAGTTCGGAATACCAAGATCAATACTTCGTAATCGTATGAATGGCCACCAGAACAGAGCAACGGCTTTCGCTGAGCTTCAGAGGCTTCCTCCTTGGCAGGAAGATAAGCTGGCTAAATGGGTTCGTATTTAGTATATACATTTGTGTTGAGGCGTATCATTGATCGCAACTTGAAGTGATCGACATAGTCTTCGAGATACAGTGACACCTCTGCGGCCGAGGGTTAGCTCGTTGTCGCTACAAGTTGTAAGAATACCAACTCTCAATTGAAGCTTTAGTTAACAGACTTACAATCAGGAAACGGAAAGTCTGTGAAACACCCCTCATGATGCGTGAGTTACATTGTACACATTTGAAAACGCTGACAAGCCTCACTCTTTCTTTCGAGATGTTGACAACAGTTGCTATATCAGTTCAGTAGTCTGCCTCAATAAATACGCTTCTCCGAGATGCAAGTGCTTGCATGATAGTATCATCCGAGATCGGCATCAGCTACTCAAATCGCCGAGTCCATCAAGTCAGAAAAGGCTTATACCAGGCTCAAATGCGATCGGGCTCGGAAAGTGCTGGTATCCCATCGAGTGCCAATTGGCAACAGGTACATTATGCCCAGTTTTGACCCAGTTTTGCCCCCTCACCGCGGGAATACATGACGGTACGTCATCAACCCCTATATTTTCCCAGCTGCGTTCACCACCACAACTAACATTTCTACAGATGGGCAACTGTCGCGATGTCCTCAAGCGACTCTGATGCGTCTGATTCGTCAGCGCTTTCACATATCACCGTCGCAGTACTTCCCGAAGACCTTGATAGCGCCTGTACAGCTCAATGTAGGCCCGAGAGGTGTGATAACGCAAATGTACGCCCACACGAATCGCCTCCGCTAGAAAGGGGCACACCGGGCCAATTCAACCCCCTCGACGTGCCCTACCGCGCCACAACAGTACGGGGTCTATCTACTACCCCTTTAGAGCTTTTTCAGCAGTATGTGCCTTTGAGGCTGGTTGAATCGTGGGTACAGTGGACCAATGAAGCCGCAGTACGAGGCCCTGTTCAACAACACTCACGATCCCACAGAAAAAAGACGAGGTCAGGGTGCCTGCAGTGTGGAGTAGCGCTTTGTAACTCGGATGATTGCTGGTACCTCTTTCATAGTCAGAGTATATAGACAACAGAAGTATCCATAATCTAGGCTTTTTGGTTGGCTAGAAGAAGTCTTGGCTGTCTCCTGAGTGGTCAGTTCCCCTCAAGGGCATGTACCTGTTGCCAATTGGCACTCGATGGGATAGCAACCATCTGTTTGTTGTGAGCACCTCATTTTGTAATGGCGGCGAAATCCTTTTGATCAAAAGAAGTCCTGGAAGATTGTTTCCCACTCCCAACTCGCGATTATCATGCTGTTCTAACTTCTAGGTTTTCTATCAGGCTCAAAATTTACTAAGAACCGAGATCTGAAGCATTTCTCGACAATATTCAAGGCCATCCGAGGGCTTCGGACTAGGATCCAGATCCTATGAAATGTATCAAAGGCTTAGGTGCCAATGAGCGTTCAGCAGGAACCCATTTAGCCGGTTCTGTTATGACAGTGACAACGAAGGGCTGGAGTCTTGATTAATGTGCGCAAATCAGCTCAACATTCTCACGCTTGACAAGTTTGGGAATTCTCACAATCCTACCCGAACGTTTTTGCCATGTAACACGAGAAGACACCAAGGAAGAGATCTTGCATAAGTAAGCCGCGAGATGAGCAGAGTTTTCAATTTGCTGTGCGTTGCTCTGCCGTATTCAACCTCTTCGATCTCTCCATCACGAGCTCATCTCTGTTCAAATGTCTGCACTATCTTGCGTCCCCGCCACGTTTGGGAATGTCTCATTGTTCGGGGCGGAGATCCTTTCTCTACAGACAAACCTTGTCACCAATTACACCATCTCTGTCCCTTCTTCTGTTCGCTTCACGCAGCCGTCAATTGAAGTGCAGAACGCGAGCTTTTGCAACATCACGGTAACCTACACGCACCCGGGTCAAGGTGATATCATCACCTTCGAATCTTGGCTTCCCACAGAGGGATGGAATGGGCGTCTCCAGGCTGTCGGAGGTGGGGGTTGGGTTGCGGGTCGAAGCGACCCCTTTTTTAGCGCCATGGGCGGAGCAGTAGGAGACGGTTATGCGACGATTACAACTGACGCTGGGCTGGGAAACTCTTTGGACGCAAGTTCTTGGGCACTCCTCAGTCCCGGGAATGTCAACCTCTACAACTTGCAGAACCTTGCGTCTGTGTCTCTCGATGACGGCGTAAGTCATTGAACCATCTGAAAACGATCGGCCTTTCTAAGTCTCAACGCACGCAGGCAGTCATTGGAAAGTCTCTCATCCAGTCTTACTACGGTCGCGAGCCAGACTACTCCTATTGGAATGGCTGCTCCCAGGGTGGCCGGCAAGGACTCATGCTGGCGCAACGCTATCCAACACAGTATGATGGCATTGCCGCGGGTGCTCCAGGCATTCAATGGACCGATTTCTTTCCCAGCATGCTGTGGCCTCAGCAATTCATGGACATAATAGGGCAGTACCCTCATGCTTGCGAACTCACGGCCATAACGGCGGCCGCAGTCTCTGCGTGTGATGATCTAGACGGTGTGAAAGACGGTATCATTGAAGAAGTCGATGCTTGTCTAGATGCCTTCAATCCATTCGATATAGTGGGTCGAGACATCAACTGTACGGGGGCACCTACAATTAGTTATGCTGCAGCAGCTGTCGTCAACGCTACATGGCAGGGAATGCGTGATTCTCAGGGCGTGCAGCTGTGGCCTGGACTGAACCCTGATACCGACCTGACTGTCGGCGTCGCGGCAACAATTTGTACTACAGAGCCCTGCAGAGGAGTCCCTTTGTCCATCGCTACGCAATGGCTTTCGCTATTTGTCGCAAGGGATCCAGACATTGACCTTTCCAACCTCAGCCATGTCGAGTTCGACTGGCTGGCACACCAGGGGCGGCAAAGGTACAACTCAATTATTGGCACTGATGACCCTGATCTCTCTGCTTTCCGCGATGCAGGAGGCAAGCTCATTACCTTTCACGGCCTTGTAAGTCGACCTAGATCACATGAAGTCTAGCTACCTTCGGTGTCAGTTGAAAACTTACATACGTCATTCACACAGGTTGACGAGCTTCTTCCTCCGAAGGGAAGCATTAAGTACTACAACACAGTCTCTGATCTCATTCCGGGAGTTCACGACTTCTATCGCCACTTCGAGGTACCCGGCATGGGCCATTGCTCTGGAGGGAGAAGCGGAGAGCCAATTAGTCTGTTTGATCAACTACGCGCGTGGGTAGAGAACGGCACAGCACCAGACCACACACCATTCAAAGTCACGATCTCAGGAGGAGACGTACAGGACCGCATCTTATGTCCATACCCACAGAAGGCTGTTGTTGATCCAACCTGTGATAGGACGCTAGGAACACAATGCTGGTCATGTGGAGGCAATTTGTAGGTACTCAAAGTCATTGGTCTTTTTAGATAGCCAGTTGGCCGACCATTGTCGTGGATTTGGATCCTCTATCTTCTATGTGGTATCATTGGCAGCACACATCCAAAGCATATCAAGCGCAACTACCCAGTCGAGTAAATCGTGTAGGTTTCCTAAGCTGATGTAGAAGCTTTTCCTTCGATGTGATCGTCTAGTCGCTGCAGCTGTTCGAGCAATCGTGCTTCTCAGCGTTGTATCTGGAGTGGCACTTGCACTGCACGTCCTGGACAGGGTAGCAGCTGCCAGAAACAGAGCCACGGTGGGGTTCGGCCGCGTTGGTGTTCTTGTAGTCGACGTTGAACGACTTTCCAAGGGAGCCAAACTTGCGGTTGATGTAGAAGAGAGCGTTGCCCTTGCGCAGGCCGTTGTTGCAGTACTCAGCAGGCTCGTTGCGCGCCCAGTTATCGAATTGGCCGCAGTCGACTCCGTAGTAGCCGTTCAGTGTGAGGTAGAAGAGTCAGTGACATGATCAGAGAAGACAAGGGAAATAGTGAGGATGGCAACTTACTGGCACTGTCGACCAGAATCCAGGGGTCGACATGGTCGTCGAAGCAGAAGTCAAGTCTGCACTGGTTTATTAACTATATTAAAAACTTAATTTATAAATATATCGGTATTAAATCCGAAATACTCTTTAAGGTTTAATTTAGTAAATTAGAAAAAGGTATTTGTAAATAATTATCCAATAAAGTATTAAAGTGTTACGACCTAACATGTATAACCAAGTTCAGGCCTGCCCTGCAGGTCACGGCGGCTACAGCGCACTATGTATATAGGTGAAATAAGAATACTAGTAACCCTTCGCAGAACGGAAGAACTATAGTATAAGTCACGTAATAACAAAGATAAGGATCATTTGGGATTAATATAATCTAATACGACTTAGGGGCTAAACGATTATTCTAGATTAAAATGATCTAGGGCGACCTAAGTGTTACGACCCAGCATGCACGACCAAGAACAGGGCCTGCCCCGCAGGCTTACGACGGTTACGATACGCCAATACATGCACAGGACAAGGTGATGATGATGATGATGTATTTAACGTCTGGTAACAAAAGGACGTGCCGGGCGCTATGCCGACATGGTCTATACTAATCTAAACTATATTACAGGCTACCGTCTTCACCTAACGTTCCTGTTCAATGACTCGGGCAAATTTCGGAAAAGAAATTGGTCTCCTCTATCCATTCGCATAGAAGAGAGGCTCCCTTAGCAGAACCTAACAAGAAATCAATACTTGCTTTGGCCATACGTTGGCGGAGGTAGCGCGGTGTAGCCTTGCGTCCACGCTTGCAGAAGTAGAAATGGACTGGTGTCTTGGGTTTCCCACAGCTGCAGTTGAGCAACGCATCTTGATGAGCGAATCTCTCGTGGTATGCTGCAAAGTCTCCATGATGGGATCTTGCTGCGTATAGCCTTCCTAGTAAGTGCCGAGGGAGGCGGAGTTCGGGCGGCTTGGGGTGAAGAATTATCTCGAGGTCGGCATATTGCCGAGGGCATTGGGACAGCCATTTTCTGGCAAAGGCTTGGAAGGCAGCTGCTTTAGCTTGCCTTTCTAGGTGCGCTAATGAGGGCTGTGGTTGTGATTTTGGGATTAGTTTGCAGGCTTCCTTGGCTAGAGCATCCGCTTCTTCATTTCCTGGTACTTCCGTGTGCCCAGGGCACCACCAAACATAAACCCTGCCGGGGGTTGTCCAGCTCTCTCTTTGTCTCCGAGTCCAGGAGGAAGAGAGCCTATTGAAGGCCCTAAATCTAGCCTGGCTGCTTCCTGTGCTCTGGGAGTATAGTCTAGCCGCGACTGCGAGGTTGTCGAGGCAGATGTGGACGTTATCTGCCATACGAGCCGTAGGAGCCCGGGTGGCTTCCATCAGGCCGTGATACGCAGCATGTGCCTCCGCGTCATACACCTCAGTTTGGGAGCTGAGTGGTTCGGATCCGCGGAAGATCTGCCGTGTAGCTTGGTACCCTACCCAGCCTGCTCCGGCGGAGGTGCTGCTGCCGTCCGACATCTGGGACCCGTCAGTGTAGACAACAATGTCCCGCTTGGAGAAAGTTGCCATCCTGCCTGCAAAGGAGAGGGCCTGTTCTTCTTTGGTCTTATTAGGTTCGTAGCCGACCCTGGCGAGGGCTGTCTGCCAGTCCGCTAGTTGCTCCCAAGGGGGGAGTTCTAACGGATCGATGTATTCGGTATTTTTGCTTACGAGGCTTGCCATTCGTCGTAGCCGTGAGTCTGGTCCTGATTTGTCCCTGAGTCTCGTTCGGAGAGGGTGTCGCTCGTCCAGACGATGGATTCTGGTGGACGCTGTGTGGAGCTTCGCATCCAGTATCACCTCTGCTGGGGGTAGAGCCGCCTCGCGCTATAGGATCGGTACAGGCGTCGTTCTGTATACGGGGACCATCGCTCTGATGGCTTTGGTTTACGTCGCGTCCAGTTAGTATAGCAGACTACCAACCCCGTTTAAGATAGTACGTCCATTCTTTATCCGGCTCTTGCCGGGCCACCATGCTTCAGATATATAGTACTGAGTGGGTAATACACAAGAGGTGATCGCTCGACGAAGTAAGTACGCAGGCGCGCCCCAGACAGTGTTCCCTAGTCCCCGTAGTCCATTAACTACTTAGCATACTTTTACAGAGAGGTTTCTTACGTAACTCTTAAATATGAGTTTACGGTCGAAGTAAACGCCGAGCCAGCGTAGAGAAGAGCCTTCTTTAATAGCCTAAACTGTATAATACCTCCCATCCGGCAAACCTACTATGATTGATAGGTTTCCGTCTTTTCGTCTCTTAGTGAAGTAGATCAGTTCGGACTTATCGAGGTTAAAAGTGATTCCTTCCGTCGCGCCCCATCCTAAGGTTTCTTTCCATTCCTTAGTTAGGATATCACAGTTATTCTCAAGTAATGTTAAGCTTGCCAAGATAGCGACGTCATCGGCGTAGCCGAAACGAGATCGCTTCCTTCCTAGGCGAGCTATGCCTAGCTTAAAAAGAGGTTCAATATAGAGCATGAATAGAATAGGAGACACGGGTGAGCCTTGTAGTAGTCCGTATTCGAGACCGAAGACGTCTCCTACCTCCCCATCAAGCCTTATTCTTGCTCTCCTTCCGGTAACAAAACTTGAGACCCAGCATACGAGGTTCTCCGGCCATCCTTATTCGCAGAGGCGTCGGACCAGTCGTCCTGGGAGCACGGCGTCGAAAGCCCCTTTTATATCGAGCGTAAGCATAGAGGTAACCAGGCCTCTTTGCCAGGCGCACTCGATGTCGTGGATGGCCGCTGCGATGAGGTCGCTGCAAGAGCGAAGAGGGAGTGCTCCAAACTGTTGATCGTGCAGAACACGATGTTTAACTGCGATCCAGGCAAGTCGTCTGGCGATGAGTCTCTCCAAGCCTTTTCCGAGGACGGCCAAGAGCGCAATTGGCCTATAGGAGCGCGGGAGTGTCTTGTCTCTTTTTCCCGGTTTTGCTAGGATCACGAGAGTTGCTTCTTTAAAACAAGTAGGATGCCAACCCTCGCGTATACACCCGCTATAAAGTGAGAGGACAATATCCTCAATAACTGGCCATGCTATTTTCAAAGCAGTCGTAGTGATTCCGTCGGTCCCAGGAGTCGTGTTTCCCGCGGTGAGAACCGAAGACCGTACCTCGTCCTTCGTAACCTGCGGGAAAGGAAGCGTAGCTTGCCTTTGTAGGACTGGGCTTTCTGTTGGTATGTCCTCGGAGATTGCAGCGTTTCTAAGGAGGACGCGGGTAAATAAGTCGCGCTTCTCTTTTGGTTGTGAGACAAGCGTGTCTTGGTTGTCTACATCTCGGAGTGGCGGGGTCTGAAAGGATCCTGTGGCTTTGTGCCAACCGACCATTTCAAATATGTCTTTGCTTGAGGAGGCTGAGGAGATCTTATCTTTCCAAAAGGCATCCTTGGAGCGTTTAAGCACAGGACAAGGGAACACAAGGCACCCTCTCACGGAACGGAAGAACTATGGTACAAGTCACGTGATGATAAGATAAGGATCATTTGGGATCAATATGATCCAACACGACTTGGGGGCTAAACCGGCACGTCCTTTTGTTACCAGACGTTAAATACATCATCATCATCATCATTGGGGGCTAAACGATCATTCTGGATCAGAATGACCCAAGACGACCCAAGGGACAAGGGACATGTTCAGGATCAGGACTTGTATATAAGGATGGACTTGAGCTGGACTCTAGGACAGACTTCCATAGCTCTTCAGCAATTAACTTCGTATCAGGATTAACATCCGCTTTCAGCTACTACCTTGACAAGACTACGATTGATCACCGAAGCCTTACCCACCCTTACGATTGACAGACATAGTTTCCTTGAAACTATTCCACGACTACGATTACTGTTACCAGTTCCGCAGCCTCAACTTCTGCAAACTACCCCTACAACTAGCTGGCCGTAACACTACCCTCTTAGAGGGGTAGATAGTAATAACGGAACTAAGGAACTAGCGGGAACTAAGGACGGATAGAACATATAGTAGCCTATGGGCGAGACTTAGAGGACGATAGAAAGAGGCGTATACTATAGAGTTCATAGCTTAAGCCTGCGGCCCTCCACGCCACATACTCTCCGGGAGGTCTGCCGCAAGGGCGGCTGCGCCCTTGCCGCCATGGCGTTAAATAGAACAACAACAACAACACGCCACATACCCCTCGGGAGGTCGGCCGCAAGGGCGGCTGCGCCCTTGCCGCCACGGCGTTAAATACAAAAAAAAAAAAAAAAAAAAAAGCAAACTCATTTCCGGCATTATTGTGTCGTGTGCTTCTTTTCCTCCACTGGATATATGCTGACGGACAGTGGACTTAGGCGGGAATTTCCACAACAGTCGAAAGCCAGTGGATGTATGAGTTTAGGGAGTCCATATTATTGACTTCGCTTTCCAGTCGTGATGACGTGGACCTACTTCGGCCTTCAGTTCCGTTATGAGATACCCATTTAGACCCAAAATGTGGTATGCACATGACAGCAGCTTATTTGCTGAGATTGAATGAAAGTAAAAGTTATACAGCAGGGTCTGCAATCCAAATGACCTACAAAATAACTTCATCCATTGGCCGTGGAATCAAATCGGCGAGGTTGCAATTACTTGCACACATTCATTCCTTGTTGCACATACTTGGACGGAATACTATTTCCGTTACTCCTCGCGAGAGACGAGACCATGGAAAAACTCAATTCAGCTTCACTATCTCCGCCGGGGAGAAATATCACAAAGTTAAATTTGTCATTGGTTCACAATTCAAGCATTGACTACAACAAGACAAAGAGTTCGCCAAGCTGACCACTGAGAGTGCCCCCTATACGCAACCTTCAGCCATTGCCTCCAGAACAGGATCCAGGCGTTACTAAAGCCATCAGGCCACGATTTCGCATCTCCTTACTACGCGAATGTAGAATGCTTTTTACGCAAGGCAATCCTCTCAACTCCAGCCAGGCAGAGGGGAGGGGCTGTCTTCGGGCTCCGCCGGCAAGCCCGCAGTCGGCATAGGGGGAAGCGTGATAATCCGATCCTCCTCGACAAGTCTGACGTCGCGGAACTTGCGCAGGGACCAGACATTCCACACGTTTGTGTCGACAACGACACCATAAAGACCAGGCGCAGGGTTGTTCCACTTGGTGATGACCTTGAGATCGCTGTCGCGTAGACGGAGCTTGTCGACGAACTGGTCAATATCGGTTGCCTGTTTCCAGTATTGGTCAGTATGAAGACAACATCTGACGGTGCTCGGTTCAGAGAAAGAGGCTTACAGGAGCCAAGAAGACGATGTATCGTCCAGCTAGGACACTGGCGACGTAGTAGAAGAGGGTGAACAGGCTAAAGCGCATCGTGAAAACTAGGTGTTAGGTATCGTGAGGTGAAGTAGAGGTGTTATGATGGTGTAAGTGTAAGTTTGCTGGTGAGATGTCAGGGCAGATGTAACTACTGGTCACCGTGACTACCTTCTTATACTCCATCGCACCTCCTCAACTGGATATAACCTCGAGACATTTCCTTCCGTCATGCGGGGTTTTAATCACACCTTCCGACTGCTCACCGTATATCATCACGACGGGGAAGGAATCTAGGGGCCGCCATGATCGTGTGCCAAGATCCTGCCTTGAGACATCCCCAGCCCGGTTAAAGTGCGAGCTCAGCCAGGTTCCTCCGCAACTTCTCCCTCTTCCCAGATTAATCCTCCCCCGCGAGTGGACAGAGTTGTCTTTCTGCCAACAGCCGCCATCGTCTTTGGCTGTCGTCGGGTCTTGGCTTCGCGAGTTGCGGGAGATCGGCGGTGTTCGTCCCCCGTTGCGGGCACGTCCAAGACTTTCCCCTCCGGTGTCTCTGAGACCACAGCTCCATGAACGGCAACTTTGCATACCGGAACGAGCTGACATGAAATACGTTTTCAATTACGATGAGACGCAACCGCTATAATACGACAGACTCGCTACATGTAAGTACCTAGAGCCCCCTCCCTTCCAAAACAGACAACGTGTACGTGACTTACTAGCTTTTTTGCTAGTATTGCGTCAACGGGCTCTAATTTTCTCCTATCGGCTCGGCACGCTACGCCACGACCGCTTCATCACGCCGGGTGCCCGAGACCATCGACGGCTAACCGCGGACCACACGGTATAGACATCTCAAACTTCATGAAGTGTCTTAAAACCGAACCTCGCGTCCCGACTTTGCGCTCTCCTTAACAGCGTGGATGATACGCAGGACATCCCGCGCCTCTCTCGCCGGCACAGGAACGTACTCCTCCCTTCCAGTCTCAACAGCCTTGGCGAAACCCTCGAAGAGCTTGAGGTACGTCTCCGGCTTGTGCGTCGGCTTCATCCGCTCCTCAACGTTGCCGCCCTCCTTGACCAGCAGCAATCTACCACCGTTCATGGGGTCCTCGACACCGAAACCAGGATCGGTGGGCTTGGCGCCAGCCTTGAGCTGGTCCTCCTGCGGGTCGAGGCATGTCTTGTGGTAGCTGGCCTTGGTACCGCGCACCCAGAACCGCGGCTGGCTCGTCTCGACGCTCATGACACCGATGCGTACGCTGACGATGAGGCCGTCTGGGTAGCAAAGCTGCGCGTGCACACTGTCCGGGTCCTCGGGGTCGAACTTGCCGTCGCGCTGGCTGACAAGCTTGCCGTAGACTGTCTCTGGCATGCCGAAGAGGTTGTAGGCCTGATCGATGAGATGAGATCCCAGGTCGAAGAGGGCGCCGCCTCCCTCGTCCATGGTCAGCTCGCCCTTCCATGACGTGGGGCGGTCGGCGCGGAAGCGATCAAAGTGGGTGTCGAATTCGTAGACACGGCCAAAGACGCCATCGGCGATCATCTTCTTGACTGTGAGGAAGTCGCTGTCCCAGCGACGGTTCTGGTAGACGCAGATGAGACGCTCATTCTCCCTGGCGATCTGAATGAGCTCCTCAGCCTCCTCGATGGTGGGCACGAATGGCTTCTCGACCAGGACGTGCTTGCCAGCCTGTAGGGCCTGCTTGGAGAAGCTGAAGTGAGTGTTGGGCGGTGTGAGAATGTTGACGATGTCGACATCGGGGTCCTGGAGCATGGGCTCCAGGGAGGTGTGATGCTTCAGCTCTGGGTAATCATTTGGTGCTGAGGAGGAGGCTGTGGGCTTGCGCTGGACGATGCTGTGCAGCTTGAACTGAGGTGTGAGGTTGATGAAAGGGATGTGGAAGACCTTGGCGGATAGTCTGTGGATGGTCGGTCAGCACGTGGGCATCTTCATTGAGTCGCGCCGAGAGTGAGTCTATTCCGAAAGCATGCAAGGGGGCACTTGTAGTAAGGACGACATGGGACTGAGAGACGGTTTCACTTACCCATATCCAATGATTCCAACGTTGAATGTCTTGCCTGCTGCCATCTTGTCTCTTGTTTCTTTTTACACGGTATGATGAATCTGAGGAGCTTTCTTCGCAAGACAAACTCAAACAAAATGTCGTGAGCTTGACAGCTTTATAAAGCTATCGTCGAGCTGGATTACTTTAGCATGAAAGGCGATGAGGGGCACGAGGGGGCAATCGTGGAGGAGACTGGAGCTTTGGTGGAGTGACGGGCCAAGATTACCCCATTGCGTCACCAAGGAAGGACTCGGCGCTTTTCTCAATGGACGACGGAGAAAATTGCCCCATTTTCGGTGCGTCTGTCAGGTCACGGACGGCGACGCTAACACCCACTTTGACACACCGGGTTTACCGGCCCTGAAGGACTGTTAAAGTTGCCCGAATAGGTCACCTTGGACTTTCGGTGAGCTACTCATCTTCACCGAGGCAGAGCTTGCTGTTGTGGTCATCTTTACATAGGTAGTCACTTGACTCAGCATAGCCTCGGTGAGACGAGATCATTCTATTCTTGGTTTTCATGTTCTTATTTTACCTTCGTTGCTTGTAGCCGCACTACCACGTTTCCCCGATGAAATGGAGGAACCGGTTACCGGTCAAGTAGATCCCCTTCGGTTGCTCCCGGAGTGAGACAAAGTCTTCGACATAAAAGTACATCCGGCACGACACATACAGCCCAGAGGACATTCGGGATAATCACAAACAAAGGCACCGACATGGTTGGGTCCTTTGCCGCCGAGTTGTTTACCTGGGACCGAACCAATGCCATGAGCCGATGGACAACTCCCTCCTGTCCTGGTCGGCAAGGTTTTGGCTTCCTGCGACTGGTTTTGAGCCTCAGAATCCGCTTCCACAACCTGGCCTGTTGACTGAAGAGCTCCATACAGGCGTTTCTGCGCGCGATGCCATTTCTGGTCTTCGTAAAGGTAGTGAAAGGCCCCGTACAAACAGAAAAACATGTGGTACGACGCAGCCAGCCTCCAAATGAGCTGCTCCGTCGGTGTTGGGAACTGGAAATTCCATCCGATCATGAAGGTTACGCTGAAGTCAACGATGAACACGCCTCCCAGGGGGTAGTACATCAATTCCATAGGGCGCCACAGGTCAGAGGGAAATCTGTCTCAGAGTTCCTGTTTGATGGGCCTTCCATAAGGGTGAAGATGCATCATGTCGCCCAGTCTTTTGTAAAAGCTCCAGTAGGCGTCTATGCGAAAGATGCGCGGGGTGATGTCGTCGAGTGGTGTACGGTGCCATGCTGTTGAAAGCTGCGGATGGGTCTATGAGACCCCAGTCAGCGGACATTCCAATTGAAATAGGGGCAAACCAAGGGCACTCACGTGAGATATGGCGTATGTTCGAATTTGTTCCAGAGTCACCTGCCCCTCGCCCTGGACTTTGGTTTCGATGTACCGGGGATAGGAAATCGCCGGCTTTGGGTACCAGCAAACAAATGTCGCCACCATGGCGAATGTGATAGTGCCGTCAGTTCTAAAGCGGTGATGGGCAATCCGTTCCTGACGCGGTCCATCTCCGTGATGAAGAACCAAAGAGCTTGCCAGAGAGTGATGAGCCTGGCGAATGTCAGCAACAGACTCCATTCAACGTTGTGATTGTAATTGTGGCTTGAGAACTACATGTACCTTGAGAGAGTGTCGACCGTATTACGTTCCGCGATATCCATGGAGTCCATATCAGGAAAGTCGACAAAGCCGTGCTTGACCAGATAATGCAGCTGTTCCGCGTCGATAGGAAATCCTTCAGGAAAGTCCGGGCTCTTAAGGAACATCCCACCCATGTCAACGAGGAAAGCCTGTTTGTACGTCCATTTTTGACCGCCACACAAGTGACTATCCTTCTGAAACTGTTGCAAACCATTGAAGATCTCGTCAGTCGCAGCTCGGATTCCATGGAATAGGAAGCCCCTCATACCTTGACACTTCGACGAGCACTGGAAAGCTGACCAACAGCGAGTCCGAAAAAGAAATCCGGTCCCAAAAGTCCAATCATTGCAAGGTTAATCTTGTCAAAGACACCGTGGTACCACGACGCAGAGGATGATTGTCAACAAGCTTGACCAGAGGATGTCGACACTTCCCCTGTCTCTGCCTGCGGCCACCCATCCGTGGATACTGGTGTTGATATCGCTGTGGTTGATTCCATCGCGTGACACGAAGTGGTTGAGAGCACCTATGTCTAGCTCACCCATGGAATCGAAATTTCCCAGTTAACCACGTTGATGATGTGTGCTTTGATGATGAGAAGAAGTCGGGGCTGGAACTGTCCCTGAGCTTATTTTTCAGCAGTTGACTAGGGTGAGTCAATTCACAAGCAGCTACTGCTTGAATCCACGATTTGCAACTTGTGAGACGGAAGCATTTCGAAGAGGAACCGGACTGTTTATGACCTCCATCGCATGCGGCAGTAAAAGCCCCTTCCTCCTTTACAACCTCTAAGGTAATTGAAACACATGCAGTCAAGAGCTGGCTGTGTTGCAGATCCATGCCGTGATAAGAAGGCTGCCTGCAGGAAAATGACAAGTCTGTTGGCTTCTGGAAAAACAATACGAAACACGGCCCCTTGCGGCCTGCGGCCTTGCCCCATGACCGGCAGCCTGCGACAAAGGCACTCACGGAGGGCCTGCCTTATTGAGATGGTTCTGTTGGTTCGAGATTGTTCCCTTCCACATAGGGTTGCTGTTAGCCGCCAGCCGCCCCAATTCGGTGCGTCACCCCGCTCTCCTGCAGCGTTTGTCGCTAAAATATCAGTGAGAATCATGATACAGCCTCAATGATGCACTCTAGCCTGATATCTTACCATGGCTTTGTATCGACGATGAGAATTCAGGAAGGCCTCTTTCTCTGGACCGGGCCACTATGTGTGGAAGCAGAATATTTGGAAATGGATGGATAATGCTATATGATCCAAGATCCAGCATCACGGTTACATCATGGTTACGGCCAAACGGAATGTACATCAGCCTTGCCGCTTTTTGTTCTTCCGCCTTTCACTCTCCGATTTGTCTTGTCAAATTCGGTGGAGGAACCATGTTCACGTTGAGCGTTGCCAAATGCCAAGAAAAGGTCCGCCTGTTGGTATTCCTTTCACAGGGAATTTGGTTCGAACCGTAGGGTCCTGGGGTGACGAAGTATCAATATCTCTGTATTGATTGATTCTGCGTAAGGAGTAGAAGGGAGATTCCAACCGGAGGTTGGGTGGGTAGTCGAGGTCTAATTGTACTCCCTCGAGGTGGCCCATGCTCTGCCCTTACTCGCGGTCGAATTGGACTTCCAATCCGACACCGCCAGATATGAGCACTCTTGATCCTGCGAAGGTGTCTCATTAAATATGCAAAGTTACGCATAACTCCTTTGATTTCTTCTGTCTGATGAAGGGCAAGTGGCTAATTATTAGTGATGAAAAGCCGTTCTTCGGGCTTCTAATGAGGAGTGATATGACCGAGCATCGTGTTCACAGAGCCTGAGATCTTGAGAAGATTGGCTAAGATAGGAGACTTGGAAGAAGAAGAACCCTGAATGAACCTGGAAACCTGGTAAATATGAGGCAACTCGAGGCTGCGGTCGAAGACCTTGCATCTCTCAAATTTGTATTAGTCAAACGTTCTGCTCAGATTTCTGAAGCAGCCTTGGTGGATCCTCGAACGAACCACCAAATACCGTGAAGTTTGGAAAGTAAAGGATAACTATTTAATCTGGAACACACAGTTTGTAAGAAGTTTGGAAATTCAAAGCGGCGCAAAGGGCAGTGCTCGTCATCGTGACTACAGTTGTCATTCTCACGCCGAGACGTTCACCAGTCTCCACACCTCGTCAGACCAGCGGCCAGCATCGATCGTCTTCATCCCCGATGAGACTTTCGCGGGTAATTTTAGACATTGATACTCTCCATCACTCATTCATTTTAATCGAGGATGTGCGCAATCGGGAGGAGAATAAGGCGACAACATGATGTAATTTGGTGGCCAACCCACGTTATGGCACAGTTTTGCGGGCGATGTTGTGGGGAACTGAAGTCATCCCACTGTGGGTGCTGCGTCTGTGACAGGAGGTTTATCTCCGGCTTGGATTGATGTGAGAAGAGCTCAACATGATGTCATGCGCCCTGAAGATGTTTAAATGGCAGCTTTGGAACCTAGATGAAGAATGGAAAGACAATCAACTCTTACAGCTACATCAAGACATTGAGAAAGACGACTTATACTTCAGCGAAACTTTATCCATCCGATTCTTCGAACAAACCATCACCAAAAGCAACCTATCAAAATGTCTGCTCAGTACAAGGCTCCAAGTGCTGGCGCCAAGGTATGTTTTGACATCCCTGGAGTCACGCAAGCCTACCTTATTTTCGATAGCCTTTCCCGAAAGTTCAGACGCTAACAGTGACCAAAGGTCGAGCCCAGCGCCGACGTCCGTCCTACCCGATCCGAAGCAACCGGTGCCGTCCCCGCCGGTTCCCTCGCAGCCGAGTCCGCCAGCCAAGGCGGCGAATTCGCCTCCAACCGCGGCGTCGACACCCCCGGCACTACCGCTTCTTACCGAACCGGCACCGGCGGTGCTCCAGGGTCTAGCGCCGCATCGATCCCCAATCAGGCCGCCGTAGCGCCGACATATGTGAACAACCAATACGTCCGCGACCCCAACGGACCTCACGGGAAGAATATCGCAGAGGGCTTCGACACGGCGAACACCAAGGACGGAGTGCAGGCTGCTTTTAACGCCGAAGTTGGTAGCGAAAATGACCCTAGCCGTGTGGCGGAGCAGGGGCTGCTGCAGAGCCAGACCAAGGCTGGGCGGGATGCTGGACCCCGGCAGACTGAGGTTGGGGGAGAGACTGTGTATGAGAAGTTGAAGAGCGATGTTCAGGCGTAGGATGCGTTTGGTACAGCGTATGGTTAATGATATCTGTATGAATGTTTTGGTTTTAGAATACCTGAGTATGGGTGATGATAGAACATGAAAGTAAATTTGACTCGAGCATGGATACATGTCGTGATCAGAACCCCGGATTGTTGGCGATATCTTGCGACTTCCGGCGCCTATTCTGTTGTACGATCACGCAACACTCCCCACTAGCCCAAGTTCGATTGCCATGACAGATATATCGCTTTTCGCTTTATTTCTTGTCGTTCTCATCAGCTTTTTCGAGCCTTTCAGCGAGCCTCTGGTCGCTGGCCTCTTTTTTCGCGGCACGCGCGAGATACCTAGACGGCTTCCTGACCTTCTTTTGTCATCAACATCGGGCGCTTGGTCTAGGGGTATGATTTTCGCTTCGCACTTCCAACAGGAACGCTCCTTTGTGAAAGGTCGTGGGTTCAATTCCCACAGTGTCCAATTCTTTTGTATTTTGTACAATTTGACTAGTGTTTTCGCTTCACAGAGTCGGTCAGTTTCGAAATGCATAATTCTTTTTTTTTGGGTCGATTGATGGACGGTGGTGATGGATGATGCTTCTCTACACTACATGACTGAACTGGGAGTGCCATGGGAGTGAGATGTTTGAGTGAGTGACTTTGACTTGTACACGCACGCACACAGGTCGTCGAGTGAGGTACTTTTTCTTCATCATGTATCTGGGAATCCTCAAGAACCGTTCATCTTCATGTCAATCAATATTATCAAACACGGCGTATTAAACTTTATTGAGTCCGGCAACGGCTGACAGTTAGTTGTCAGTGAGTTTGGAACGGATTCGGTCGGCCCCCGAAAAGCGAGTGGAGCCGTCCAGAATACGGTTGCCTAAATCTGGCGGTGCTAATTAACTGCAAGATGCCGCGCCGTTCCCGGGGAATTTCGTACCGCTGGAGACGATGGAATTTTCCATTGAAACAATGGAAGAAAGATGTGACAAGGGCTGATCCGAGTCTTATTCCAACATCAGATCTTTACACACTTACCTTCGTTCACGGTCCAGCGTCTTTTCCATCCTTGGCTTCCAGGAGAAATCCAACTCGGCATTGTCACCCGAGAACGTGCCACCAGAGGCGCAGCCGTTGACGCCTCCCCCCTTGTTACGGGACGAGTCAGGACAAGAACGTCAAACCTTGCCGCAAAGAAGCTTGATCTTCTTCTGCTTCAGCGCTTCTTGCCTACAATTATTCAGCGGGGGTTCAGCTGCCGATGCGCCGGAAGTGCAAGGGAACCGAGACACGGAGAAGTGGGAACGTCAACTCGCGGATTTACACCTCATTCATTGAACGACACCAGCAAGCGGCAACGACGTAAAGGGTGGAGGATAGGCGCCGCGGACACACATCTCACCCATGCTCGTCCTACGGTAGACGCAAGATGAGTGCGCCCGAGTCGTACCAGCTCGAGTCCCTCGCCTCGGATGCGGACGGCATCAAGCCTGCATCGCCGACGGCCTCCATCGACCCGGCCAACGTGCGGTGGATGAACCAGGGCGACCGGAGATGGGAAGTCTGCAAGATCGTGAGCCGTCTCATTGGGACGCTGCTGTGCGCCATCATCCTCATCATCATCATGGCGTGGTACGGGCATCCGCCGTGGGATGGCGATGGAGTCTGGCCTTGGCTGTGTCTGCCGGGAGTAAGTTTTCTTTCACCGTTTCTTTCATCTCATGCAAGAAACTGTAGCTCATCATGAGACGAACTATTTAGGCTTTGCCGTCATTCATGTGGGATCTGGGAGAGTTCCTCACCATCTGCGCCCGCCACGGACGCGGCATCACGCCAAAAGCTCACATTGGCCTGGAACTCATCATCTCCATCCTCGGCTACATTGGCGGAGGCTGGCTGGCGTTCCAACTAGGTATCCAAGAAGACGACCAGATAGGAAACAGCCCGCTGAACCTCGCCCTCGTGGCGTGTATTTTCATGCTCCTCAGCGCGTGAGTCCTTCGTTACTTTCCCTTCTGAATCTCTCACCAATACTGAAAATATATCCCCTAGAACCATCCACATGGCACTCTTCATCCGCGCCTGTATAGAACGCAGCCGTGAAATCCGCCGGCGCAGACCGCGCGTGATGTACATACCAGAAACAGGGCAAACAGTCTACGTCGTCGCCAAACCCTTTCCAAAACTACCGACGTGGAAATCCCAACAATCCGCACGCGCCCAAACCTCCCTCCGCTCAACGCAGAGCCCGCTCAGCAACTCCCTACGACACCACTTTCAACAACTCCAAGAAGAGATGCCGCCGCCATTACCAGACCGGCCCGGCGACCAGTCCCCTTCGTCGGCGTTGTCCATCAAGCGGAAACCCTTACCGGGTGGTCTACCCGCGCGTACGTTCCCCATGGGCGATAGTCGGGACCGCCACCTCCGGCCGAACATGCGTCCGCCGCCGGCTGATTACGAGCCTTCTGTGGAGGAGCTGGAGAGGATGAGACGGGGCGATGCGCAGCCTCAGCTTATCTTGCCGGGGGATGTGGATTTCAAGTTTGCTACGAGCGTGACTGGTATGACGCCGGCTGATGCGAGCGCGAGGGAGGGCAAGTATCGGGTGAACATGACGCAGATGCCGGTGATGGGGGAGTCTTCGAGGGGTGAGAGTGCAGGTAGGACGAGATCTATCTAAGCTTCTGTCTTTGTATACCTTACTTGAGGATACTCACAAGAGTGTAGACCTCACTCATTATCTATGTAGCATTTTCGCGATTGGAAGGGACGGCGTTTGGGGACATTATGACTGAGTAGAACAGTCTCATTTACGATCGGGCATCTCATGATATTCTTTTAATTCAATCTTTTCACTTGACATCATCCTCAACTCACATTCTGAAAGCCAACTCATCGCCAATGAGGCATATTGAAATCCCGAGAATAAACACAGTCCAGGAGATGAAATTCTATTTCACTCAAATCCCAAATTCCCGGGCATCTCAATTCAAGACGGCGTCGATCAAAAGTCCCAGCTCTTCAGCGCAAAGCAGGGCGCACGCAGCACTAGCTGTCAGGGGCTCGTCGCGCCGCGACAGGCCCCAACCCGGGCCCTGCGACACGAACCAATGGCCCACTTGGAGCCCACAATACAGAGATCTCACTGGCTACGGTACCAAGGATGGATGGACTTTGGGGAATGAGGTCCCCCGTAGCCTCTGTAGCTAGTACCCCCCCTGTTGGTGCCCTCTGATCTTTTCCCGAACTCCCAGGGTTCGAACTTTTGGCTCCTTGTCCCATCGGCCCCCGAGTTGCTTGTCATCCGCCGTTCGATTTCCATCCCCGGTCTAAAACGCATGCGACCTGACGTGCCGCCGCCGCTCGTCCTCCTCACTGCCGACCTCGCCGCGTAATCCAAGCCCTCGAGGCAATCCGTCAACAAGTAGAGCGGCATTCGAGAATCAATTCTCAATCTGCGATTCTGTACGATACATCTCCCACAACTGCGCCCTCCAGCATCACCCGCGACCTCAATGGCAATCCCATCATAACCACGCGACCCCCCCGAAATTGCCCATCCCGCGGCCTCCGAAAGCACGAAAAGAAAGAAACAACCCCCCCTCCCCTCGCCAAGGGCCAAGGGGAAGGACCTCGACGATCACCAGCGATGCAGACCTACCCTTCCGACGACACTCTATCAAAATGGACAACACGCCGCTCCACCCAGACATCACGACCCTCCCGCCCGACACAGGCCAGCGCCACGGCGACTTCCTCACCGCGATGCCCTACAACCGCTCAATGTACCGCACCACCCTCCTCCTCCGCCTCGCCTCCATGCTCGACGCCGTCATCATCCTCGCAGCCCTGGCCGGGCAAAAGGTAGATGATGGGTACTACATTGGCAACTGGGCTTTCGGGTGTCCTACGGCGGCTATGGCGTGGCTATGGAGTGCGGGTGATATAGGGGCGATGCTGGTGCGCGATCGAGGGTTCAGATGGACGAAGAATGACCCGACGAAGTTGCCGCGGAGTACAAAGTTCAGTTGGGGAAAACCTGGCGGGCATGTGGCTGCGCATTTGCTGATCTGGACGCCGACGGCGGCGTTTATGGCGATTGTGATTTCGAATTGGCTGTTGTATCAGAATGGTGGTGGGTTTGGTGCTGATGTTGATCCGCGGCAAACGAATACCATGGCGGCGGTGATTTTCTTTATGTTTATTCTGACGTACGTTTCCCCTATTTCTTCCCCCTGCTCGAATTGAAGATGGAAGCTGATAACAGGCTTGCAGTATGATCCACTTCTCACTCTTTATCTTTGCCATTGTCGAGGTAGACAATGAGCGACGGCACTACTCAGATGTCGTCTTCGTCCCGAGGGGCGAGCTATGTGAGATGGTACCCGTGCCGCCATCGACACCGTGGGAACTCTTCTCGCCGCGGAAGTTGCTTCTATCCTATTTTGCGAACCACTACGTTCGCTTCGTGCCCGGGGCGGATGGCACGGTGACGGTTGCTCGCGACTATAGCAGTCGACAGGCGAGGTTCTGAAGAGGACCCGTCTATACCTTACACATACGAGCCAGTTTGTTGGCTCGCTGAAACAGAACGAGGCCCCCAGGTCGGAATAAAGGACTTGGGCATCCCTCGAAGTCATCAAGCATAGATGCTAGACAGACGCATCATTTACACTACCTCACGCTACCTTAGGCATAGCATAGGGGGGCTGATAGACGGAATATTGGATCCCCCGCGGGATGACCGCAGAAACAAGCGTCGTTTGATTTTAACAAATAGCTGGACTGATACCCAGGGAGATATGGAGTACGTATGGCAGTCATTTAGCAGTATATAAAAAATAATGGAATAAAAACATTAAAACATCAATCACCGTCATTCCACAATGCCAAATGCAAGGCTTTCTCCTGCAATATCCTCAGCCTCTCGTCTTCCCGCCAATCAGGTCAGGCGGATTAGCACGTGACGTGTGACGTCAAGCCCCGCGGCTCCGTGTTGCTGCACAGTGGCGTCAGGCCGGGTCTCTGAGCCTTGAGGAGGGTCTTTTTTGAGGGTCTTTGAGGGTCCTGGGCGGGACAGTTGAGCTTTCCAAGTCGCAGGGAGTAACGATTAGATAAGAAAGAGGTTGGAGGGGTTGGGTGCCCAAGCCTTGGGGGCTTCAACTGTGCAAGATATTCCCAAGAGAAACCTCGTGATAGGTGGCCTCGGATTGCAATGGAATGACCAAGACACTCTCTTACCTTACCTTAGGTAAGGCACTAGGGATTCAATGTAGCATCCTGCATGATTAAGTGGTAAAAATACCCGGCACTTGACGTGGATGCTCGCAGCCAGAATGGAAAGAAGAAAAGGTCCTCCCTCTTACCTCAAGAGTCAGGAAGACACTCAGAACGGAGAAGGCGGTCGGGGTACGTACCGCTTACTCGTGCTTGCATCACATTTCCACACTTTCTAGGCAAGAGCAAAGGCCAAATGGAAGGAGCACGGTTGCATGGGAGATGCATTTTGCGGCATTGCATTTGTTGGTGCCTTATCGCCTCGCTACCCTATCGCCTATCAGCTTTTCCAACTTTTTGAGGTCGCTGCCCCACTACCAACTCTGTGAACCTGGCCGCAGGCGGGCTGCCCGCTCTCAGCGCTGTGTCTCTGTGTGTGTCCAATTGCCCCTCCCCACCTAAAATCATCCTTTCTCCAGCCTGTGCTGCGAGGGATGGTGGTGGGTGGTGGATGATGGTGGGTGTGTTTCGCACCGCCGCTCTTTGTCTCTTGTGCGTGTGGTCACCCTGCCGCCGGACGTCAACCTTTGAATTTTTTTCTTTTCTCCTACACGCCTCATCCTCCCAACTCTTCCTCTCTCTACCAGTCGACTTCATCGCCGACTTGCTACCTGCGTGTCACTTTTCCTGTCGTCGACGCATCACTAGGAAACAAGAAAGGCCTTTTTCATAGCCTTTTTTCCCCTCCTTTTTTTTCTCCGTATTCTTTTTGGGCGACCACAGGTTCCCCGCCATCGCTTAGGGAAAAAAAATCAACCCCGCCATCAACCACAAACCACCGTCATCATGGTTTCCTCATCCAAGGAGAAGAGACTCGCCAAGAAGGCCGCCGAGGGCAAGGATAAGAAGAAGGGCTCTAAGAATGTCAGCACGACTGCCTCATCGGTGAACGGCGATGAGCCCGCCACCGGAAATGACGCAGAAGAGATCAAGCGCCTCGCCGACCAGATGGACAAGCACGGCATTTCTGACCGTGTCACCACTGGTGTCCTGTCCTCTACCCAGGCCAGCAGAGACGTAAAGATCACCAGTGCCTCCCTCGTCTTCCACGGTCGCGTCCTCTTCAACGATACCACCCTCGAGTTGTCCTACGGACGCCGATACGGTCTGTTGGGAGAGAACGGTTGCGGAAAGTCCACCCTTCTCAAGGCCATCGCCGCCCGCGAGTTCCCCATCCCTGAGCACATCGATATCTACCTTCTGAACGAGGGTGCTCCCCCCACCGAGCTCGGTGCCCTTGAGTGGGTTGTTACCGAGGCCGAGCGTGAAATGGATCGTCTCGACAGGATGGCCGAGAAGATTCTCGAGGACGAGGGTCCCGAGTCCCCTGTCCTTATGGACCTGTACGAGGTATGTTCCCCCTTGCCTCTCCTTGCCTAGACCTGGAAATCTAGACTTGAAAACCAAACATGCTCTAACAGCCTGGTAGCACATGGAGAAGATGGACCCCTCTACCTTCTCTACCCGCGCCTCCCTCATCCTGACGGGTCTGGGTTTCAACAAGGTCACCATCCACAAGAAGACAAAGGACATGTCTGGTGGCTGGAGAATGCGTGTCGCCCTTGCCAAGGCTCTGTTCGTCAAGCCCTCGCTGCTGTTGCTCGACGACCCCACTGCCCATTTGGATCTCGAGGCCTGCGTGTGGCTCGAGGAGTACCTCAAGAAGTGGGATCGTACCTTGGTCCTCGTTTCCCACTCCATGGATTTCCTCAACGGTGTCTGCAACACCATGGTCGACATGCGCGGCAAGCAGCTCCTCTACTACGGAGGTAACTACGACATCTACCACCGGACCCGTACCGAGCAGGAGACGAACCAGATGAAGGCCTACCAGAAGCAGCAGGACGAAATTGTGCACATCAAGAAGTTCATTGCTAGCGCTGGTACCTACGCCAACTTGGTCAGACAGGCAAAGTCTCGTCAGAAGATTCTCGACAAGATGGAGGCCGATGGCTTCATTCAGCCCGTCATCCCCGACAAGGTCTTCACTTTCCGTTTCGCCGACGTTGAGAAGCTTCCCCCTCCCGTCCTGTCTTTCGACGACGTTACCTTCTCCTACTCTGGCGACCCCAAGGACGACCTGTACCGCAACATCGATCTCGGTTTCGATATGGACTCCCGTACCGCCCTTGTCGGACCCAACGGTGTTGGCAAGTCTACCCTGCTGCGCCTGATGACCGGCAAGCTCTCCCCCACCGCCGGTTCCGTCACCCGCCACACTCACTTGAAGCTTGGTCTGTACTCCCAGCACAGCGCTGAGCAGCTCGACCTGACCAAGTCCGCTCTGGACTTCGTCCGTGAGAAGTACTCAGAGAAGTCTCAGGACTACCAGTACTGGCGCCAGCAGCTCGGCCGCTACGGACTTACTGGCGAGTCCCAGACCTCCCTGATCGGCACCCTGTCCGATGGACAGAAGTCCCGTATCGTCTTCGCCCTGCTCGCCATCGAGTCCCCCAACATGCTGTTGCTTGACGAGCCTACCAACGGTTTGGATATTCCCACCATCGACTCTCTGGCCGAGGCCATCAACGCTTTCTCTGGTGGTGTAATTGTCGTCTCCCACGACTTCAGGTAAGATTTCCTCCACTCGCGGACTTATAGACTCGATACTAATTATTACATAGACTTCTTGACAAGATTGCCAAGCAGATTCTCGTGTGCGAGGACCGGACCATCAAGCCCTGGGGCGACTCCATCGGAGCGTACAAGAACTACCTGCGCAAGAAGATGGTTTCTGCCGGCGCTGTTTAAAGTAGTTTCGGTGGCGAGACATTATTGGTTTCGGATGCATCTCCCTCTTCAGCGTATGGTTTCTTTCTCTCCCCGGGAGGAAAAATAGAACAAAAAAGTGTTTGTTCATGACTTTTATGAAAAAAAAGTGCCGCCATGACCGTCACGACCAGGCCGGATGGGGCTGCTGCGGAAACAAGGGAAACGGACAACCTATACCCCCCTTTCCCTCCCTCCAGACGGCGGAAACGGTGGGAAAAGAGATCGAAGCGGGCATGGGACGGCATCGAGGGAAGACATTGTCAGCATCCATCAGGGCGGCTGCTGGCACGGCATGGGATAGACAGATATCTGCAGCTGCGAACTTTTTTTTTTTCTTGTTTTCCATCGTCTTTGTGTAGATGACGAGGACAATAGAGGCCATGAGCCATTGTTTTGAGCAATAACAGTGCATATGTCATTGTCAAGTGAATGTGATGGATTACACATGCCAGGCTGAGTGCAAGGCTGTGGGAGCGAGACTGAGTTTGTAGTCATACCTAGATGCAGATGGGTTGGTAGACTATTAACGACGGATGAATGAGGAATATTGACATTGTCCAATTTCCCGAGATAACATAGCCATGACTTCCAACTTGCCTGTGATTAGGCAGAAGGGAGAAAGAGTTGGAGCAATGGACATTGGATGGTATTCCGCCACCCAAGAGTAGCTCGCGAATCACAGCATGGGAGTTGGAGAGCAAGATGAGGCCGAAGATGCACGTGATCTGGAATGGAGGAGAGCTCTGACCCGGCACCGGGTGGAACGGCTGTATTTCCAGAGTCACAGAACAGTGGAGCCAATCAGGTATCTGGGGAATGGCGGGATGGATGAGGTAAGCGAAGACGGGGCGGGCGTTGTTGGGCGGGAGATGGGTTTCTGGTTCGTGATGATATTGGCACCTTTTGTGACTTTGGTTTCAAGAACGTGATAGATGGCTTTTAGTCAGTGGAGGGTCTTGAGAGAAGGTTAATGATTAGGAAGAGTAATCATTGAGGTGGTTTCGGCCTTTCGTCCAGCGGAGAGACGGGAACATTTGGATGCACTAACAATTTCTACCAGGATGGATGATGAGTGATGAATGGGATGCCCCCATCCCAGGTCCCCTAATTACCTTTACCATGTTGCCCTTATTTTTGGTACTGCCAGGCACAGAGGCTAACTCAAGTGCGTCTGACGTCGCTGGAAATTGTCTCTTTCCTGGGATTTGGTAGAGACAGTTGTAGAGGTAATACATGAGGCAGCATATAAGATCGTGGACGATGAGAAGGGAAGCCAAGAGAGAGAAAACCATGGAGAAAAGGGGGAGGAAGGGGGGATGATGGTTTGACCCTGATTCCAAGGCCGTTGTCGTTGGGGAAGTGGGCGGGCAGAGATCAATTTGTTTTCGATTGGGGGCTGACGCTGCAGCAGGTTTCGGAGGGCGGGATTTTGGCAAGTCGTAGAAACCCACTCCGTGATCCATCATGAGGTAAGCTGCGATTATCGCCGGTGCGCACCAAATCGTTCTGTCCAGATCATCCTGCACTCATCTGGACTACCTTATCTTACCTGTGTGGGCGTGATGAGGCACCGGAGATATTTTTGCTTCAGATATTTGCACAGGATGCATTTTGAGGGTCAACCATCTGTTCTCTCAGCTGCATGAAGCTGGTTTATTTTTTTCGGACCCTGATTGCCGAGGTGGTGGTGAATTTGGATCATGTGGGCGGATTGAGGCCATTCCCAAGGGGGGGTTTGTGTGGGAGGACTATCCTTCGGGAGATGTGCCAAGAGGCAAGCAAAAAGGGTGTCTAATTGTTCTGACATCTCAAGAAATTTATCAGAGGCGGTTTCCTCGCGTGGATTACATAGTAAATGTGCTTCTTTACATTGCTTCTCTTGCATTCTCGCGGGCCGTTTTTTACGGCCTCTTTTGGCGTCTGAAAACGAAGGGAACGACGGGCGTTGGCCCTTGGGTCAGTGGGTGGTGGCCCAGAGCAGCCGAAGCGTGGGACGGGGAAGGCGGCTGAATTGCCTCACTGGTAGATGATGTGTTGTGTTGTACTTCACGGTGTAAAAAAGGCTGGAGGGACATAAAGGAACATAACCGTCTGGACTGAAGTGGGGGACTGGGCGGCCGGGGGCAAGGAAGGCACGAAGCAACCCAAGAGGCTCAGACGTGGCCCGGGATTGGCGGGAGCATCTGCGCTAAGCCCGAGTGAGCAGCCCGGTGGTGAGGTACCTGGACCGCGCCTGCACCCCTTTGGCGTGTGGGTGCAGGTGCACCTGTCCTTCGCGACTCACGAGTTTGACGGGAGTGACGAACCTACCCAAAATTGATGAAATCGGGGATCCTCACGGGAGAAGGAGTTGACAGGTCGCGCCTTCCCTGGGATCTGGGTGAGGACGCATAGGCAGGAGGCAGGCACACGATGTACCACCTGGGACGTACTTGCTTGATTCCTTTGGTTTCCATCTCATTGCAATTGCTCTTTCCCAGTTTAGTATTCATAACGCAGATAATGTACGTTGTTCATAGATGATTATTTCCATTTCATTTCATAGTGTCGAGGGACGGCATCGAGTACACATATGCAACGCATCGCATCGCAGCACATCACACTGACGATCTTCGGTTGGATCACGACGGCGGACGACTGGAGACAAGCCCAGAAAGTCTGGAACTGGAACTGGAACTGGAAGGGACGGACGGGGACGGGGTCTTCCACTCGTCTGCATCGGCATCGCCCTCACCCACCCCCATCCAATCCATCACCCAACCTTGGCTCAAGTTATTCACCCCTTCTCTCCAGTCTCGATCGCACACTCATCCATTCTCTTCCAGGTTGCTCTCTCTCTCTCTCTCTCTCTCTCTCTCTCTCTCTCTCTCTCTCTCTCGTGCATCAAAATCAGCCCGCCCACACCCCGATTCGCAAGACGCACTCATAATTCCTTGCCTCCCCTCTTCCCACCTTAACGTTGACGAATACACCACTCATGCGATATTCCTCACCTCAATTTACCATCGTCAATCATCACCACTAGCACGATACGTTCCCCACAACGGCTTCCGAAGGCATCGTTCCCACCATCATCACGACGGCCTCTTCTCACATACGTACACATAACACACCCACGTACAGTTCCAGCTCCAAATCCAGCCCAGCTAGCTTCATTCCAAGACACACCCGGCGATACCGCCCAGCCAAGGGCCCAAGACAGCAGCCAGAGCCAATGCCGCAAAAGTAACACGGACTGTGGACATCCTCCCCAAGACACAAGGCTCAAGCATCTCCAATACTCCACCCGCGCAGACTCAACCCTGCTTTGCCTGCGCGCCCATCCATCCATCCATCCATCGCATCGCAGTCTGCGAAGCCGAACCTGGGCCACCACCACAACCACCACCACCCGTTCTGCTGGCCTGACCACCTCTCGTTTCTCGTTTCCCTCTCGCTCTCTTCTCGTGTCAGAGGGACAGGTCATCCTCCACCCCATCCTCATCCACGTTCCCCCCGACTTTAGCTCCGACTTTCGCACTCCATACCACCAGAACTCTCGATCCGACACACAAATCCATCATCGCCACCCACTCCTCCCACCGATTCTTCGGTTCCTCGGTCGACCCGCTCATTTCAACATTGCCGCCAACACCGCGAATAGCATCACCGTCCACCGCCATCACCATTTCCCACCGAACCCCATACCACGGTACCACCAATTCTTGATTCACACCCCCCTGCACCTCCCCACGACGCCAACTTCCGACTCCACGTCCTTTTTTCGCGATCCGCCTCACTTGCTTCACTCCTGGCGAAACCCCCAACGCGTAACCCAATCACCTCCCCTCGATTGTCCACCACCCATTCTGCTCTGCACATGGGTCCGCGATCCTCGCTGTAGTCATCAATCCCCTCTTCCCCTTCCCCTTCCCTTCCCCTTCCCTCTCCTTTCTTCCCTCCTTCTAACCTAACCCCCTCCCCCCACTGCATCGTCTTGCTACGAGCGCCATCCACGTACAAGCCGAGCAGGGTCCTGCGACAACGACGCCATCGCCGCATCCCGCCACGATGGACCACCCTAAAGACTTCCGCTCGACGGTCCTGCAGGCGCCCTCCCGTCACGACGACCGCGACGACGACCGCGACGACGACCGTGATCGCGACCGCCGCCGCCATCGCGACATCATGAATCCGACGCCCGGCAGCACGCGCCATTCGGGCTTCAGCTTGCGATCGCCTACCCAGTCCGAGTATCATCATCCTCCACACTCGTCCTACTCGTCGCCCAAAGCAGCGTCGTCAACGTCCCATGCGCTCCCTCATCACTCACCGCGATCCCATCAGTCGGGCTTGTCGCATCCGAATACTTACTCCTCTTTATCGGCATCCGGCGGTCCGCTTGCGCCCTCGCTGCCCGCGCTCGGCGGTGCCAGCAGCAGCTCGGGAACTGGACATCATCAAGCTCCGCCGTTGTCGCCGTTGCACCCCCCGAGCGGATACTACCCGCCACCCGAGTCCCATCAGACGCGCGAGAAGCCTGCTACGAGCAGCTATTACGACCCGTTGACTGACACTACAAGAGAAAGGAGGGTGTCTGACGCAGGGTGGAACAATAATGCGGCCAATGGCTCGCCCAAGGTAAGAAATAATTCCGTAATTTTGTCATTTATGATTCAACTGCCATGGTGGCATTGCATTGGTGTATATACGATGCAATGCTGCTTGGTGTATTCTTGTGTTTGCTACTGCTTCTTGTCCCGGTTCTGTAATGTTCTTCCCCATCGTCACCTCCCAAGAAGCTCCTCCATGTCATCATTCCAAGCTCCCCCTGGTCCTCTTCCTCGTGTACCGTAGCCAAACAGCAGTACCTAGCAGCAGCAGCAGCACCAGAGACAGCAACAGGAGCAATCAAGGAGACCTGTTTGGCCATGCTCGATTGCTGTCTGTGCTCTAGATCTTTTTAGTGGCCACACTGGTGCTGGTGCTGGTGTGGTGTTGGAGGTTGTGCTTACGCCCGTCTTTGTACCCTTTGCTCCCATCCCCCATCCGGATTTTCGGAGACGATGGTGTGGAGAGGAGAGGAGAGGAGAGGACGCAGCGGAGCAGGCGTAAGGATACACACGCTGCACAGAGCTCAGACGAGGAAGAGGACGGCGATATGGGGGAGAAACAGAGAGATTGGGAGGAGAGCAACAGAAACAGCAGCAGTGCCGCTGGATAAGAAACACCGCGGAATGCTTGGATCCCCTATTGTTCACGGCTTCAATGACACCGGCGTCCCCCAGTTTTTTCCCTTGCAACTTTGGCACCTTTTTTTTTTTCCTCTCGTCTCTCTCTTCCCTTTCCTTTCCCTTCCCCGTCTCTCTTGTAGTCCGTCGCCTCGCCCGTGTCGTGGCGCTACCTCATTCACGTTCCGTATCCATACACAGTACACCCGTCTATCTATCTCGATCCATCAATTCCCATCCCTTTCTTTTTTTCCTTTTCCTTTTCCTTTTCTATCTTCCTTTCCACCTTGACGCTTTTCTTCCCTTTCCACACCCCCAATACGCGGCAGAGGCAGCACCACCAGCATCTGCACCTGCACCCAGCACCGGCAGCCACTTTCTCTCTCGCCCATCTCCAACTTTACCCGAGGGACAGAGAAAAATCCCAACCAACCCAAACCTCAACCCAAATTTTAATTTCATCGTGGCCACCACCATTCCTTCGCCTTGACTAATTTTTTCCTTCTTTCATCATCAAACAGACCGCACGTGACCCCTACGGCAACTACTCCCAACCCGAGCCGGCATCTCGAGACTCGCACGCGTATTATAAGAACGGCAGCGCAGGATACACGTCGCCCTCAGCAGCCAACTTCCCCCCGAGAAGTCCGCGATCCCATTCACATTCGCACTCCCACTCCCACTCTCATCAACCACCTGCCCGTTCCATCAGCCCATCCATCAGGGCAACGCCGCATATGACGTCTCCCAGTCTGCGGCATGCTGCCTCGCCCAGCATGCATGCATCTTCCAATGGTGGCGCCGCCGCGTCTCTGCCTCCTCTGGGCAAGGCCGAGCCTTCTCCCTTGAAAGCTCCTGCGAGTGTCAGTATCACTGCAATTGATTACCCTGATAGAGTGGGAACTAACTTTCCGCCACAGACTCCCAGCCGCGCCGACCCCATGTCGTTCTCCAACATTCTCTCGAGTGCCGAGCCCGTCTCGAAACCAAAGTCAAAATCACCGCCACCCGTCGAGGAAAAGGAAAAGGAGAAGGAAAGGGAAAAGGAGAAGGAGAAGGAGAAAGAGAAGACTGTCGAGCCCAAGCCCGACCGTGAGAAGCCCCGCTCCGTCGACCCTCCCGTCAAGACCGAGCGCAGCGAGCGCGAAGCCGAGATCGAGCTCCGACCGGAGCCTGCCAAGGAGAGATCCAGCACTCCCCTGGCCCGTAAGGAGAGAAAGGAGCGAGTACCTAGAAAGCCAAAGTCGAGAGCTTCCGATATCAGAGATGCCGAATCCACTCCTAAGAGCAGCCGCCGTGCTTCGTCCAAACTCGAGACACCGACGCCTCGCATCCCCTCCAAGCGTCAGGCCAATGGCCAGCCGAAGCAAAAAACCCTCCCTGCTGATAAGGAAAAGAAGGTTACGGATTTACTTGCTAAGCTCGATGCCGATGCCGACGACCTTACCGACTCTGAATTTTCTGCGGATCGTGCCGAGTACCAAGAAAGCGGCAACAAGCGACGTCGCCTCTTGCAAGATAAGGACAGCAATCGCAACGTCGAGCGACGCGACGAGTTTTCAAGAGAGATGGGCCGCCGGCTCGGCACTCACGCCCACCTCGGCAAACGCCGTTACGATGACATCTACTACGAGGAGGCCATGAATGAGGTCAGAGAACGTGAGCTCTTTGCCGAGAAGGAACGCAAGAAGGACATGCAGCGCAAACGTCGTCGTGAAAAGTCCATGGCTGTCACCATGGAGCAGCAGAAGCTGGCCCTGGAGCGCGCACGATTGGCCGAAGACGAGACCGAAAAGGCGAAGCACCTGCGGGATGCCGAGCGTGCTAACAAAAAGGCTCTGCAAACGAAGCTGATTCTCCAAAAGGGTATCAAGGGCCCCGCTCGCAACCTTGTCGAACTCAATCTCGACGGAGGCACCATGGCCACCTTCCAAGCATCCGACATGGAGCCCGGCACGAAGCCCAAGGGCAAGGGTCGCAGCGGTCCTCGACCAAAGAAGTCGAAGGAGCAGAAGCAGGCCGAGAAGGACGCTGCAGAGGCTGCGCAGGCCGCCATCGACGCCGGCGAGGAGCTCCCGATCAAGGAAGAGGGCAAGATCCGCATCAAGTTCAACAAGAAGGCCAAGGATAAGGATAAAGAGAAGAACAAGGACAAGGATGTGGACCAGGACGAGCCCGACGTCGAGGTCGAAGGCGACGGCGACGTCGACATTGACGAAGACACCATTGTCGAGCCTGTCAAGGAGAAGAAGGAGCGCAAGAGCAAGAAGGAGAAGAAGGAAAAGAAGGAAGAGAAGCCCGAGGAGCCTCCTAACAAGGACGCCAAGTTCGAGACCAAGGGCTTCCTCCAGATTTACGACCAAATTTGGCGCGACCTCGCCCGCAAAGATGTCTCCAAGACCTACAAGATGGCGGCCGAGTCGTACCAGACCAAGGCGTCCAACCTTAAGAAGACAGCCATTCTCGCGTCCAAGGAGGCCAAGAGGTGGCAGCTGCGGACGAACAAGGGCACCAAGGATCAGCAGGCCCGTGCCAAGCGTGTCATGCGTGACATGATGGGCTTCTGGAAGCGCAACGAGCGCGAGGAGCGCGATCTCAGAAAGGCTGCTGAGAAGCAGGAGATTGAGAACGCTCGCAAGGAAGAAGCCGAGCGCGAAGCTGCCCGCCAGAAGAGAAAGCTCAACTTCCTCATCTCGCAGACTGAGCTGTACTCCCATTTCATCGGCAAGAAGATCAAGACGGACGAGGTCGAACGCAGTACCGATAACCCCGAGATTGCCGCTGAGAACAAGGGCGAATCTGCGCATAACAAGCATCTCGACATCGCCGAACCGACAGGACCTTTGGGTGCCAAGGTTACCGACTTTGAAAACCTCACCTTTGAGGAGGAAGACGAGGAAAATCTCCGCGCAGCAGCTGTGGCCAATGCTCAGAACGCCATCGCCGAGGCGCAGAGAAAGGCGAGAGCTTTCAACGAGCCCGAGGGTCCCGATATGGACGACGAGGGCGAGATGAACTTCCAGAACCCTGCCGGCATGAGCGATGTCGCCATCGAGCAGCCCAAGCTCATCAACGCGCAGCTCAAGGAGTACCAGCTCAAGGGTCTCAACTGGCTCGCCAACCTGTATGAGCAAGGTATCAACGGCATTCTCGCCGACGAGATGGGTCTCGGAAAGACGGTTCAGTCTATCTCCGTCATGGCCTACCTCGCGGAGAAATACGATATCTGGGGTCCGTTCCTTGTCGTCGCGCCTGCGTCTACCCTTCACAACTGGGAACAGGAAATCCGAAAGTTCGTCCCCGAGTTCAAGATTCTGCCGTACTGGGGCTCTGCCGGTGACCGAAAGGTGCTGCGAAAGTTCTGGGACCGCAAGCACACCACCTACAAGAAGGATGCGTCGTTCCATGTCTGTATCACGTCGTACCAGCTTGTCGTCTCTGATGTGGCCTACTTCCAGAAGATGAAGTGGCAGTACATGATTCTCGACGAGGCGCAGGCCATCAAGAGCTCTCAGAGTTCGAGATGGAAGAGCTTGCTCAACTTCCATTGCCGTAACCGTCTCTTGCTTACTGGTACTCCCATCCAGAACAACATGCAGGAACTGTGGGCCTTGCTCCATTTCATCATGCCCTCACTTTTCGATTCTCACGATGAGTTCAGCGAGTGGTTCTCCAAGGATATCGAGTCGCACGCACAGAGTAACACGAAGCTCAACGAGGATCAGCTCAAGCGTCTGCACATGATTCTAAAGCCATTCATGTTGCGTCGTATCAAGAAGCATGTCCAGAAGGAGCTTGGAGACAAGATCGAGGAGGACGTCTACTGCGACCTCACCTACAGACAACGCGCCATCTACAGCAACCTCCGGAACCAGATCAGCATCATGGATCTCATCGAGAAGGCTACAACGGGTGACAATGACGACTCAGGAACCCTCATGAACCTCGTCATGCAATTCCGAAAGGTTTGCAACCATCCCGACTTGTTTGAGAGAGCCGACACGACGTCTCCGTTTTCGTTCGGCTATTTCGCGGAGACGGCTTCCTTCGTCAGAGAGGGCAACAACGTGGCAGTTGGCTACTCTACTCGCAACTTGATCGAGTACGAGTTGCCTCGTCTCCTCTGGAGACAGGATGGCAGGCTGTACAAGGCCGATCGCGGCAACTTGAAGGCTGGTTGGCGTAACAAGACTCTGCAGCACATGATGAACGTCTTCAGCCCAGAGCACATCCGCGACAGTCTGGAGGGATCCGACGCCTTCTCCTTCCTGCGCTTCGCTGATACCAGCCCGGCTGAAGTCTACCAGGCTAGCCACCAGGACGTCTTTACTCGCGCCGTTGAGCTGTCGCAGAAGAAGGATCGCTTGCCAGTCATGAAGATCGCTTACGACGATCCCGAGGACTCCAACTTCACACCCGCTCATGCCATGTTCAAAATCGCTGTCCGCAACAACAGACAGCCTTTGGCTGACATCACTCAAGAGGGCATCATGGCTAAACTCATGAACGTGGCCCGAGAGGAGTATGTCGACAGCGGCCTGGGACGCTTGGAACAGGCCGGTCGCCCGCGCGCCTCGGCGCCACCCATTGAGGTGAGCTGCTGCAGCCGTGGAACTGCTCTGGAGACGGAAGGCATCCTATTCAACAGGTCCATGCGCAAGAGCCTGTTTGGCCCGACGGTTCAAGAAGAACGTGCAATGGTTACTGAGAAGCTGCCCTTTGACCGGTTCCCGCCGCGAAAGCTGCTGCCTGCGCCGGACAACGAGAAGAAGAAGTTCAACAACATTGCGACTCCGTCAATGCGCCGTTTTGTTACTGACAGCGGCAAACTGGCCACTCTCGACAAGTTGTTGACTAGACTCAAGGCCGAGGGCCATCGTGTGCTGCTCTACTTCCAGATGACTCGCATGATCGACCTGATGGAGGAGTATCTGACGTACCGCAACTACAAGTACTGCCGACTCGATGGTTCGACCAAGCTCGAGGACAGAAGAGATACTGTCGCCGACTTCCAGACTCGTCCCGAGATCTTCATCTTCCTTCTGTCGACCCGTGCCGGTGGTCTCGGTATCAACCTTACTTCTGCCGACACCGTCATCTTCTACGACTCGGATTGGAACCCTACGATTGATTCGCAGGCCATGGATCGAGCTCACAGACTGGGTCAGACCCGGCAGGTTACCGTGTATCGCCTCATTACTAAGGGCACGATTGAGGAGCGTATCCGGAAGCGTGCCATGCAGAAGGAAGAGGTGCAGCGTGTCGTTATCCAGGGAGGTGGTGCCAGTGTTGACTTCTCTGGCCGCCGTGCTCCTGAGAACCGCAACCGCGATATTGCCATGTGGCTTGCCGATGACGAGCAGGCTGAGATGATTGAGCAGCGTGAGAAGCAAATGCTCGAGGCCGGCGATTTCGACAAGCCTGAAAAGAAGAAGAAGACGACGAAGCGCAAGCGGGTGGTTAACGAGGATGTCAGCCTCGACGAGATGTACCACGAGGGCAAGTTGTTCGCTACCCATCCTGAGCACAAAGATACTAACAGATTCACAGGCGAGGGTAACTTTGACGACAACCGCAACGGAGCCAACGGAACCTCGGGTACCGCCACGCCTGTAGCTGCCGAGCCCGAAGCGAAGGGAGCCAAGAAGCAACGCAGAGGCGGCGGCAAGAAGGCCAAGACCTTAAAACAGAGACTCGCCCTTGCCGACGGACAAGTCTAGTCCCGTCGTCGACCGGCCGTCTGATTCGCATACAAGACGACGATAGATAACGAGAGGTCACTCGTAGCGCACAGATGCGCGGAAAACGGAGGTATCGATTGTAGCAATATGGTTTATGGTGGGAACACGCTGGGCGCGCGTGAGATATGCCTGGCGTCGGAGTGGACACGCGATTTGCATCAAGACGACGGTCGCGGCTATTATTATGGATGGATGCCGCGACTCGTTTGTTAGACTTTACAAAAAAGCTTCAGTATGTTTGTATTCTTTCTATTTCTCGCGAGGTTGGGATGGGTTTGTGGGTTCTGGTGGTTCGACTCTAGACAATCTTGTTCTCGCGTGGGGGGTTCTTCATAACGGCAATCCCCGAGACACAAGGTGGATGGCGGCATTCAGATTGAGTTGTACGAGGCCTCGGGTCGTTCGAACCCGATGAAGCGTGTATTAGTACTACCTTTAGACGAATGAAGTCGCTTCCGAGATGAAAGTCGTATGACTTTGTTGATTGTGATGGCGAAGGTGAAGGTGATGGGCTGCCCGGGACCTTGCCGATGTCTCATGGGTCAACAGTGACAGATAATACCGGATAAGTACATATGATTCAATGCCGTGATAAAGGAGCAAATGAAACATGTTGCGGCAGGATGTTTGCAGATTTCTCGTGAAGAGATCCGCGATCGTGTGAGACAAGGCAAGATAAGCGGCCGTTTCGGCACCCCAGTGGAGGGCTCCTGAGATTGAGACATTTGACGACGCCGTTGACTTGTGCGAGTCTGTTGCGGACGACCGCATGCGGGTATTAGGATGATTTCATCATTTCGTTCAGGGGGTTGTCGAGATTGCTTGAGACTTAGAATAAGATGGGACATGAGTGCTGTGTTTGTCAAATCTCATAGATCTGCGTCTACCATTTCTCCTGAGTCCTAATGTGTGCACGAAGTTGATGCTCACATGCCCGCCCATATATCGACACCGTCAATCCTCCACATGTAGTCGAACCCGGCCCTGAGTAGACCGCATACGCCCGCCACGAAACAAATACTCCACCTACCTACTGCCACGATGCCGTCCGCTCCCTTTCCAGACCACGGTGACGCGCCCCTGGAACCGATTATATCGATGCTAGCGACGTACCTTGACCTCGCATCGCCCCCTTCCTCTTCTCTCCCCTTTTCGGCCAACGATGACGACAACAAGGGCGAATCCAACAACAGCAGCGCCTTATCGCAAGCCGTCGCTGCGGCATACACCAAAATCCCCACCTTCATGTCCCGCTTCTCCATCCACGACGCGCCCTCGTTCCTCCGCTTCGCCAACGATTTGTTAACGTGGGTTCCGAGCGAGGGGTGTGAAGGGCGGGATATCTACGATGTGCTTTGTATGTTTTACTTTGTGCTGGGACAAAAGCCTCTGGGTTCGCTACAGGCGAGGATCGTCCCGGGAGGGACTGGTGATGGAAAGGGATGTGGGAGGAAGACACATGCGAGTTGGTTGTCGGATTGGATTGTCGTCTACGCGCAGATGATTGGATCGTGGATGGATTCGAGCGAATCTTTGACGGAGGAGAGTTTGGAGACGTTTTGGAGGTGTGGGCGGCATAATCTCCACGAGGCTGAGGTTCCTGAGGGGGGGTTTCGGAGCTTTAATGAGTTTTTTGGGAGGAGGTTGAAGGTTGGGGTTAGGAGTGTTGAAGGGGTTGGGGAGGATGGGGTTATTGTTTATCCTGCTGATTGTAAGCTTGCTGGGGCGGAGGAAGGTGAAGGTGAGGGTGGTGAGGGAGGAGCAGGTGGTGGTGGTGGTGGGATTGTGGAGGTTGAGAGGGGGGGTGTTGTGAGGATTAAGGGGCTGCCTTGGACTATTGGGGAGTTGTTGGGTGGTGAGGGTGAAGGAAGAGTAGGCGGAGGGTACGAAGGGTTTGAGGGGGGGATATGGATGCATGCGTTCTTGAATACGTATAACTATCATCACGTACATGCCCCTGTGTCGGGGAGGGTTGTTGAAGCGAGGAAAGTTAGAGGGCTGGCTTGTTTCGAGGTTGTCGTTGAAGAGGGGGAGAAGGGGGCAACTTGCCGCCGAGTCGAAGATACCTCAGAACGAAAGGGAGAAAGGGTATTGACGGCGCCCAACACGCCAGGTTACCAATTCCTCCAAACCAGAGGCGTTGTCATCATCGAGAACACCCTCCTGGGGAAGGTCGCGGTCTTGCCTATCGGTATGGCCATGGTTTCTTCCGTCAGGTTGAGTGTAAAGGTTGGCGATGTGGTGGAGAAGGGGGATGAGATTGCGGGCTTTGCGTTTGGGGGGAGTGATGTGATTTGTGTTTTTGAGAGGAGGGCTGGGTTGAGGGCTGAGGATTTTGTGAGGAGTCCACCGGGGGAGGGGGAGTGGTCGAGGTATGGGAGTGTTTTGGCGAAGGTTCATTGAGCTACTCAATCAAGTAAGAGGAGAGGTTATGTATCATCGACGGAGCATAGAGAAACCAGTTATCTTGTTCTCATCCACGCCACGGATCGAGGAGACTGTATGGTTTGAGAATGGGCATGACCAAGAGTTCCGCCATCGGAACATTCATCTCGCGGCTTCTTGCCATGAATTTCTTTTGGTCATCCATGTCTTCATGGCTGGAGGCATCATCATAAGACTCATTGTGGCCACTTATAGAAGTTTGTGCACATGCCCCCGTCACCTAGCATTTGTTATGATCAATGGCAGCAAATTAATGGGTGTTGAATATGATGACGGCAAAGTAAAAGCCCAAAAGATACTTGCATGAATGAACTACTTGTGGAGGGGTTCTATCGTTTAACTTAGCATCGGAGGCTTAGGCAGACAAAAACAACTACAATGATCAGGGGAGCTGATATGGCCCACTCTGGTATGTCGAATACCGTCGGCACGAATGGGAATATCGTGAGGAAGCCCCAGATCAGAAGCGTCCAAAGTAAAGATGAATAAAGTAGCAAACGAAGCTTTGAAATTCGCCGTTCGTCAATATAGATGCCAACTGCCACAACGATAAAGCAATTGCATAGGCTGAACCCCGATACTGGGAACATATGCCGCAATATCTCAAACGGAAAAAGGCCAGGCCTATTCCCCAAAAGATACAGGAACATGGACACTGCTGGGCCAAAGCACTGTATGCAAATTAGCCAAATAAGTAGCGTGAACCAACGCGACCTTGTGACGTAGACATGCTGTGAAGCCCTCACATCTATTTGGCCTGATCTCATTAAGACATTCTGATTAAAACAATGAATAATCGCTCCATCAGTTTCAAGCGGTGTGAGTGATGGCTGATCCTGGGGCAGTGTGGCTACTGTTTCGACGACTTCGTGACTCGCTGGAATCTGTTCAAATTCTTCCAGACTTATCGCTTCAAATCAGTTTTTGTTGTATCTAAGAGTTCGTCCTTCCCCAGACCATTGATGCCGGAGTTCCGCTTCAACTTCGCGAAGAACTTCGGAAATTAAATCTGGTTGATCGGAACTAGTTCTCTGATGTGACGTAACAATCCCTGGTCTAGTATCAGTTTGGCTTGCTCTTACTTCTCATCCTCATATTCGGATTCTGGCTTCGTACCGCTTTGACGGATGATCAACGATGGAAGCAGCTGTTGGATGCATTCCACAGCCTCTTCGCGTCTAGGGAGCTGCTTTCTCATCGTGACAGTTGGTAGGAATGACATGAAAACCGCTACAACCGGACCCAGTAAAAGGAAGACCGGCAAGACTTAACCGAAGCTCCAAGTGTTTTCTGAGTCTCCGACCTCACCATCTGTTCGGGCTAACCAAAGTCGCAACGTGGCCCATAAGGCAGACATGACAAGCAAAAAGACCTAAGTTGCAGAAATATGTTAGGGTTCGGCTGTTTATTGGCCGAGTACAGTGACGAAGGAGAAAGTGACTCACATCAGCCAGTTCAGATACAGCGGCTTCCATGTAGATCTTAGCGACCAAATAACCTGTAATCATCAAGTCCAAAGGCCGAAGGACGGATAGTAGTTTCCCGATCAATGAAATTTTTTCGAAACGTCGACAACTCATTGCTGTGGCCATGATACCAGAAGTCGCCCAAAGGCCAATTTTCTCTCTTAAGGACTCTCTTGTGATCCTTGAGACAGTGCGGGAAAGTTTGGCCATGCGACCGAGTAAGCTCGCAATTAATATAACGATCGAAAAGATGAACAGCTGATGATTCGTAGTCGAAGTGACTGTCCCTTTGGGCCGTGATCCGTAGCTGAAGTCCCTGAAGTCGCTGAGGTTGAAGTCAGGTGTGAGGGGCCCGTCCGTATTACCTGAAGGCTCGACAGTTTGGTCCATGTGGGCCCAGAATTCATATGCCATTTCTTGTGTAAAAAAGCAGCGGGCATTGGAAGAAGGGAAGATCGAATTCGAGAAGCTGTTTCCATCATCTGACCATGTAAAAAATAACCCGTCGGCACCATTGCAACTATCAATCCCACCCATAGGATGGCCATGAAGGCTAGTCTATAGTTGCGCTGTGTACGATTTCGATAAAAATAGCCTCGAAGAGCTGACAAACAAGCGGCGTGTGTAATACTCGAAAACCAAGCGAGATAGCAAACGATCTGCCAGTGATATACTGACACATAGCATGTCAGGCTCACAAAACTGCTAAAGAGTATGCCAAGGCCGGTGAGAAGTTTTACATCGCACAAAGTTAGAAGAATCTATTTAAGCATAGCCAGTTCTTGGGTGAAGCCACAATTATGGGGGGTTGGCGTGGTTGAACCAGCCCGGGGGCTTTCGATGAGGGCACTGGGTAAAATCATGTCTATCATGAGGCGATCATACCTTGGTCATGGCCAAGTTGCAGCCAGCGCGGCGACCAAATAATCGACGACAGCATGAAAACGTATTAGTAACCATTATGTTGGGCTTCCAGATATGCTTTCGACTGTGCCTGCGGTGTTGATGTTGATTATCGAAGGGATCAACGCTTGGGTCGAAGATCAAGCAGTAGCGTATGCATATCAGCAACACTGCCAGCCAAGCTGTCCCAAGAAACCCGATCATTACCTATATCACATGGAAACAATCAGTTAGCTGTGACGCTTTGAAACTCCAGTGAACTGATCGAGCCATCTTGTTTCCACCATGAGTTACCTTACCCCAATTCCGTCGACATCTGGATTGGGCTGCAGCTCGTCAGGGAAATGCCAACAGCTCTGATAGCAAACCGCCTCTGTGGCCTCATCCTTTTGGTAAATATGATTAGCCAGGGTAGTATCCATCGGGTTGAATGTCTGGTGTTGATGCTGAGAACAAGAAACTGAAGTGAACAGGTAGGAACTAAAGCCACCTGCTGCGGATTAGATGTCGTCTCACTGGCCAGGAGAGAAAGAATCAGGCAGAAGTCCAAGTCATATTAAGAGGAAATCTTGAGACGTACCTGTTCTTCTCACTGATGTGTGATCCAGGACCCTTAAGAGCCTGCAGGGCAACAGTCGCAATGTGACACAAATTATACCCAGAAGACATGGATGGGAGGCGAATGTTGTTTGATTGGAGAATTCCGTGGCTCTGTACGCCAGTTTCAGTGCACAGGACTTATGTTAGACGTGCTAGGAAACGTTGTGACCAATGTGACCTAAGCTGTGTTTCCTGAGGTGAGTCGTGACTGTTACTTAGGCTATCTTTTTGGCGGTTCCACGCCGTAGTGACCGGTCTGACAGAGAAGTTTTGCATCAACCGTCTTAGAGCGATCATACATGTACGAGTTGAATATTAAGTTGTATTCCGCGAATGGTATCTAAGAATCGAACGATGACAAGCTGGAATCCCAAGTGGGAATCTCACGGCACAAATTCCACCCAAGTCGCAAGGTCATCACTCGCAACTTCAATCCTGACCTTTTTCAGTCATGGTAACTTCAATCCGGGAGCACCGCTCCTGAACTTCCCATCATCAAGCATTTAGCACTTGGCGCCGGAGCTGGAGGGAATACCAGAGCACTCTGAAGAGGACTTGCCACCGGTAACGGATACACCAGACCACTTCCAGTTGGAGCAGGCACCCTTGGCGCAAAGGATGTACACGTTGGTGCCCTTGGCGGCGACGGTACCCTTGACGTTCTTGACGGTGACATTGGTGATGGGGATACCGGCGGTGGGCTTGCCGGTAGGGCTGCCGTTCTCGTAATCCTGCTGGATGACAATGCCCTTCTTGTTGATGTTCTTGAGGGTGATGTTCTCGAAGGTGATACCGTTGACCTTACCGGTCTTGTTGGCAATGGTCTTGATGCGGATACCGTTGTCGGCCTTCTCGATGGTCGAGTCACGGATAATGATGTTCTGGACGGTGTTGTCGGTACGTCCACCAACGGAGCCGATGGAGAGACCGTGGGAGCCGTAGCAGTATCCGTTCTCGAAAGTGATGCCAGTACCGGAGTTGATGGCCAGGCAGTCGTCCTGGTTGTAGACCTTGGCGCCGGAGATGGTCACGTCAGAGGACTGACCGACATCGAAGGCATCGGTGTTGTGGCCTCCCTTGGAGTCACCCTCCTTGTTGTCGAAAAGGATGTTGGAGCTAGAGAACAGTTGAGTCAGCGTGGGTTCCATGAAGCCGGCATTGAGTTGTAACTTACACCTTGAGGCCGGAGACGCTGTTGATGGAGAATCCGTGGGCCGGGGTGTTCTTGACGTTCAGGCCAGAGATGGATCCGTCGTTGATCTTGACCTTGAAGAACTTGGGCTTCTTCTTGCCACCGTTGCCTCCCTTGCCGTCCCACCAGCGCTCACCCTCGCAGGAGATGGAGTTGCCGGAAGCACCGACAACGCTGACCTTCTTACCGCCGATGGCGATGAGGGGGCCCTCCCACTCCTTGTAGCCGAAGGTGGTGGTGCCCTTGAAGGTAACTTTGGTTCCGTCCTTGAGGCCAGTGAGGTCGAGGGTCTCGCCGGCGGGGACCTTGATGCCGTTGAGGACGATGTCGGTGCAGGAGGTCTTCTTGGACATGGCCGTCTTGGCGTCGGTGAAGGTGCACGAGGCACGGGTGTCGAGCTCGGCGGGGGCGGCGGCAGCCAGGGCGCTAAGGCCCGCGACAACGGAGAGGAACTTCATCGTTTCTTGATTTATTTTGGTATGTGATCAACACGTGGGATACTTCGAGTATGTACAGGAATGTCGAATGAGAGACTAGAGTCGGTGAAGAAAAAGAATGTGGTTGAAAAGAGTGTGAATGAAGAAGCTCGATGGGGTATCGAGAATAGAAGCAAAAGATGTGGGCAGAAAAGACGATACTTATACGATGTTGTCGAACATGTAAGTCTGTAGACCTCCTCTTCCCCTTTCATTTAGAATCTGCTCGGTGGAAGCTCGTTGGATTTCCGCAACTGGATACGGTGCGGCTCCCACGCCGGATAGTCGGCATCACCATTGTCTATCTCCCCGGTCTCTGGAAGGAGCTAAGAGGAGCCCACGATTTCAAAACCACCTTTAATCTGACCTTGCAGCGCCGGAGTGTTGCCCCAAAGGACCGAAAAGAGGAGGCGACTCTCCACACTGGCTTAAATCATCCAAGCTTCAAATCATGTAAGCCCGCGGCGCGAAGTTAGCACGTGGGGAGCAGAATATTAGGAGAACTGGTCGCCCACTATCCGATGACCCAAGTAAGACGATGGGATCATACCTGGCCATTGTGGACTTGGGACGAACAGGGCTGAGGGGAACCTACACCCAAAGTCGGTGTAAGTCGCCTTACCAGCGAAATACCGAGACATGATCAGAGATCACCTTCCAAGACTTCCAGACCGTCTGATCGAGTCGATTTCACCACCTTCGACGCGTGGCGGCAATGAAGAAACTGCCTCTTCAGGTAGTATTTCAATCTCAGTGGCATCTTGGCTTCCTCTTGGCATAGGCTTGATTTGCCGATCGATCCGATCATGGACTTCTTGGGATCCAGAAAGCCCCAGAAAATCACGGTCTTTTACCCACCAACAGTTGCGGCTGACCCAGTATTTCCCTGTGTGAATTTGTTTGAAAGGGGAAGTTTCCACAGAAAGGAAATGCCAAGAAGGGAGGTGAGGTAAGGATTCTGCAGGTGTGTGATAAGGCGATGTGCATCTGCCAACTTACTCCAACATGGCATGTTTCTTTCCAGCCAACAACATTGATCATTGTGAGTAAGTACGAAAACCTGTCGAGAGTTGATTCCTGTCTTTCGTGAGGCTCATCCCGCCGTCGTCTCGTTAAGATTTTGATGACGAACGAGACCGGAGAGCCCGGGCTTTACCTAAAGTGGTGTAATTAACCTTAAAGCCCTAATTGCAATCCAAGCATCCGAGGACCGACGAGCCGCCTGCCTTGTGGGGACAGAGCCTCTCCTTTCGGCGGATACGGATTTCCGCGTAAACTTGCCCTGTCAGCCGACGGGAAGCTGTAAGGGGCGAGCAGGCCTCCTATTCTCGGCCCCGAATCAGGATCACTTCGAGACGGACATGTTTGTTGGGTGACAAGTTTAGACGGATGAACTTGGGTGAACTTCGGGCTTGATCCGACGGTGGACATTTCCGTCATCTACGTGGACCAGGGGTACGGCAGACTGCAAGAGGCACTCCGCAAAAGCAGAAATCGAATTTTTTAGTCACCCTACTACCGATTATTAAACTTTATATTAATAAAATGAATTATAAATTTGGTTTATACAAAAATACGGCTTAAAATATATTATTAATTAAGTTTATAAGACCCTATAATTATAGCAGTATATAAAATTATATATTATTATAAATTATTGACGTGGTTTATTAGTTCGCCGGCCGGACCAGTCAGCCGGACGTTTTTTTCTAAACACACTTATGTCTAAACCACTTAAACCTTTGACGCGTAAAATCTTAATAACTATAATGCCAATCTATACCTAAGAAAACAGAGTCATTCTTGCGACTAAAACGATCCGATCGATATATACTAGAGGTAGTAACTTAGATATTTTATATACCATAAAGACCTACGGTATCTCAAAGAGCACCTTAGCTGATAGAATAAATAACCGACCGTAACGTAAACAAACTCAACCCTAATAATATAAGCCCGATCCAATTAAAGAGAAAATACTTCTTTAATACGTTATTAAATAGGATTTTAAAAGATTTCTTTTATACATTAGCGGTATAAAAGATATGTTACGAGCAGACAAGGCAATCAACTATGGCACAAAGCAAAAGCTTTGATAATGATGACTCCGGCATCATTGTCCCTTGTTCTGCATTATATAGCTACGCGCCCACAGTGACAAGTTGCAGCGGGCGTAACAAGATATATCTAATTTCCTATTATAAGTATATAATACCGAGCCTATTAGCAAGCAATAGGCTAGGCGGTTTATAGACTTATAGCCTATTTTAAAAACTAAGTTTAATTGTCTATACAATTATTAAAGAGCTCTTTAAAAAGACCCAGAGGTTATTTTAAAGTGGTTTATATTATTATGTAATATAATACCAGGTATAAAATCCAAGAGGAGGACCTATATAATTTCGACGAGACTAGCTGTCACGGGCTGGAGCCCGGTTGAGATCTCCGGCCTTGCCAGAGCCGCATGCACACCCCTCTGCTGGGAAGCTGTCCGACCGCGACCTGTAATAACCGATTATTACATTAGATTATTATATTTGGTTATGCTATAGGCCGGAGCCGGTCGAGATGTCCGGCTTTGCCGGATCCACTATTCTACCGCAGTATACCGACGATTCCGGGCATATTATATTATAGCTATACGCGAACCCCTGTGATTCCTCGTTTTCCTCCTCAGCTTAGAATAGTTAATCGACGGCACCTCTACGTTGAATAAGCCTAGGGGCCAGCCCCTTACACAATATATTCTAAACATTACTAAGATTCAAGGTATTATCTCTAAAGAGCCTCTTAAGTACTATCGTCTTTTTCATAGTATATTCGAAGGCTAGAAGCTCTACTTCTATTGTAAATATAATAATAATACTTTAGCATATCGCCTTCTACTAAACGGCTCCGCCGAAGAGGAAGAAGATATATCTCTATTAAGATTAATAAGTTAAGTCGTTAGCGAACGAAGCACTATTTACTACAAAGAGGATATAAGTACCGTCTTCCGTTCCGTAGTAAATCAATAAGTATTTAGTATAATAAAGATATCTAACTATTTATTTAATAGCGCGGATATAAGCTTTACTTAGATTAATAAAAAATCTTAATAATAAAGATGCCGCGAAGGCGACCTCAGGTCGGATTATTATTAACGCATATAAGATTAATCTAATAATCTCTTAATAGAGCTTTACTTCGGCCTTAGTCGCTGTTTCTTCGTTTGGTATAAAATCAACCATCAAAAGAGGGGTAGCCGGTACGAAAATATCGTTAAGACTAAATCTTACTATTATCATTTTAATATACTAGTTATAATAGAGGTAAATATACCTAGCAGCACGATCTTTTATAATATAAATACTGAAATACGACTTAGCTTCGCCTATATCTTTTATCTTATAAGCTTTCTTTAGGCCGTCTATTATTATATTCCCGATATGTTCGTTTTTCTTATAGTATGTTACAAATATATTGTCTATATAGAACATGACAAATACCTTTACTTAGAATATTTACTAAAATTCTAAAACTTATATCTAATTAGTACCTTAAAACTAGTACTCTATAATATAAGAAATATATATTAACATTTTAATAAATATAAGGGTTACAGATGTTTCTTAAATATATCTAGACTCAGTGATTTTCCACGATTTTAATAATATATTTATAATTATAAATACAAGTATTATAGGAGTTACGTGCTTAAGAAGTCAAATGGTAATGAAAGGCTTAACTAAAGTACGTATCTACTGAGATACAACGCTTTGTACGCACGTACAGCCCGTATTTAAATACGCTTTACATATACATATTAAAGCGCCGACAGGCACATATGCCCGTATAAACTTAATAATAAATGCTCGGACTTAAGCACCACATGTGATTACATGTGATTACATGTGATTACATGTGATTACATGTGATTACATGTGATTACATATGATTACATGTGATATTTGTATTATATATAGACTACACTTTCCCACCATATCATAGAATAATCATCAATACAATCGATTCTCTGATTATCCCAACTCGTACCTCAACTTATTTACCTTTTCCCTTTTTGCCTACCTCTAACCTCTTAGTGAAAGTAACCTAAGTTTTACCTCCTAGGCCTTATAAATTGATAAGAGTACGAAGAGCTTCATAGATATATTAATAAAAAGCTTATAAAGGGGCATATTAGACCCTTATTATTACCCGCTAGAGTACTACTTCTTTTTATCCTAAAGAAAGGGAAGAAGAAATTAAGACCTATAATCGACTATAAAGGACTTAACATAATTACTAAGAAGAATTATTACCCCTTACTGTCACAGACCCGCTGTCCTAGCCCCCAACCTTGAGGTTGGTGTTGAGTAATCCGGTGGCCGGGTTACGTAAGCCTGAGGCTGGATAAAACCCTGCATCCTGTATTCTGTCGCGCATGTCCAGAAACGTAGCTCCTTGAGCTACGTCTTGTCAACAGAGCCTGTACCTGCTTAGGATAGAGCCTGCCCGTAGCAATAGATTGTCTGATCCGCCTGCCCAGCATCCACCTGCCAAACAACCTGCCTGCTACCGTGACACTTACCCCTTATTATAGAACTTAGAGATCTATTATACGAAGCTTAATAGTTCACTAAGATAGATCTAAAGGAAGTATTTAACTAGATTCGAATTAAGAAACAAGACGAATAGAAAATAGTATTCCGAACCCATAGAGAACTCTTTAAGTACCTCGTTATGCTCTTTAAACTTACTAACGTACCCGCTATATTCTAGATAATAGCAAACTATGTTCTTAGAGAATATATAGATATCTTTAGCGTTATTTATATTAATGACGTCCTTATCTTCTCTCTCAATATAAAGATATATAAGGAATACGTCTATAAGGTATTTTAGAAACTCCAAGATATAAAACTCTTTATTAAACCCGATAAATACGAATTCTATACGTAAAGAGTCGACTTCTTTAAACATATAATCATATCTAAAGAAATCTATATATAGAAATTAAAAGTCGAAGTAGTTAAGGACTAGCCTATACTTTAGAACGTTAAGAACGTTTAAGAATATAGTAGTTTTAGAACTAATTATTATAATCCTAGACCCAAGTTCACTATTCGAAGTCGAGACCGATGCCTTAGACTTCGCTATAGAAGCGGTCTTGGGATAATAAGACGAATAAAGAAAACTTCATCCTTATATATTCTACTCTAAAGCATTCTACAAAGTAGAACTGAATTAGTAAATCTACGATAAGGAATTAATAGCTATAATTAAAGTATTTAGAGAATAGAAATTATAGTTATTAAGAACTAAGTATAAAGTTATAGTCTATATAAATTATTTTGTCCTAGAGCCCAGCTCGAGTCCATTCTTATATACAAGTCCGATCCTAACTGAACAGTGCTGAACAGTCCCCTTTGTCTGGATATGCTAGATTGTTACGCCCGCCGCAACTTGTCACTGTGGGCGCGTAGCTATATATGCAGAACAAGGGACAATGATGACCGGAGTCATCATTATCGAAGCTTTTGCTTTGTGCCACAGTTGGTTGCCTTGTCCAGCTCGTAACATAGATATGTCCCATATCCAACATATCCTTATCCCTTATCATATCTCTTATCATCACGTGACTTGTACTATAGTTCTTCCGTTCCTGGGGTTTCCCCAATGTTCCGTCCCGTCCTGCGTATATGATGCGCCGTAGCCGCCAGGCGTCAGCGGGGCACGCCCTGGTCTCATGTTGGGTCGTAACATATAAGTGGAGTTAAGGCCTTCTTTTGAGTCTTTAGCGTCCTTTATTTCTTTATATAGGGTCTTAGTAGGTATAGGAGCCTTACCCTTAGAGTCGTTAAAAGAGGTGGACGAGGTAGCTTTAAAAGATATCGTTGTTCTTATTATTAATAGTTAGTTTTATAAGGTTAACTTACTAAATAGAAGCAGTTAAAGTATTATGGCCAGCTAGTTGTAGTAAGGTATATTTAGAGAAATTAAGGCTACAGAACTAATAATAATAATAATCGGATGTAATAACCGGATATAATAATTAGAAAATTATTGCATATAGTTAAGTAGTCTTAGATAGGTTATATTTATAAGGTAAGTAAGGCTTTGGTAATTAATTATAGCCTTATCAAAGAGGTTCTTAGAGAAGATAACTAGCTAAAAGCGATTATAAGATCTAATACGAAGTTAATTACTAAAGAAGCTATAGGAAGTCTGTCCTAGAGCCCGGCTCGAGTTTATCTTATATACAAGTCCTAATCTTGAACATATCCTTTATCTACTTAATTACTATAGTCACTTACTTTCTTTATTATTACGTAACTTATACTATAGTTCTTCCGTTCCGTGAGGAGTCATCTGAGTTCCCGGGTTCTTTGTATATATCTGGTAGATAGCCGCCGCAATCCTGCGGGGCAGGCCTTGGTCTTGTTTATACATGTTGGGTCGTAACATTATACCGCCTAGTTAACTGCCTTTACGTAATTTACGGCGCCTCCGGTTATAAGTAATTATTATTATATTAGTTATAACTAAGTTACGGGATTAATAATTATATTTATTTATATGTAGGGCATGTATAGTACTTTAGCGTACTTAACTGTACGGCTACCGTAAGTCTACTGAGAAAAAGTGTTTTGGCGGAGTGCCTCTTGCAGTCTGCCGTAAGGGGGCCCTTGGGCCCTTTTTTATCGGGTTCCGAACTTTGCGACTCCCCTGCTTTTATTGTCGGGTTCTGCTGATTCATGGTGGGCTAATGGATTGGATCTAACCGACTCGAGTAGGTTTTGCCAACTCACGGCGCAATTCGAACGGCAGCAAAAACCGACTTGGTAGTGGTTCATGCAGCAGCATTCAAGCTTACACACTTTAGCCACCGGATTCTGGCCATGGAGATTCAACATACATGAAACTGCCGGTCCTTGGAACACTTTATTTCTGTCTCCGCATTACGCTAGAAGGAAAAAGAAAAATACGAAGTCTCTTGTTCGGTCACTGAAGGTGTGGTGGATTTGGTCTTTATGAGTTGTCTCTTTTCTGCTCGGCCAGTTGCGGATATCCCGCTACAAATGACTCCGGAGTTCGTCTTCGGTCCATTTCCACAACTCCTCCCTCTTGTCCTTGTCATTGCTCAGCCTCGTACCTTTACCGGTGACGCCAACTGGGAAGTAGAAAGTGCCGCTCTTGACGTCCGGGTTGAAGGACGCCCAGAGCTGATTGAGCGCGCCTTTTTGAGGACTGACGGCTACAATTTTAGTGCCGAGGTACACAATCGTGCCCAAGATGAAGTTGGAGTTGTTGATAATGGACTGTGCCAGATTTGTGTCGACGACACCCGGGTGCACACTGACAATTTTGAGCTCAGTGTGCCGCTCGGCGAGGGCGGCAGCATAGTGAATGTTGGCCACCTTAGAGATCCCGTAGCGATAACGGCTGGGAGTTTCGGGCATCTTGGTCTTGAGCTTATCGAATTGGTAACTGTCTTTGGGCGCCCAGCCTTCCGCGCCCGAGGAGAGAAATACGACCCGCACGTCTGGGTTCTCGGTCGCCGTCTTCTTCAAGGTGGGCATCAGAAGTTGAGTGAAGAGTGCATGGCCCATGTGGTTTGTGCCAAATTGGATCTCGTAACCCTCCTTTGTGAGCCCCTCTGGAGTCGCCATAATTCCAGCATTGTTGACGAGCAGGTCCAGCCGAGAAGAAGACTCGTTGAATTGTTTCGCGGCGGCTTTGATACTCTCGAAGGAGGACAACTCAAGCGGCAGATGAGAAATCGGCGCGACGCTGGAGCCTTCTTTCTTGAGTGCTTCTATTGCAGCCTCTCCTTTTTCCTTTGAGCGGCCTGCGAGGTAGATGTGCGCGGGGTTGTGCTTTGCAATCTGCCGGATCGTCTCCAGCCCGAGGCCGGCATTACCACCGGTGACGAGAATGACCTTTCCTGTTAAGTCCGGGATATCAGAGTCGGGCTTGAAGTTGTGCCCGCCCATCAAGAACGCCGTTGCCATCTTTGAGTTTGATTAGTTGTATGTCTATGTCGTTTAATATCTGACTGCGTCTATCGTTGAACGAGGTTGTGCAAGTCATGGGGACAGTTCTGCCGCGCAAACGCGTGAGTCTTTATATACTCTCATTTAGAGTTTCGCGTTTCAAACTTGGCGTCCGACCGTCCCGAGCTCGACACCAGCTCACCGACGATATCGGTTGCAAATGTGGTATTGGTGGTTTCAGGGTTCAGGGTCCCCCGCTTTGACCGATAGTTCCAGAGGTCGTTAATGTTTGGGCGATAATAGTCCCATGCGTATTATAACGACACCAATGGACCTGCCGAGGTATGTCGACGTGTAAATCTGCTTGGGAGGCCGATCATGGTAGGTAGGAGCATTCAAATATTACAGTTTACGAGCCGGGCTGAGGGCCGTCGGTGGAATCTTGACTCCCAGGCCCTAGCAGCCGCCGCGATGTTACCCCAAGCGGGCAAACGGGTGGACATTACACCCGATGATGGCATTGCTCCAATTCACATGTTGCGTCTTGATGATGGATTGCTTCGGAGAAATGGGTCTTAAGGGGGCTCCGGCTTCCACACGAATAGTTTGCGGGGCAACTCTTGGCAGGATCTATTGTCAAAGAAATTTGATATTTTGAACAACACCTGATGGTAGTCTCGCGAATGGTAAGATCCTCTTCGTCATGCCACTCTAAGCCCTAGAACTATCGGCATCATCGACATCCTGCTGGCTCCTGAGCTGTCTGATTCCATTGTACTGCCAGTTGGAGATGTAAGTCTCGAAAGCCTGCTCTCCATGCTTCCCGTTAGATGTCGCGTAAACGCCTACAACGGAACCTAGTAGTATCTTTGTCAGTAAGAGTTCACGTTATCTTCGGTTGGGGCAACTTCACCAGAGTAATAAGGGACCAACTCAGTACCCTTGCAATGCCCGAAAACTCTGACATCGGAGTCTTGCCTGGGACCAGCCAGACCGGCGGAGAATGTGAAATGAGTGCTGTTTACTGCCTCAATCTGGAGAGCAATCTTCTGTCCGGCCCAGCCGTCGGGAAAAGGGTAAACCTCGTTCGGCGGATGTTCAGTCGCCCTGTACGGCGTTTCCGAAATACCACGGAACCTAAGGTGCGGTCGGAGATCCTCGCTTCCCTCCGGCCTCAGCATGACGATGCCGAGATCAAAGTGCTGTGCTTGATCTTGTATGATTGAGACACCGACCTCCATCTCTTCCTTTGTTAGTGACTTTGCCCAGTCGACCTCAACGCGGAATTTGAAGAGTGAGTGAGCCATCCGTCGTCCGACGAAAGTCTGACCACGACCCAAGGCAAAGTCGGCGTCGAAAGCTGTGAGATTCAGGACGGAAGACTTCAGCGCTAATGTGTTCCAATGACCCGGTGGCGAGACTACATAGTTTCTGGCCTTTGGAAGACGCCAGTGGATGATGTGAATGGGCAAATTACTTCCCGGCGGAAAGGTGATGGTATCGTCCGCGTCGCTGAGTTGACCTTCTCCCTTTTCTGGTATAGCTTCCATGGGTAGAGGCCAGCCAGAGACGTCGCCAGTGACCGGCGTGAAGACTGGAAACTCACCCTCTTCCCAGGTGACGGGTGTAAGCACTGTCTCTCTTCCCATCGGCAGGTTGCCAAAGTATGCCCCAGGATCCTGGCCATAGGTGCCGCCAGCCCGAACTGCCAGTGCGACAGACCACCAATTTCCATCCGCATCCTGGAATAGATCAGCATGCCCGACAGCTTGGAAGTAGGAGCTGGTGTCATTCGCAGAAGTCAACAGTGGATTTCCCGGCGCTGGATCGTATGGTCCCTTTAGACTCTTTGATCGAGCCATTGTGACCATATGGTTTTCGCGTGTGCCGCCTTCAGCGAGGAGCAGATAGTACCATCCATCACGTTTCCAGATGTGAGGGGCCTCGGGAGAGCGCCCGCCGGTACCGTTCCAGGGCATGATGATGTCTCCGATTTCGCCGGTTTCCAAGTTGAGCGGCGCATGCATAATTCCTGGATAGTATGCGGCTGTGTGCGCACCCGAGACGTACGTCTTGCCGTCATCGTCCCAGAATGGCGACGGGTCGAAACCAGGGAAGCTGAAATGGACCGGATCTGACCAGGAGTCTGAGCTGTAGGGATCTGTCGATGTGAGGATGAAGTTGTCCCAACGACTATCGTTGGTTCTCGGGAGTTGCTGATTCACAAGAGTGCATAGAAGGTAAAAGTTGCCCTCATGGAAGCGCAACGTGGGGGCATAAATGCCGCTGGTTGCCTTTGGCAGAAAAGCTAGACCTGGCAGCTGATCTGCTCGACTGAATGCGTTGGAAACATGTTTCCAGTGAACCAAGTCTCGACTTGCGTGGATGGATAAACCAGGGAAGGCGAGGAAACTAGATGTAGCACAGAAGAAGGTATTGCCCAATTCTGGAACAAAAATACAGCTCGGGTCCGGCTTGAAGCCGCTAATGATTGGGTTTTGGAAGGTTGAATTTTGAGCTCGGCCAATCCCGGAGAGGGCTAATGTTAGAAGTCCGAATTTCATCGTGAGATCGCTGACTCCTGAGCAACTTCCACGCTATCGGTCCCTTTGACGGGTGGTTCCAATCTGGCTTTCACCATGTTATTAAACTTTGGGGTGTCCCAGGCCTCCTGTCTACCCCGCAGTAGCGAAGGAAAACCTGCATCGCCTTGTGTCGATTTCCACGCCAGAGAAGAAATCTCAGTAGTAGTCGGAAGCCGTCTAAGAGATCACGAGCGAATGTGCGGCGCTTTTCCGAGAGACCGGCGCCGCGGAAGGCCTTGCTCGGAGAATTGTGGTATTAGCCTAAAATCCCGAAGCACCGATCTTGTCCTGTTAAGCTCCAATCCAACTGCGGGGGATATGCAGGATCACCAAGGCCAAGACTGGGGAAGTTAGAGATATGACGCATTTCCGTCAAATCCTTCGCTCGCAGTAGCAGCAAGCTATTCACTTGGTTAATTAGAAAGGCACTTGCATATCCGATGCAGATTTCGATCAGCATGGGGTGCGCCGGAAATATTGCCAACGTTGTTACTTGTTTGCGGCTAACAATATGTTCACCTTTGCTTCGTAGACTTGCGCTTGAAACTTCGTCCCATTCACCCTAACTAGAGCTCCGAAGAACTCAGCCGAAAGGCCGTCTTAAAGACATCTTTTCATGCCTTCAACGCTTCTCGGCACTGCTTCAGGCCTCTGCGTTGTTTACCATCCTCATCAAAGTTTTCTTCGCTCAGCCACGCTCCCAAGCCACCCTTGATCACCGGCCACTCATCATCTGTGATGCTGAACCAAGCTGTATCTCTGCGCCTCCCCTTGGCAACCATGTGTTTTCTGACAAATGTCAGTGACCGACCGAGACTGAGCTCCATAAATGTCTTACCTGAAAATGCCTTCATACGTATACCCCAACCGCTCAGCAGCTGCGAGGCTCGGCTTGTTCAGATGGTTCGCTTTCCATTCGAGCCTGTAGTTACCCAGGCCTTCGAAAGCATTCTTCATGAGAAGGTACTGGGCCTCGGTGGCAGCACGCGTCTGCTTAAGCTGCTCACTGAAGATGATGCATCCGATCTCAATGTGTCTGTGGGCCGGAACAATGGAGAGGTATGCCATCACACCCACTGGCTCGGATGATGGATCCGATGCCGGGCCAGATAATATAGTGAAGTACAATGGGTCTTTGGAAACGCTCCACTCCTTGAATGCAGCCTCGCATTGTTCGAACTCGAGGAAAGGTTCATTGAAGAGGTATGTCCAGCGCCAAGCATTTTCTTCCCGGCCGAGATGCTTGAAGATGGCCTGCGCATGCGACGGTTGCAACGGGACCAGGGAGGTGTATTGGCCGTGGAGCGGGGTATGGGACGGGGCTGTTGCCGGATCGGCGGAGGCCACGAGAGGTCCAACGGGAGGGTCCATGATTCCGGCAGGTCTGTCTTGATAGGCAATAACTTAATTACAAGATTTCATAAATGTTCACAACGTTCTCATTGTTCGGAACGAGTTTTGAACTATAAGTATGAGCTTCTGACGATGACTCAGGGGGTCACGGATGTAAATCCTTCAAAGCACGACAGCTTCGGCGCGAAGTGGGGCGACCGGCCCGGTCGCGGGCAAGACTTGGATATCAAATACGCCAGATACGCGCAACTTCGGCGCAGCGTTTCCGGAGCCGATGATGTTCGGGTCGGTTAAGCCGTTGTACTAAGCTATGAACAGATTTCTTCAGTTTCATCACCTGGCTATTGTGCCGCGTCATACCACGATATTCTCACCAAACTTGAATGACTTCAATGAGGAAGTGTGAATAAGCGACTTTTGCTAGCTCGTAGCACACACGAGGCTGGCTGGCAATGAAGCTGTTGGCCTATTAAGTAACTAATAGTGCCAGGCTAGCTGGTATATTATTTCACTCTCGAAGTCAATAGTTCGCTCAGGGAATCCGGCGCGGTGATGACTTCTGCTTCAAAACGCACACGCATTGCATTCCCCCGCCCTTCTCTTTCCGTGCAGTAGCTAGGCACTGGGCGTTCAAACTCATAGAAGAAACAACTCGATGTTATAAAAGAGGGATATATAGAGACTTCCGTCTGTTCGGGCCCGACAGCAAAGGAAACCAACTTCAAGGACTGATCTCTGTTCCCTCAGCAATTCGCCAATAACAATGCGCGATGCTACTGAGTTCTGCAACCTTTCGGCACGGAAGTCGAATGCAACGCTGCCAAGATTATTTGTGGATTTCTAAAGTCCCATTAAGCTTACTTCCTGTTCGTCGCATTCCTCCTTGCTTAGGCAGGGAATGGAAAGCGAAACAAGTCTTGACACAGTCGTCTTCACAATCTTTTTTTTTTTGTTCTATTAAACGCCGTAGCGGCAAAGGCGCAGCCGCCCTTGCGGCAGATCTCCCGAAGGGTAAATGGCGTGGAGGGCCGTAGGCTCGAGCTATATACTCTATAGTACACGCCTTTTCCTAACGTCCTCCAAATCTTGCCTATGGGCTACTGTCTGTTCTATCCGTCCCTAGTTCCCGCTGGTTCCCTAGTTCCGTTGTTACCGTCTGTCCCTCTAGGAGGAGAACTTCGTAAGTCGGGCCTAGGTCAAGACCTAGTCCTTAGTACCGCGGGCAGATCTTCTGAAAGAAGTCTGTCACGCGGAGAAAGGCCTAGAAGCCAATAGGATCAGTAATTAACCTCTTATAGTACCGCTCAAGAGATCCTATAGGTCCTATAGGATCGAGTGGGCTAGAAGGGTGGAGGGTAGGCCACTGATGCCTCCTCACTAGGGTCTTTTAGCAGTAAACTAGATAGTCTACCGCCTTTACCTCCCCGTAGGAGTAGGTAAGTAGTGCTTCTGTATAGTTAAAGCGTTAGTGGTATTACTCGAAGTCTCCATGGCCTGATCGGGCTGCTAGGAGATGATAAAGGATAGCCCGCGGTAGGGCTAGTTCGGGAGCGTAAGCGAGGGTGGCCTTGAGTCCTAGCTGGGTATAGCAGGATGTTGCCTCCCGTTTCCACTATTTTCTGTATTGGCGACGTATACGCTCCTTAGCAAGCCGTTTGATCCCTGAAAGAGTTGCTAGCTGTCCCCTTGGGACTAGTAGGGTTGTGCCCTCCTTAGCTAGGCTGTCTGCTTCTTCGTTTCCTTTAATACCCTGGTGCCCAGGAGACCAATGGGTTCGTATATCGTGTATCCTGCCTACCTCCTGGATCTCAAGGAAGGCCGCTTGTGAGGAGTCTGGGACCTTACCGCGAATCCCCTGAATAACGCTGGTATTGTCGATGCAGATGTGTATAGGCTGGCCTTGGGAGGTCTGAAGGGCCCGTCGGAGCCCAGCCCTCGCCCCCTCCGCCTCACCATCAAACACTTCTGCTATGCCGAGACGGCCGCAGCCCTGGGCTATACGTTTATTGTTGCGGTAGATAACAAAGCCGTACCCTGTAGCTCCGTCAGGAGCTTTGGAGCCGTCTGAGTATACGACTGTATGCTGACCTGGCACAGTCTTGAGCCAGGCCTGGAAGATCCTAGCTGCTACATCCTTCGTCTGTGTAACTATAAGGTCATAAGACCCTGGGAGGTATTGCGGCTGTAGGAGTGCTGGCCTTGGACACTTAGGTAACAGGCCAGCTGTTCTTTGGAGCCTGGTCTGTTGCCGCCCTGGCTGCAGCAGCCTTGGGACCAAGGGATGTTGTTGGTCAACCTTCTGCAGGCGTATAGCGAAGCGTAGTCGCGCTGCTTCGAGGGCTACCTCTGCTGTAGGAAGGCCAGCGTCTCGGATGAGGCTGCTGGTCGGTGTGGTTCTCCAGACAGGCAGGATAGCCCTTGCTGCTGCTGTAATAACTTTGCTAACTCTACGGGCCAGGCCCTTCTGTCCTGTGCCAACTGTAGCTATCTGTAAAGCAGTACTACTGCTAGTATTGGTGCCGCTGTTTAGGGCTGGTTTGGTTAGGCCCGCATACCAGGTTTCAACTCCATATAGGGCTGTTGGAAGGACACAGGCAATAACCGCTTTTCGTACTGCGGCTGCTGGGAGCCCCCCTTTAGTATTTGTTAGGTGCCGAAGGAACTGGGCTACCTTCTTTACTGCCGCCACCTTAGTTTCGACATGGTGACGGAAGGTGAGTCTCTTGTCAAACCAGACTCCTAGCCATCGTACAGGCCTAGCTGAGGCCTTGATAGTTAGGCCCCTCGCTTGTATATCTGGTAGGTCTTTTGTCTGTTTATGTTTCCTGCTGAAGTGGACTGCCTCACACTTAGCTGGGTCAAAAGCAACCTTGTTATCAGTGCCCCAGTTAAGTATATGAGTGATCTCTTGGCCTAGAGCTATAGCATTTTCTTTTAGCGATGGGCTAGTAGCTACTAAACCTATATCATCCGCATAGCCGAACCGTAGCTTCTGATCGTCGGCTAGGATATCAGCTATATATAATAGAAAGAGAATAGGAGATAGTGGGGAGCCTTGTGGTAGCCCACAGGATAAAGGGAAATCCTCTGTAGTTGTATCCTCTAGCCTGACCCGGGCTGCTCGGCTAGAGGTAAAGGTGAAGATCAGCCTAATCAGATGCTTAGGCCAGCCCTGCTGTCGTAGCCTGATAACAAGTCGGTTTCTTAGGACAGAGTCAAAAGCCCCTTTAACGTCCATTGTTACAAGAGTTGCAGTGAGCCCTAAGTCTAGAGCCCTCTCGATCTCGTGGGTCAGACAGGCTGTTAGGTCGACTGCAGCCCTCCCTGGTAGTGCTCCAACCTGCTGCGGGCTAGCAACCCCTTCTAGGATAGTAAGGTAGGCCATCCTTTTTGCTATTAGCCGCTCTAGGCCTTTACCCAAGCAGGATAAAAGGGATATCGGTCGCCAAGACCCAGTCTTCGAGAAGTCTGTTTTCCCTGGCTTCTGGGTCATGACAACTTCTGCTTTACGGAACGGTCTGGGGAAGTGGCCTACTTGAATACAGGCCTGGAAGAGCTGCTGTATAGGCCTAGCTACTGATTCCCAGGTCTGCTGTAGTAAATTTGTAGTAATCCCGTCAATCCCAGGGGTTGTAGTCTTTGTCAGAGTAGCATCCATGCTAACCACATCCTGCCAGGGCATTAGACGCCGTATAACTACTAGGATAGTAAAAGGATCCCTATATAAGTCGTCTATAGCGTTAAATCTCTTTAGTAAAGCCTTTCGTAGGGCCTGAGCTTTATCGTAGCTGTTGTCGATTATCTAACCTTCTACTATAAGGGGCGGGCCTTTAACAGCTAAGCTAGACTTCCGCCAGCCTACTATCTTATATAGGTCTTGGTCTGTCTTAGCCCCTTCGATCTTAGTAGTCCAGTAAGCGCGTTTTGCCCTTCTAACAGTTTTTAAGAAGATCTTTTGCTCCTCTAGGATGGGGGGAGGTATAACTAGCCCAGGTTCCTGGGCCTGCTGGCGCCTAGCCTCGATAGCAGCTCGGTGGGCTTCTGCACACTCTTCTGTCCACCAGGGGGCTCCCCTACCCTGATTTGTCCGTCTCTTACCTACAGCTTGCATAGCTGTATAGAAGAGGCTGACTAATTGGGTAGCTAGAGTGTCCAGCTCTGCTGGACTAGGTACTTCCCCTAGGGTAGGTAAGGCTGAGGATCCAGCTCTTACTAGGTCGATAAGTCGGGGTAGGGCTGACTCTGGGACTGAGAGGTGGCCAGTCTGGCGTTTCTGTTCCTGGGCCTTGCCTATAGGGATAATTGTTGCGATAGCTTGGTGGTCAGCCCCTGGGTGAAGGTGTGGGCTAATACAAGCCTCAGCAAAGGGGATATTTGAGAATGTTAGGTCGAGGGTATGCCTATGAGTATGGGTAGGGACCCCAACCTCCCCAATAAACGAAAGATTGTAGCCTTCAGCCCACTCTGCAATATCGTCCCCCCGATTCCGGCTAGGGGAGCCTGGTTCCCAGGTAGGGTGGCGGGCGTTAAAGTCCCCGGCTACAAGGGCTCTTTCTGGCGGATAGTATCCTAGGAGAGCAGTAGTCGTGTGGTTTGTCGGCTCACCTGGCGGCCTATATACGTTAATAATAGTGAAGTTGCCAGCCTTAACCCATAAGATATCTCTCGTTTGGGTAGGCCTTTGTTGCTGTATTTGTAGTCTTAGACTCTTGTGTATATAGGTCATAACCCTAGGTCTTGTATCTCTGTTATTCTAGAAGTTAATTAGGATATAGGAGTTAAAGCCTGGGTGTGTGTTAATCTGCATTTTATCTTTATAGCCTATCTAGGGTTTCTGGATTAGTGTTATATCGATTTGATCTTCCTAGCAGAGCTCTAGGAGAGCTATATGAGCTGGGCTTTCCTTCCCTACGTTATACTGGGCTACCCGTAGTACCCGTGGGGCAGTTGGTCTGAGCCTACTGTTCCGAGTCGAGGTCGAGGTGGGTGTAGGCATTAATAACATTGTAATCAGGCTTCTGTACTACCCTCTGGCTCCTGCTGCTGCTCGGGAGCGGGTGGATAGGGCGGTTGGTTAGGGGGAGGGCTTCAGAGTCTTCAGCCTCATCCTCAACCATAATGCTGCTTCCAACTACGCTAGCGGTATCTGCTACAACAATTGAGTCTTGGATGGGTGTGAGGGGTCGAGGGCGCTTAGATATCGGCTGTTGCCCATGTGTAGCGCTTGGTCCAGCCTCAGTTTGCTGGTTGCTGCCCACGGAGCAAGCCTGGCTGGCTAGGAGGTCGTCAGACGCCTTCTCTCCAGCCTTCCGGATTCCTCGCAGTTCCTTCCGGGTTGGGATAGTAAGGTTTCCATTAAGCAGTAGAGGCCTAGCTGGGCAGTCTGCGTGGTTTGCTGGAAAAGGCCCATAACAGTTGGCGCACTTAGACCTAGCTACGCAGATCCCGGCTTCATGGGTATCCAACGGTTTGCTACAGTTCTCGCAGAGGGGTTTCCGGGTACAGTAGCGGTTTGAGTGAAAGCCCTGGCACCCAGGGGAGTGTCTTTTGGGGGTCTGCTTCCTTGGGGGAAGCAGGCGGGCTGGGCCTGACTGTCCGAACAGGCGGAAGCCTTCCTTAACCCCTTGAGGGAGGGCAATAATCAGGCTTTGCGTAGCTGTAGCTAGATTAAGGCTATCCCGGGTTGGGCGCCAAGAGAGGAGTTTTTGTTTTTTCTTTAAAAAGACCTCCTCTATTTCAGATTCTATGCTAACCCTATTACCGTTAAGGCTAGTAAAGTAGAGGGGGCAGAATGGGACGATATATTGATGCTACCTAGTAGGTACCTCTATCTTCTTAGCTGTGAGGCAGTGTTTGATCTTAGGGGCTCTCTGAAGGAGTAGGGCTTGGATCCCTTTGTTCTGGGGCTGAAGTGAGAAGCCTGTAGTAGTATGGCGGACCTTAACTAGGTCTTGCGGCTGTAAGTTAAGCTCTTTTGTTATTACTATCTTAACTGAGTGAGGGGCTAAGGTTCTAGAGGTAGGGATGTGTTCAGCCGGGAGCCGAACTAATAGGCGGAGGTCCTGGGTTTGTTTTGGCTGGTGTATGCGGCCGGTAGCCCGCCGGCCTGTTGCTGGGTTCGACCTGGGACCGGAGCCGGAGCCGGAGTCGGAGCCGGGGCCGGGGCCGGGGCCGCTAGCGGTGGGGTCGTTAGCTGCCTGGGCATACGTTTTTCCCGTGCCGGGGCCAAGGGTGGGTTCAGATATTTCTGCGGTAGCAAACCGGGTAAAGGTGTCGATGAGGTCCTGGGCTGTAGCCTTTAGTCGTGCTGGGGCGGTCCCAACGAGGGCATCTAGGCCTTTGGCGAGGAGGTCTAGGGCCTCATCTCGGAGGGCCCGGCCTTCTCGGGCCTGTTGGAGGGCGGTAGCGACCGAAAGTGGCCTCCTTCCCAAGGGCCGGATAGGGGGGGGCGTGAGGCCCCTCGGACGTGGGGGTAAGGAGGTAGGGGGAGGAGGAGTCTGCGAGGGATGATGCATAGAGGCTGAGAGACCGATGGGGGCCTGCGAGGGGCCCGCGGCTGGCTGTGAGGCCATCGCGGGCGAGGGTTCCGGTCGTGGGGGTTGTATTTGGAGGTGTTAGTGTTGAGGTGGCGGACCCAGCACAGCACTAACAGCGGGTGCCGGTGGGGTGGTATGTAGGAGGGAAGTTGTATTGTCATCCTGAAGGGGGTGGTTAGGTCAAATTTGTCCAAATCTTACCTAGAGGGAATTTCATCTTGACTGACCAGACGAATCAGACCTCGAAAGAAATGATGAATGAACGGCGAATGAAAGTCAAATTGTTGTCATTGAGAATTTCCCCTACTTCCATGTGCACTCACTAAACGCCATGGCCATGTGTTTATCTCGAAAATTCCGGCTTGTTCAAGTCTCACTGCTGACTTGGGCAGCAGCAACGGGGCCTCCTACATGTAAGATCCGGGACACACACTCTCGTATTCAGCCAGCGTCACAGCGGATGCTACCATTCCCAATGCTTGCACGCCGCCGAGAAAATATCAGTCTACCAGCTGGAGCTAAGAGGTAAGCGATGGGACTTTGGTTCAATGGTTCTTGGCTTCAACTCCTAAACTGCTGATCACTATTCACAGCCGATCGGCCACGCAGGTATTCAGCGCGTAGGGAAGAAGGTCGCTAAGAGAGAACGCGTGTGGTTTCTCCAGCTCAGTCTCGCAGCCTCGTTTAGGCAAGTCCATGGCACAGTAGACTTTGTGGAGATGTAAGCTTAGTTGCCTTCATTGGCAAAAGGGTAGCAGCCGATATAGCGATGCTACACTGAATTATCTGCCATTGTCAACTTCATCTAGTGAGGAGAAGATGGTCATGACAGGAAATCTGACCATCAAGAATCATATCCTCCGACTTTTTGGCGATCACTCGTGAGGCTACGTATTATCATGTAAACTCTTACACTTCCTTCCTCAAGGTATCATCTAACTTCCTCAACGCACAGATCTAGAATCTCAGATTTCAGACAACTCTTTCGCAATGGTCCAAATCGCCGTTCCTTCCGTCACTTTGCTCTTCCTGGCGGCTATCACAGCTGCGTCTCCTGCTCCTCTTGCAAGCTCTCGAAATACCGTTGCCGTCGGTGACTGGTCCTGGGAAAGTTGGGTTGAGACTATCATTGCCGACCCTGATAGTGCTCTATCCGTCGATGAGGCTCTTGAAGCCGCGGCCAAGTCCGTCGTCGCTGATGGGGGTCAGTCTGTGATATTCCAGTCTTCATTAATAGTCCCCAGTTGCTGGAAGTTGAACTGATTGCAGGCGTGCTAACAAGGACTTTGTGTTAGATGGCTCACTTGAAAAGAGACAGGAGCAGTTTCTCGTATGCAACGATAGCAAGCCTTCCGCATGGGTATGCAAAGAGCAAAGCTCGGTGGCCCTCATTAAGTAAGAAGGCTTTACTAACAGCACTGCGCAGGCACCTGATGCCGTGACGTGTATCAATTACCTTGCCGGTCTCAATGCCAACTGCGGTACTGTGACTGCCACGGCAATGTGTACGGCTGGTAATGCGCAGATTGTTGGAAGTGGCAGTGGTGCCGGAGAAGTGAGCACACACTGGTAAGCCGGACTCATCCCCTCAGACTCGCATGAGCATGACGTAAGGCTAATACCCTGCATTTCACAGTAACAATGTTGCCCGCACTGCTGGACACATCATGGATCGCTGCTGGAGATCCGACAACACTGTTCAGGGTGGCATGCCGGCTTATGAGCAAGGAGCGATGTGGGTTCATGTTTCAGCTCCTCTGATCTAATCCGGAGATGATATCAACTCGGAAGCATGGCGTCTGGGATGTGTCGATCGCAAATCAGTAGTATGAGCACTGTGAAAAATTGTGCTCATGTCTATGGCTTCGATCGCCGACGATGGACATGGAATTCTTTTGCCTCGACTACTTCGCTTGAGACTCCCGGCAGTGAGACAGAATTTTTATGCTAAGCTCTTGCCGACTTCTTTCTATATTGACTGTTCAGCACGAAGACTATTTAAATAGAGGCCCCTGCAAAACGAGTGAACCTGTGCATTCTTGATGGGTAGGTGATTTGTAACGTGGAATGCCAAAGCGCGATCACGCATCATCTACATGCATGTATGACTTAATATGCGGGTCTCCAGTCCAGAAACCAGTTCTTCGGTTCCACCACGCCGGTTTGGTCCGAGATGTAATCGAGGTACCCCTTATAGTAGTTCAACGGAGCAAAGTCCTCCTTGAAGCTCGCCTCGTAGACCTCGCCAGTGATATCAGTCATAGAACCGTCCGACTTGCACTTGAGGATACATCTGAGTCGCGAGTTAAGTCAGCCAGAGGAATCATGCTGTTCTAGAGAATGTCGGGCAACCAGGTCCAGAACTCGACAGTTTCGACTCACGCTTGCCATCTTCCCTTTCCCTTCAGGATCTCTCTCATGTGATATGTATTCCTCTCGCAGATCGCCATGCATATGATTGTTCTGGTCCAGGGGTATGTACCTTTGGGGTTAAGGCCCTCCCATGGAAAAGCTCCAGGTTTCGACCTGCCCTGGAGACTCCCGGAAGAATTTTGAAGTGTCCTGAAATCTGTTAATGCCTCTTCATCATCATTTATCTAATCCTCAGAGATTAGCTTACCTTGAGTGAATTTTCGGCTTGTTCTCATCGACTTCGTCGTCAACACCCAACCTCTTGGTCAATTCTTGAGGCTTGAAGGAGAATGAGTTTTCACCATTCGTCAAGGTAACATGTTCTCTGAAGCTTTCAGTGAGCCGAGTCCGGTTGATTGGCAGCGTGATTCTGTAGGGGTCCAATCTAGAACCAAGGTAGGGCCTAGGGCCTCGAGATTCGGCTCTGGCGGGTGCCGCCTCTCCATAACCAATCAATGCAACAAGAATAAGAAATTTTGATATTTGATAAAGATTCATGTTGATATCTTAGGCGGTGATCTTCTCCTAGTGCTAGGGAAGCTAGGGATGCATTACACTTAGCAGAAACTTGCATGTAAATTTCGAAGTCGGCTTCTATTTCTCTGGCTAAAAGATTGTGCCTGGGTTCACTGTCCAGACTTATATGACTGATGAACAGGTTGAGGTAAAAAGACCGATCACTCCACTTATGGAAATTCTCCTTCAGCCTCCAAACTTGGAAGAGCATAGAAGGCAAGGGCCCAGTCGTGCGAGCAGAAGAGGTAAGGGAGAAAGCCCGAAAGAACACATGCGCACACAATCCCAGATACGGCTCGGTGCCAAACTCGTATTATGCGGAGCAAATCGCAGGGAAGCTTTTGTAGCACATCAACGTGCGTGGGATTTTGGCGTCATCCGAGGATCTCGTGGTCGCGGTCCCAAGCAAAGCGCAAAGAAACCATCTCGGGGGCGGGAAAGTTTCCCTAGAGTGGCCCCGACGTGGTCGACTCGCCCGATTGAGACAACATTGAAGGAAGTCAGATGCGTACGAAGCTGTTGCCAGATCGCCTACTGTGTAAGTGTGTCACACAGTTGTGGTTGACAACTTTTCACACCCGAGCCCCTTGCTATCTGTGTGTAAAAGAATCCATCCGCCCAGCGCTGATTGCTGTTGTACCATACTGAGTTTGGGGCTTTCCTGAGTTCCCTTGCAACTTGACACTAAAGCATCCATGGCATCACGAAACGCCGAAGTCTCTGAGCAGGAACCGTTTCGAGCTTTTTCTCAAGTACCTACCTTAGACAGGTGAAGGTCTATTCATCACTGATATAAAGGAGCCAGATGACTTGCATTGCCCATATGTACTTCAGACCGAACACCGTGCCCTTTCCAATCCCAACCTCTCTTCCGCTTCCTTACATTTCTAATCAGTCACCCACTCAGTCGCTTCCTCATCGCCCGCTATGAAATCCATCCAGTCCCTACTTATCATAGCCATCATCGCCTTTGTCCCAACGGTATCCGCCGAATGCTTCAAGGACGGCATGACTGGCGAATACGACGTCAACAATAACGCACCCGTCGATCTAAGAATCGTGTGCGCTCAATTATCGGGCAGCTACGTAAAGAACGAGTTCCGCAGAATCTGCATCATGGACACGAAGGGCAGAAAGTGGGACTTTGAGCTTTCGGTAAGTGAGATTTAACCATGATTCTTCTTTCCAGCAAATTCACCTTGAAGCGATGTCGAAGGGTAGTTTATCTGGCGGGATTCAATTGCTGATAATGCCATAGTACGTCGGGAACGGAGACAAACGCGACATTGATATAGAAGAATGCTACGACGGCATGAAAAATGAGGCAGGCTGCGAGCGTGGTGGTCGGAAGAAGTATTGGAACTGGGAATACTCGTGAGTCACTTCGTACCGGGCTCAATTTCCCTCAGGGAAGGTCCAAATTGCGAAAGGTTGCTGACCAGATTTGCAGGGCGGATCCAAATGTTGGACAATGCGTGAATATGCACCCGTACGACTTTGCAAGGCCATTTGACGACCAGTAGGGAAGGAGGGATGGCCGGGTGCAAGACTATATGGGGCCATCCAAGTCCATTCCTGTCACCAGCCAGGAGGCGCCCGTCTAGGTCGACGGGTCAGGTCAAACTGGCTGGGTGGTGGAGTGGTCTATGGTCAACAATCAATTACGCCCAAAGCCTCTCGACGACAGGCTACGAGTTCGAATTCGATTCCCAGCATGAGCACCAAGAGATGTAGCCCCACCGGGGGTGAACTCTTTTTTATTTAGGATCGTGATAGCATCAATTAGTAGGGCCCCACCACCCGACACGTGACTTTGCTCATTTGTATTATATTCACTGCACCTAGTCGGCTTACGGAGGGGCTTGCTTTGCCGATCGTAATCCATTGTGAATTTGCTATTATACTTCAGTCCTAATCGATGCCCAATCTGTTTCATGCATCTTGACGTGCAAAGTGTGATCAGGTCGACTTGAAGATGCTTGCTTGGTCAGACACTGACGTAGAGTGAAGCCCCAGGCACGTCAGAGGTCTAGCTCGTCGTCCTGCTGAACATGTCTCTATCATGAATCACTGAGACGGTCTGTCTGTCCGAGGGAAAAGACCTGTTCACTTATCTATACTAAGCTGATTTATGAAGCTAAAAGTCGTTCGATGCATGTTACGTGCCCACTTCCCTTCACACTCAATATGTTGGTGAATATCTTGGAGACCCGACCAGCACAGCTGAAATCACTTGAGCTCAATGTGATGTGAAGTCGGATAACACCATCTCCAAGCACAGTTCCCGACTTTCTATCAATCGCTTGCAACGGTGCAGAAGGCTGGAATTAAACAACTCAAACACCACGCAACGTCGTCCTCAATTATGAACCCCCGGCCCGGCCCCTGTCCGTCTTCCCCGCCGCCGTCCAACGGAGCACCGGAACAACGACTCCGCAGTAGCACTTTACGCTGCCGGTCCCCACTCGATTAAGCGCGGGGAGATTGGGACATTGGCTGGACCTTCATCAGGGGGATGAAGAGTAGAGGGAAACGGTTGATTGCAACGTTGCCATCACACCAAGAACAAACCTAATGATACACCGCGAAGTCAAGCTGTTGGTGCGCATTTCCTGCTATTTTCCTCCAGTGTCAACGGAATTCTACGCAGTATCAGGCTAGCCTCGTAACTCCCGGGCGCGTCGCCAGGAAACGAGTCCCACTCATACCACGACGAGCTCTCTCGTATCTCAGAGTAATGTTTCCATCACTTGAGGGGTAAACATCAATCCACGTCGATCCGGCTACTACCTTCTACAATCGCACAGCTCTCATCACAAAGTTATGTCACCATGGTGCGCGCACAAGCTGGGTTACCCTCACCAAACATCCCATCCGGCTCCGAACCCCCGCGCGCCGAGGTCACGTCCCGTCGCGTCATATCCACGATGCTCGAATGATAAGGTCGAATTGCAATAAATAAACTTATTCTGCTGCACTTATAGAAGCTCCATTCCTGCAATTGGTGACATGAATCGCACCCCAACCCAGACATCGTGACTCGAAAGACAGCTCACGATGCGGTTCCTCACCACCGCCCTCGTCTTCGCGGCGACAGCGGCAGCAGACTTCCTCCCAGGCCTGCCAACAACACCATACACCCCAACAGGCGGCATCATCCCCTCCTCCTCCATCTCCAAGATCATAGTCTCGTCCGCTCACGCAGAGTCCATCGACGAGGCAGGCCAAACTCTTATCCCACCGACCCTACACGCCTTTGCAACAACCTTTGCAGAGGACCTCGCCTCGTCTCTGGGCCTAGGCATCCCGATCGAGCTAGGCGACGCCCCGGAGCAAGGATCCATCTTCTTGACGCTGGCAGATGACGCGAGTCTCTTCAAAGACGCTGCCGGGCGCGAAACGTCTGAGGGGTACTCTCTCAATGTGACGATTGACGGTGTGCTCATCACGGGCGCGAGCCCGCTCGGCGTGTGGTGGGGTACCCGGACGGTGCTACAGCAGCTCGTTCTCGGGACGGGGAGCTGAAGTTGGGATACGGGACGGATAGCCCAGGATGGGGAACCCGGGGTCTGATGGTGAGACAATCCTTCCTCCCGAGCCGGAGCTCATCAACGACCCCCGGCCGCATGCACAAATCAATGGATCGCATGCTGACTGCCTACCCAACACATTAGCTCGACATCGCCAGACACTACTACCCACCTGAGTTCCTCATTGAAATGTGCGCCTACATGTCCTTCTTCAAGCAAAATACATTCCAGCTGCACCTCTCAGACAATCTCTACAATAATGTCGCCATCTACTCACGCGAGCGCATGCTCTCACTCTACGCCGCCTTCCGGCTGAACTCGGACGACCCTGCCCTCGAGGGCCTCAACCGGCGCGCAAACGAGAGCTACACCCGCTCAGTCTTTGACGACGTCCAGGCAAAGTGCGCAGCGCGCGGCGTGACGATCCTCCCGGAAATCGAGGCTCCCGGACACGCACTCGTGATTTCGCAGTGGAAGCCAGAGCTGGGACTATCGAGTGACTTGAGCTTGTTGAATATTTCGAACCCGGAGACGATCCCAATGGTGAAGAAGATCTGGGAGATCTTTCTGCCGTGGTTCCATACCAAGACGGTCTCGATCGGTGCCGATGAGTACGTCGACCCGACACTGAGTGAAGAGTACGTCAACCCCAACCCCTGAAACTGGCGGTATCAAAGCATGAGCTCATCAACTAGTGCCCTGGTTGCTGAGTACACGCGATTTGTGGACGAGATGAACGAGTATATCACAAGCACGTCCGGTAAAAAGGTCCGAATCTGGGGAACTTTTGCGCCGTCAGTGGGCGGAACCGTCAACAAGTCCGTTTCGATCCAGCACTGGGCCAACTTTGAGGCGAACCCGCTCTACGACTTTGTCAACAACGGCTACGAGGTGCTCAACTCAGGTGACTACATCTACACGGTTGGAAAGTGGAGCGAGTCGTATGGTGTAAGTAAACAGACCAAGTTGACCTGTATCAAGGTGATAAGCAAACTGACCTGGAGAAAAGCACGAGCTCAGCTTGGAGTTCATCTTCATGGGCTCGCCCGATGGATCCCCATTTTCGCCAAATATCTTCGATCGCACCAATGCATCAAACAATGCCGCAAGGGACAGTGCATCGTTGCTGGGCCACATTGCGCCGCAATGGAACGATTTTGGCCCGAATGCAACGACGGTGACGGAGGGATACTACCAATGGAGGGATGGCCTGCCTGCTCTCGCGGACAAGCAGTGGGGAGGCGAGGTTGCTGAGGCTGACTACCAAGGCCTGTTCTCCGCGTTGCAGCCTCTTGCCCCGGGGCAGAACCTTGATCGAAGAATCGTATCCACGGGATCGACAATCGTTGAATACGACTTCAAGCAGGGACGAGGTAGCAATGGAACGGCGATTGAAGATTTGTCGGGCAACAAGTACCATGCAACCTCGACGTGCGCAACAAGCGACGAGGGTGCCATTCTGGCGTCTTCGTGTAGTATCACCACTCCGCTGACGCAAAAGGGGAGGAATTACACTCTTTCATTCTCGATCAAGCCCACGTCGGACGCCAAGGGGGCCATCATCAGCGGTGGAGACAGCGGGTTGTGGTTTGGCAATGGGACTGTGGACGCTGTCATGCTCTTTTCAGGGGAGAGCACGTACGCGCTCAACTACACGTTCCCCGTGGGGTCGTGGACAAATGCGAGCCTCATTGGCAGGGGGAGGCAGACGTTCCTAGACGTTGGGGACGGCGAGCCCAAGGAGTTTTTGACAATAATGGGCTGGAACGGAGCCCGGTTCGTGTGGCAGCCGATTGCGGTGGAGGCACCGTTGGCAACAGTCGGAGGCAGTGGGTTTGAGGGCGTCATCAGCGGGATGAAGCTGGTTGACCATGCCTAGAATAGCCTTATTATCGGAGAGGCTTGTGATTTTTTTTCTAAGCCTCAACAGCTTCGGACTGTTAACCTGCTTTGGATGCTGTGGTCCTTGGAGATGGAAATTCGATGTCATGCAGAACGGGGTTGACTGAGTCGTACACGACGTCGTGACGTGAATATCGCCCACACTTTCTATCCGTAGTTTGTATCCAAACAAAGCTGGGACTCTGCGTCTGGTCGTAGGGCTCAGGGCGTGCTAGTCAATGTGGATGTGAAACTTGGCACCATTATCCGTACCATATGCCAAAACACAATTAGCTAGTTTTAGCGTCCAACATGTCGGTCCGGATGGCGTGTAAACGGCGTCAAGGCAGCCCATCCTGCGGGCATTTGACAGATTGTGCCAGAAGGTTCCTTTTTGCAACGGTTTTTGGTTGTTTTGGCGTGCAGATCGCTGTCGTTGTCTGACCCCCGGCCAAAACACCAGATACAGAGCGATACAATATAGTCGATGTCACATTCGAGGCTCGATGTAGTGGCATGGCCGACCCGGGTGACCGATCGGGGTCCTTCGGGCTCTTGCGTGGTGCGTGACTGCCAGGGGCCAAAGGGTAGGATTGAGAGGTTTTGGGCGTTGAAAGCCCCGGCAACGGCAACGGGATGCTCGCCGCAGGGATGACCGACGGGCCAGGGGCTGAATCAGGGTCCAGGACGGGGGTTTCTAGTTGCTGGTCGGTGGTAAGCTGCCCAACCGTTTAGCAGAGCTGTAGAAGCAGGGCGTATGGTTTCGGTTCTCTTTCAATAACGAGGGCTTTTCGAAATCTCCAAGGACCGGAGGATGCCCACTCCCTTTCGTGCCTGGCACACTGGGGTCGCTGCTAATACTGACATTGCTTTTTGCGGGAAAGGCTGCAGCGGAGGATGGTTTGGTGGCCAGGACACGGGATGACGATGGTTTCGGCTGATGTAGGATGGGATTTCATCGTCTCATTATCTACTGAATTGTGGAATGTGCATGATTGGGGCGACGGAAAGGGAACGGATGAGGGCGGAGGTCGTCTGAGCCAGCTGGCTCAGGTTGACTCCAGATCAGGTCTCGAGTTGATGGTAGAGTACAGAGTCCAGACTGTTGCTGCTGGGGTGGGATAAAAGGAGACGAAGCCAAGGTCGATTACGTGTTGGGCAGTCGGACAGTGGTTCTCGACTCCAAAATTGAAGACTGATGGGCCCCTCGAGGGATGGTCGTCAAACATGTGAGGCCATGATTTGTCCGTGATAAAATGAAGGGCGTGTCAGAGCTGCGATTGGAACTTGGAAGATGCATAGGAGGTCCGGAGAAACTGGAGTGTTGGAGTACGTACCAAGTAGCCTTCAAGCTGCCTGCCTGACTGTGTGTGCGCCATTCACGTGCACAGTACGGGATTACAGCATATTTACGGGGTCAAGCGGGGCAGCTGCCGGTTGGAAACTTGGAAATCGGAGAGCAGCAAGTTGAGAAGGAGCAGGGCCATTACTCGGAGCCCCGCTCTTTCCCTTGTTTGGGTTCGAGTACCTTGCAAACCATCTTGCCGCCCCACTCTTCCGCCCTTTCTCTTTCCCCGGCACCCGAGTACGTACCGAGTCTCGGGCTCCAGGGCGAACCCGCATCTCACACTGTACGTACCTGTCTCCCGTCCACGATTCTACGCACAATTCTCAATTCTGCTGTATCTTCACAGTGTCTTGATCATTCTGCCCATGCCTCCAGTCTCCAGAGTCCACCATCCTTTTTTTGCTGTGCAGATCTCATCGCATGCCGTGCAGCAAAATACCAATTGTTGGTCCCTCACCGCTCACCTGGTGGCCCTCCCGAAATCTCCCACGGCTATGGTTCATCGGTCTGCCCTCTCCGATTTTTTGTCGATGATCGAGCTGCCCATTCCATTCCCTCCACTCATCGATTTTGGACAAGGGCAAGAGGGAGGATTGGCTTGAGTCTCGACTCTCAAAGTGGTCTGTACGTGTGGGGGCAAGGGTCAGCCCAAGTTCTCAAGGATCCCGGAGCCAGTCCCGTCATCGACTTTCCTTGCTATGGTTGGCCTTCCCCCGCCTCGGTTTGCTCACGAGCAAGTGGGCGAGGGGTCCGTCCACGAGACTGCGAGCGAGGGCGACAACACTATGGACGAGAAGGATGCCGATCAAGACAAGAGTGAATAGTGTTGAGCGGTGACCGAGGGGAGCGTCCTGGCAACAACAGCCAAGGCAACGTCCATCCATTCTCCGTTGGTCAATGACAGTCAAGACTCAGACATCAGTCCATCGGCCCGTCGTCAGTGTTGCATGGCACACGACACTGGAAATCCCGAATCCAACCAGCCAGTCAGTAGTGTAGGTAGTGTACGGATACTCCAGTCCTGCTCGCAGACCAGACGATTACACTTTGCCCATCATCATTACAGGCGCCCCTCAGATCCCTCTGCTCAACTCTGTCTCTCCCGACCCGATTTCCAATTGTCTTTCAACAAAGGACAAAGGATCAAGGGTCGGTCTGGCCGCCGCCACCATCCCAAAACCATCTGCGCCGTCCCACCATCTCGCCTCGTTAGCCTCCGATCTCTCTTCAGGCGTCAACTTGCAAAACACTTTTCTCGACCTAACCACCACCACCACCACCACCTCTACCCAGTAGATTCCTACGGATGGTCTTAGACCTTAGGGTAACGGACGGAAGGGACACACACAAAATACTATCCAGAACACACGCGGAAACCGGAAACACATCACCGCCATTGGTTTTCCCATCCACGTGTGGCGTGCCATCGCGCTAAGGTCGTCTAGACCCCTAAAACATGCAACCGAACTGCAGTCTAAATTGCCACACGCACACCGGTTGGGCATGCATCTGAACTTGACCTCTAGCTACCTTAGGTGCTTAGCTGAGGCTGCGGAATCCGGCTCAAATGTCGCCAAATTATTGCCTCTCTGCTGCAGAGAGACAAACTACACACTTTCTTCGCCGGCCGCTAAAGTCTAGCGCATCTCAGAATCTCCGAGGGTCCCCCCATCCACGCAAAACGGAGCCAAACGAGGGACGCCCCTCCATTCCACATTCCACCGCCAACTGCCCACCAACACTCACACACACACTTGCACCCACGCGGCACGCCCTCCAGGCTCTAGGTCTCCAGTTGCCCTGTGGGAGCCTGTGGGAGGACGCTGGAAGAACGCCTCAAGGAGGATGCAGAAGCCTGGAACCCCGGTTCCCATGGGTTGGTTGCAATGGCCAATCTCCAAACCGCCCAAAGAACCGGTTTCCCATCCAGGGCAAGGATATGCGCCGCCTTGGCCTGGCCCTGGGCCCTGGCTGCACTACCGTCACACTCAAGTCTTCTCGCTACTGCGCAGTGCGCCGTGGCCCCCCCCCCCCCCCCCTCATCCCTCTCGAACAATGCTCATCCCGGCTTCCGGGATCCCTGCTCCACCTCAGCGGGGAGGGGCGGCATTTCAGTCATGCCCGCCGCCTCACCTTTGAAAGCAAGCATGCTTCTTCTCCTTGATTTGGGTACTTGGATCTGAACTTGATCTGACCTTGCTTACCTTACCTTGACCTGAATTGTTGACGACGAAGGACTACGGCTACGTTGTTGACAACGACAAACAGCATCTTCTCGTCGTTTGTCGTTGCCGTAACTGACATCAAAACTCCTTGTATCATGGGCAGGGACACCTTCATCATCCCACTCTCCAACAACCTGCATGAAGTATGAACAGTATATCAGAAGGTGCCCGTGAATGGGAGACATTCAAGTGCGTATCCCTTCATCTTTCCTAGCTTTGCCTACGCCGTAAAGCTTGGGGGCATGACGCCTCTGGCGGTTCGACAACTGACAAACTCGACTTTCTAGATATGATTCTTTCCACATTCCCAATGCTGTGTTCAACAGTGCCGACCGACCGATCCCCTTCTCATCCATCTCGTCGTCTCCGGATACTGGCCTCACTTCCTTTGCGCAGCTAGGTGCCTTGCGACTAAACGCATCGCGCGCTCTGATCTCGTTATTCGATCGTCAGCACCAGTACATCGTCGCCGAGGCCACTCGGTCAATGCCCCTGTCGCCAAACACCAAGTACACAAAGCAAAACCATCTTTGGCTCTGCGGGACAGCCATCCCTCGCGACTTTGGAATTTGCGAACATGTTTTGATTGGAGCGACCCACGCGGCGCCCAGCAGCCTCTATCCGACAGCACATATCACTGATGAGAACGAACTTCCCGTGTCTGTAGTTCCGGATCTTGCTGCTGACCGTCGATTTTGTAACCGCCCTTACATCGACGCAGCGCCGTACAACCGATTCTATGCCGGTGTTCCCATTCGGTCTCCCAAAGGCATCAACATTGGCGTGTACTGTATCTTTTCCGACACCCCGAGATCTGGTCTCGACATGGACGAGTTGCAGTTTTTGCGCGAAATCTCCCACACCGTAATGGAATATCTCGACGCCAAAAGAGTAAACGAGAGCTACCGCCGGAGCGAGCGCATGGTGCAAGGACTAGGAAATTTCATCGAAGGCAGAGACGACCCAGTGCCGACTGCGAGAACCACGCCTCGAGCGTCTTTGAACGGATTCGAGCCCCCCAGGCTCGCGGTGTCGCTGCCCGATGCGGAGCCGCCGTCACCTAGATCTTCCGAATCCCCTGAGCCCGTCCGCCCGGGCATTAACCCCATCGGGGCAGACTCGAATGATTCTTCAACAAAGGTCGAATCGAGCGACTCGGTCGAGACAACTGCCACGAATGCGACAGTTGCTACCACTACCTCAAGTACGGCGCCGCCCGACCCGCATTTGACAGAAACCATCAAGATCTTTTCGAGGGCAGCCAATGTAATCCGAAAATCTCTCGAAGTAGACGGCGCTTTGTTTCTGGATGCCAGCATCGGCTCTTTTGGTGGCCTTGTGACCGGTCCACGGAGGGCTAGTGAAGTGGCAGATCATACATTCTCCAGCAGCGAGGACAGTCTGTCCGAGCGGTCCGAAGACGTC